GAGGAGGAGAACGAGACGGAACGTGTCGGGAGCCACGTGTTGCTGCACGGAGGGATCAATTTCAATTCACAGAAGCTCCACCTGTTCGAGAGCCTACTGGACAGCAAGTGAAGTAGACGCTCTCGCTGTTGTTTATATGTACAGTAGGAGGAGAGGTGAAGGGAGGGGAAGGTCAAAGGAGGAGGAGGAAGGGAGTTATAAGTTTCCGTTCTGTAAGACATATGAGGTAATCTGTTATCATGTCAGAGGGAGTTGAACACAAAGGAGGAGAGGTTGGGGGGCTGGGGCAGGGGGGAGCGGATGAGGGAGCGGGGAAGTGACAAGATTGGAACAAGGGTGAAAACAAGAGGAGGGATGGGAGGAGGGGAGAGGAGGAGGGGAGACGAGGGAGAGGATCAAACCGGTTTCTTCTGAGCTCTGTTGAATTTGTCGGAGTCTGTTAGTTGCCAAAGTTTAGAAAGGAGAGAGGACACGAAGAATTGTTGGGTAGAGCGACAGAGCGATGTAGAGGCGGTAGGGAGGAGGCAGAGAAGGGTCGAGTAGGACGCAGAGGGGAAGGAGGACGGAGGATGAGGAGGAACAGGAGAGAGGCAGAGGAAGAGGAGGGCGGCGCAGGAGGAGGAGCAGGAGGAGCAGGTCAGCCTTACCCAACTCCTTGAGCAGCTGCCGCAGCTCCCGATAGTCGAGTCCAGCAGAGGCCTCGAGCTCCTTGAAGATTTCCTGCTCCATCTCACTGTCAGCTGGGGATGAGCTGAGGTCGGGTCGCGGACCCGAGCACGGAGAGGGTTGTTGGCGCAGAGGAAGGTGACGCCCTTGTTGTAGAGGATGGCGTGCTGTCTCTCCTGTTCGGCCTCTGTGGTGAGACTGGAGGGAGTCAGGTGGACAAACTTTGGCAGGAGGGGAGGGGATGAGGGAGGGTTGAGGGAGATGCAAGAGGAAGAGAGGAGAGGAAGAGAGGAGAGGAAGAGAGGTGAGGAGAGGAGAGGAGAGGAGAGGAGAGGTGAGGAGAGGAGAGGAGAGGTGAGGAGAGGTGAGGAGAAGAGATACCTCAAGCAGTTCTGCATGTAGCGGTCTAGCCATCGGCATTTCGCTCGCGCCTGCACCGCCTGGGCGAAGCACATGGGCTCCTCCTTGGCGGCAGCGACGAGCTGGTCCTGCTCCTTCCTCGAGAGCCGGAAGTTGGCGAGGGCGTAGTGAAACTCCTTGCGAGCATAGAACGCCTTGCCCTTTTCGTAGAAGTAGATCGCCCTGCTCTTCGGGAGACTCGTGGTGAGCAGCCCGAGCTCGTCGTTGTAGAAGAATCTGCGAGGCGTGAGAGGGAGAGGAGGAGGGAGGGGGAGGAAGAGGGAGGGGAGGAAGGGGGAAGGGCAAGGGGGAGGAGGGGGAGCGAGGGGCAGGAGGTAGAGGGAGCTTACTCTTTGCTGTCCTCTGCCAGTCTTCGCTCCCACCTGCACAGAACAGGATGAGGAGAACAAGCGTCTGAGGGAGAAAGCAGAGGACAAAACCATGAGGACGAGAGGAGGGGGAGGAGAGAATGGGACCAACCTGCCATTGAGGATGAAAGAATCTCTCATCTTCAGCCATCGCCTCCCGTCCCAGACGTCCGTCGCTGATTTCTTTTCAGGAGGACGAGGACTCTCCTCCTCATCAAGCTGGGCCTCCTCGTCGAACTCATCGATCTGAATATTCTTGTCCTGGCTCAACACCAGGCCCTCGCTCATGCCCCCGACGTCCACCGGCTCCTTCGCCGAGTCCTCTGGCGACCTTCTCGCCTTCTCGAAGAACCCCATCGAGTTCGACTCCCAGCACACAACTCTCTTGCACTCCTTGAAAGTTTGATCCTCCTGCTCCTGCTCCTCCTTCCTCGCCCCATCCGGAACCACCCTCGACAACTTTTCCACCACCTCTGACATCGCGAGCTTGCCCGCCTCTCCCCTCTCCAGCACCATCTCGACTAAGTTGCTGGTGGGCCTCAGCCCAGCCACCCAGAGCTTGTTGGCGTCGGCCGACAGTGCTAACACGATGGTATCATGGAGGTCGCCCATAATGTCCTGCTCGACCCCGTAGACTTCCTGGAAATCCATGTCGAAGAAAAAGTCTGCTCGCGCGTACTGCGTGTCCAGCTCCTGCCCGTTCTCCACCTGAATCTCCTGCACCCTCACTGAAGCGTCGATGATAGCGGGCCAGGTGACGACGTTGTAGAGGAGGTCCTCGAAGACCTCGTTCCCCAGCGTCTTATCCCCAGTCTTGACCTTCTTCTCCAGCAACTGCAAAGCTTCCAGGGATGTCATACCCCCACAAACTCCCTTCTTCACCAGGATCTCAGCAACGACGCCGGACTTGAGGTGCCGACATGCCATCACGTTGCCCGCGCCCGCCCCGATGACTTGCGCGACTCGCTCGGACGTCTCGTCCGCTGTCAAGGAATTCCTGGGCACTTGCGATCCGAACTCCATGAGTATTCTAATGTAAGGGAAACCCCTGACCGGCTCCTCTTCCACGACCTCGATCTCCCGCACCGCCTCCTTGGCCTTCTTGCGGAACAAGGAGAAGGAGGGGAAACATCCAGTCTTCTTCTTTGTCGTCTTCTGCGATGAATCTTTCTTTGACTTGAGATCATCGCCACCGTTGTGCTTCACATCGTGTTCGCTGGCTTGCTCTCCGACGTGTTCTAATGCCAACGGAACCCCTTCGTTCTTGTCACTGGAGTCTTCCACCTTGTCGGTATCTGCTTTCTTCCCTTTGGCCTGGCTCTCTTGCTGTTTCTTCGCGTCTTTTCCCTCTGGTAGAGTTTGATTCTTGTCTTCTCTGCTCTCGAGCTTCTGCTCGGCAGGAGCGGAGGCTCCTAGCTTGCTGCGCACCCCAACAAGTTGCTCTGGCTCTTGTTCCGGCTTCGCCATCACCGCCGACTGCTCCACGATCTCCATGGGGCGAATTTGACCACCTCCCAGTCCTTTTGAGACCCCGGCAACCAGTGCAGATTCTCCCGGGTCCTTATCGTTTATTTCTGTCCACACCACATGTTCCTCTACATAGCTCTCCACATCCTTTGTGTAAGTAGCCTGCACCTGCCCGCTCGATTTGGAATCAGCGACTAACTCATCGCCTCCTTCTATTCCTTGCGAAGGCATTTTCAGATCTTGCCAGAGGCCACTGGCAAAGTTCACAAGACTGCTCCACACTTCTTCTGACGTCTTTTCACCGGTTGGAGGACCTCCTGCATCTTCTGGCCCTGGCACAGGAGCAGGAGGAGGAGGAGGAGGAGGAGAAGAGCTCGCCTCCTCCATAGCTTCGTCCTCTTTGGAATTCATTGACCGCTGAACTCGATTCTCAGCCGTCGGGGGTGTAGATGGGGCAGGTGGCCCTGATGAATTTGCAGGAACGGACAGCTGGCCTGGAGACTCTTGGGCTGCTGGTGAGTTAGAGCCATGGAGGGCATCCTCAGCAGCTGCATCATCCGCCTGACTCAGAGGAGGAGGTATAGGAAGTGCAAATTTGAGAGCATCAGCTGACTTGGCAGGGGGGGCTTGTTGATGTTGGGGAGCCGGAGCCGTTTGCACGGTGGAGCCTCCGACAGAGGCGAAGCTTTGCGCCATCTTGATCCAAGATTCCTCTGATCCCTGGCCATGAACCGATCAGTCAGGCAGGAGCATGTGGAAACCTTACCCCTGCGGCATCATGGTTGATTGGGCTGCGTTTCATCGAAGCACCCTGCTCACCGATTATCAGATCATCTTCCTCTCCTGGCCCTCTTTCCTAGACTCGAAACACCTCCTCCTGTCCTCCTGTCCTCTTGTCCTGTCCTGTCCTCCGCTCCTCCTGTCCTCCGCTCCTCCTGTCCTCTTGTCCACCTGTCCACCTGTCCTCCTGTCCTCATCTCCTCCTGTCCTCTTGTCCTGTCCTCTGTCCTGTCCTCCTGTCCTCCTGTCCTCCTGTCCTCCTGTCCTCCTGTCCTCTTGTCCTCCTGTCCTCTTGTCCTCCTGTCCTCTTGTCCTCTTGTCCTCTTGTCCTCCTGTCCCTCCTGTCCTCCTGTCCCTCTTGTCCTCCTGTCCCTCTTGTCCTCCTGTCCTCCGGGCCCCTTCCTCTCCCCTCTATCTCTCCAATCCACCGCTGCTTTCATTTTTTTGGTTTTCAAAATTCTTGCCAGACTACTTGACCAACTCCTCCATCCACCACCCCTCCACTACAGCATGGGAGGGACCTACCCCCTTGGCCCGTTTTACTTCGAATTGGGTACCCTACCCCTTAGCCTAAGCACAAACCACACCAGGGGTGGGGTGGGTCAACAGTACAAAATCGACAATTCGCGTGGGTGGGTGGGTGTCACACGGGTACTTCTGATGAGAAAATGGGGGGTGTGAAGTGACATTTTTGTTAGTCTGATTTAATGGGTAGGGGGTGGTTCAACGGGTGCTACACTGCTATGGCTGCTGGGAGAAGCGACGAGCATGTCTTGCAGTAAGTCAAGGAGGAGGAGGAGGAGGAGGACAACGGGAAACAGCAGGAGCTCTAGGAAGTCGAAGACAATCTCAGTTGATGACAGCTGTGATCGGTTGCATGAAGTATCAAGATAGATGTCGAAGCCTTGTCAAGCTTAGATGGGGTTTGTAGCAGAATAGAAGCTTTGTAGGATCAGATATGCAGCATGCTGCTCGCAAGGGGAGGATCGTGCGAACGTGGTAGCAAAAGAGGACAAGAAGATGCAGGACGAAAAGTCTCACGAGGATACTTTTGTTGACTAGCCTTTTGGTTTCATGTGCAAACTTGGAGCAAATCGAGGGGTTGTGATCGGATTTTCGGCTGACATCATTGTGCCATGGAACAGGATTATCCACAAGTGCACTGGATGGATCGTCAAGGACAAGAAGAGGATAGAAACAGAGGGAATATTCAGAATCAGCGGTAAGGGGCTTCGCTGCCCTTCAATTTTCCTGTGAAAATGTTTGTCCCAGGGTCCGTAGCAAAGATCCAAGTGCTCGTGGAAAAGATGCAGAAGGAGATCTCCTCCTCCAAGAATCGCGTGGAGCTGGACAATGAGGACGTGCATACGGTAGCAGGGGCGATGAAGCGAACTCTGATTGACCTGGAGCCTCCCCTCATCACCCCCAAGATCTTCGACGACCTGATCGAGGCCATCTCCAACTCCGCGAGCATCACGCAGATGCTGTCAACCTTCCGGAGGCTGATCTGCTCACTCTCCGAGACGAGGATCGAGATCCTCCGCACCGTACTGCGCTTCCTGCGGGAGGTGGTGAAGCACAAGGTAGAGAACAAGATGAGCGCTGCGAACCTCTGCAAGGTCTTCGCAGCTTCCATCCTAAGGCATCCAGACAGCCTCAAGACAGCGCTGAATCTCGGCTGCGGGAGGCTGCCAAAGGTCGCCCTTGCGCTCCTGGTCTCGGACTGCATCTTGGAGTCGACGTTTCACCCGGAGGAGATGAGGCCTTGCAGGTAGCGAAGCGGCGGCAGAGGCGATGAGGACGTTGATGATCCCCCCCCTCCCCCCCACTTCTTGCACAGGGACGGCGAGCTCGGGGACATCCTAAGTCACGAGTTCCACATGTTCGACGAGGTTTCGAGCCCAAAGTTTGAAGCGAGGAGCAAGAGTCCTCCCACCTTCCCTGTGGCGTCCAAGGCGCAGGACGAGTGGGAAGACGGTTGGCCTTGATGCGTTCACGGCATGCTTTCGTGACTCGCGTGCAGTGAAGTCGAATCGAGCTTCCAGCGAGCCTTCGTCGCCAGGGTTCAAGTTCAACTGGATGGCACCCTGGCAGGTGGTAACCGACAACCTGCGATTCCCTCGGATCAGTTCAGGCAAGTCTCCTCCCTCCCTCCCTCCCTCATTCCTGCTCTTGACTGGAGGTGAAAAGATTTCCTGGGGATCAGCATGCCCTGGGATTCATCGGGGGAGGCGTCGAAGAAAGATCGTAAGGAGGTTCGCAGTCCGTCGGTACCTGCTCCGGCCTGGGGTGCTGACGACAACGATGTTCTACAGGATGACGTGGCAGACTCAGAAGAGATTGTACGTCAGCATGCTGGTCAGCCATCACGCCAGCTCCGCTCCTCCATGTTCCCTTGCCTCTTTCTTGTCCTCTCCTTCTCGTGCTCCGTTGCGATCATGGTTCTCCGTTTTGTTCTTCACCAGCAACCTTCCTATATTCTCCCATGTCTTGGAGCTCTCCTTTTCACATTCCGCCTGCACTCCAGTTCTCTTTTCATCCTCTTCTTCTTCTCCCCTCCTTGTTCTTTTTCTGTCCATCTCTTCCTTTCCTGTTCGGTCCTGTGCTCGTCCCTTTCCCTTATCACCCTCCTGCTCCTGCTCCTGCTCCTCTCTTTCCTGCTCCTCCTCCTGCTCCTCCTTCTCCTCTCTTTCATCGTCGTCGTCCTCCTCCTCCTCCTCCTCCTCCTCCTCCTCTCTTTCGTCCTCCTCCTCCTCCTCTCCTCCTCCTCTCTGCTCCTCCTCTCCCTCGTCTTCCCCGCTCCTCCTCTCCCTCGTCTTCCCCCTCTCCCTCGACTTCCTCCTCCTCCTCCTCCTCCTCCTCTCACGCATCTTGTCGAGCAGGTAGCTCTAAGATCAAGGCACGAGAGGGTTCGGAGGACTCTGACGATTTCGAGGATGTTGGGGCCAGTCGGGGAGAGTATGTCTGAAAGCAGTAAAAGTCCACCCCACCCCATCTTTTTGTACCCCCACCCCTATCATTACCATAATATGTAGTTGTACCCATTGAATCCTAACGACATTTCCTATCGATTGGACCCCTTTGAAAGTGATTTGGCGTATACCACCACAGGGTCGTTATCACCCCTACCCCTTCTTCACGCAATGTCAGTTGTCGGGGCATGCTGAGCATATTTGGCAAGAGCCGGGCAGCCAAGGAGAAGGAGAAGGAGAGGAGGAGGAAGGAGAGAGAGGAGAACCAGAGGATCACTGTGGTGAGGCAGCTGAGAGATCAGATCGCCGACGCTGTCAGAGTCATCCAGCTCTTGCTCGCAGAGGATGTCCCTCCTGACGACGCATTCCAGCAGCAGAGAGAACTGTTCAAGCAGGCGATGACGAGCCTCGAGACGGACGGGATGGGGAAGGCGTTCGACGACGAGGAGAAAGAGACTCTCAAGAGGCTAGAGCAGCATGAGATCGCGGCAGAGACAGACGCGGAGAGGTATGCTGTGACATTCACGGAGGAAAAGAAGGATGAGCTTCGGCTAATGCGCATGAGGAGGGAGGTGAGAGGAGAGATAGATAGTGCCAGGAGAATCGTCTACAGGGCAGAGAAGCAGTTTGTCCTCAAGAGCAAGGGTGATGCACTGTTTGCAAAGTCTGTGAAGGCGATCGACGCCAAGAAGTTCTACCAAGGTCGAGTCTTCTTCGACGTAAGTTTCCAGTCCTTTCTCCTGATCTGATCTGATCTCATCTGCTGTGCTCCCCTTTATTCCCCTCCCCTTATCTTCTCGGTTCACCCTCCTGCTCCTTCCCCTCCTCTCAACTCCTCTGTCCACCCACTGGCAGTGCCTCCATCGCGCTTGGTTTCCTGCATGAGGACGTTGTTCACCTGACGCCAGTCGTTCAGGAGGCAATGAAATGCTTCACCGACAGCGGGTTTGAGGCGTACAAGAAGTCAAAGATGGCCTTCACTTCTCGAATATCCACAGAGTCTGCCGTCAGCATCTCGCGCGTCTGGTTCGGGCATGTCGGCAGAGTGGAGTTTCGGAAGACGTGAGGAGGAGGAGGAGGAGGAGGAGGAGGAGGAGGAGGAGGAGGAGGAGGAGGATGCTTCAGGGGTTGTGAGCCAGCGTTGCAGGAAGTGGAAGAACGAGCTGTGGAGGATAGAGGCAGAGTCCTTGTTCAATGCAATCGACACGTCGGGGGACGGGATCATTTCAAGGGTGAGGATTCAGACGACTGACTCGTCGTTGTTTCGTCGGTTATATCAGTTCTGCTGCCCCTGACGTCGTCCATGCGGGCAGGAGGAGCTTCATGACGGACTGACTAAGGCTGGTTTCTCCACCAGGTATGACGTCGATCCCCGCTCATCCTCGGAAGTAGCAGCTCCCTGCTTTGATGCTGCACACCACGACGCCGCGACTTCATCTCCTGCTCCTTGACGCCTCCTGACCCGTCCCCACCAGCGAGATCGACAAGATGACCAAGGAGATGGATGAGGACGAGAGCGGCACGGTGAGGGGTCGGCTGTGAGGTGAGGGGAAGGGGGGGGTGAGTGAGAGGCTGGCAGATCGAGAGGTCAGAGTTCATGAGCGCGATGAAGAATGCAAGCCTGCAGATCAGTGGGCAGAAGGATATCAACGAGGGTAACCTCTCCTCCTCCTCCTCCTCCTTCTCTACCTCCTTCTCTATCTCCTCCTTTTCCTCCACCCGCTGTTCCTCCTCTTTCTCCTCCTCTGCTCTTCTTTCTTCTCCCCCTCCCCCTCCTCCTACTTCTCTATCTCCTTCTCCGCTCCTACTCCTCCTCCTCTTCGTCCTCCACCGCTCCTACTCCTGGTCCTTCTCTACCCTTTCCCTAACATCATTTCAGTGCTCCAGGTCTCTGGGGGATCGGCAGGGCCCAACAAGACTGGATGTACTGACTATGTCTTCAACGACCTTCACTTTGCTGCCAAACTCCTCCTCCTCCTCCTCCTCCTCCTCCTCCTCCTCCTCCTCCTCCTCCTCCTCCTCCCCTCTTCTCCTGTCTTCTGCTTCTCCTGCCTTCTGCTTCTCCTTTCTGCTTCACCTCTTCCTCCACCATCTCACTGGACATCAGTCAACAGAGTCAAGATCCCAGTAGATGCGCCGACGAGCTCAGGGGCGACTGCCCTGCACTTCGCGGCGACTGAGGTGGGACGACGGGAACAGGGAAGGGGGTTAGAGAAGAATAGCGATAGTTGGAGAAGTAGCGAGGTCGATCGGTATGAGGCAGGCAATGGTGAGGAGGAGAAGAGATAGAAGAGGAGGCAAAGAAGGAGCAGAGGACAAAGGCGGAGGACTGAGGGAGCAAGGGAGAGATAGGAGGGAGGGTGAAGTGGAAGAGGAGAGGAGAGTGGGGGAGTGGAAGGGGAGGAGGTGTGGTGAGGAGGGAGGAGGCAGCGATCAGGAGATGCAGGTGAGTGACGGGCAGGGCAGGGAAACACGCACACAATCTCTACACTCATCTCCATGAGTGCGGACCCAAAGGCTCGTTCAAGGTAGGAGGTGATATCCCTGCGTCCATCAACTGACTGTCTCCTCCTCCTCCTCCTCCTCCTCCTCCTCCTCCTCCTCCCTCTGTTTCTTCTCACCTATCGCCCTCGCCCTCCCGCAGTGACGGCTACACGCCGCTGCATTGCGCAGCTACGAGGAACCAAGTCAGTGCGATCCAAGAGCTGTTGAAACTCTGTGCCGATCCGAACCAGATGGAGAAGCTGTCGCAGGTTGTTGAGCAAGAGAAAGCAGAGAGGAGAGGAGAAGGGAGGAGAGGAGAGGGAGAGGAGAGGAGAGAGGGAGGGAGAGGAGAGGAGAAGGGAGGGAGAGGCGAGGGGAGAGGGAGGGAGAGGATAAGAGAGAGGAAGGAACAAAGGCAGGAAGAGGGCCGAGGAAGGTGGGTGGGAGTGAGAGGGGAAGAGCGAAGACAGTGCGAGTGTCGTGGCAATGAAAGGGGAGAGGACGAGGAGGACAGGGCAAGAGACGATGAGGGGCAAGGACGTTAACGGCAAGCAGGCTACGCCACTGCATTGGGCCATCAAAAATGGAAGCTCGGAAGCTGTACATACCTCCGTTGCTCCCCCTCCCTCTTCCTCTCTACTTCCGCCTGTCCCGTCCTTCCTTCTTGTCCGTCTTCCTCCCAAGAATCATCATGCTTCACTATATCATGCCTTCATTCCTCCCCTTCCCACTGTTTCTTCTTTCCTTCTCCACCTCCTCGTCTTCCTCCTCCTCTACCCTCTACCTCCTCGTCTTCCTCCTCCTCTACCCTCTACCTCCTCGTCTTCCTCCTCCTCTACCCTCTACCTCCTCGTCTTCCTCCTCCTCTACCCTCTACCTCCTCCCCTCCTGCTCCCCCTCTCGTCACTTCTCGTGCAGGCACTTGTCCTCCTAGACGCAGGAGCGAAGATGGAAGCGCGAGATCGTCTCCTCAACACTCCTCTCATGTACGCAGCGAGATACGGCAGACTGTCTGTCCTCGAGAAATTGGTATCCCTACCTCCTCATGCATCTCAGCTGATAACCACTCCCTCCCTCCCTCCCTCCCTCCCTTCCCCTACCTTCCCCTCCCTACCCTCCCTCCCTCCCTCCCTCCCCCTCCACCTCCCTCCCCTCCTCCTCCTCCTCCCTCCTCCTCCCCTCCCTCCCTCCTCCTCCCCTCCTTTCCCCTCCCCTCCCTTCCCCTCCCTCCCTCCCCTCCCTCCCTCCCCTCCCTCCCTCTGATTCTCGTGGCAGTTGCTCATGGGGGTCACGGTCAACGCTCTCAACGCGGACGGCAAGACTGCGCTCATGCACGCGGCGGAGGAAGGAAAGGCTGCATGCATGGTGAAGCTGCTGCGAGGAGGAGCAGATCCTCACCGCAAGGTGTACGGGATGGATGCGATGGCGCTGGCCAGGACGAGGGGGCAGGTTGAGGCGGCAAGGGTGATGGAAGGCTGGATGGAAGAGGAGGAGGCACGAATACGGTGAGGTAGGTGGGGAAGAACGAGGAGCTGGGAGACATGAAGTCGAATGACTGCTGCGAGGAGACTCGGATATGGACAAGACACGTGAGGGAGGAGAGGAGGAGAAGGAAGGGAGGGAGGGAGAGGAAGGAGGAGAGGGAGAGGAAGGAGGATAGTCGGGAGTAGTCGAAGGAGGAGCAAGGCAAGAATCGGTTTGATGAGTTATGATTATGTTTATATGATGCGACGGTTGTTGGCCTGTCAAAATTTTGGCTCTTGCGACGAGCTTGTGGAGTTGCCAACTAGATGACAACTGTGGAGAGGCTGCCAGCTGGGGGAGACACGCGAACCCGGGGAGACTGTAAGAACAGTCAAGGCGAGGAGGATAAAGAGGAGGAGGAGCAGCAGCAGGAGCAGGAGTGAAGGGAGCAGGAGACGGGAAGGGTGGAGGAGAAAATGCAATGATAGGAGCATCCACCAGGCTGGCTCTTGGAGGAGGAGAGATGCTCCTGGAGCGCAAGACCGCGAGCTCTGCGATGATGGTCAGTAAAGCAATGCAGGAGGGCAAGAGCAACACCTGCGTTGCGAGCAGCAACGGAGATTTCAGCTTGAGCCAAGCTAGCAATAACGTTCACCGACGAAAAAAAACAGGAGGAGGAGGAGGAGGAGGAGGACAGAGAGTTGGGGAGCGGAGGTAGATCATGACGAGAACTCACCGGGAGGCTACAGAGTCAACTTGCGAGGGGCGAGGAGATGTCGTGACAACTGACCGACGAAACACAAGGCAGTCGACGAGGAGAGGAGAGCAAGTTCATCAGCCGACAAAGGACCGGAGAAAGGAGGAAGATTACCCGCTGCTCTGGGAGACAAGGGGGCGACCGGCAGGGCAGCTGCGTGCTGTCAGAACCTCTACCTCCTGTCAACAGGGATGTACCTGTGGTTGCCGCGTACGGCCAACTTGCGTTTTGAGCGACACTCCACTCGTACCTAACGGTACAGTAAGACGTGGCAAGGACGAGATCCAAGCGGATGGACGCGAAGCAAGGAGGAGGAGCAGGAGGAGCAGATAAGAAAGTTGGAGACCTTCTCAGGCGTTCTTGGAGCACACGGACTTCCTGTTGGAACCTCAGGATCATGAAACATCCTTCTTCTCTTCCTAGAACCTCTTGCGCGTGCTTCTCGCGGTCCTGCGACTCCTGGAGAGCTCGGGCGTGCAGATCGCACTTCCTCTCCAACTCCGACACGGTCTAACATCAACCTTCAGTGAGCAAAAGGGGAGGTGATGGAGGGAGGAGCAGGAGGAAGAGGCCAATCTCACCGAAACGAGAAGGTTGTCCTTCTCCCGCACCTTCTGCTCGAGGGCATCATTCCTGTAATCATCAGTCAACTCACATACCTAGCCTCGCAACCTACTCACTTGAACTGGAGATCGCCGTTGATTCTCCTCAACTCCATGATCTGGAATGCAGTCAACTCCACACCCATGCCCTCCATCCTCTTCATCTCCATCCTCCTCAGCACCTCCTACTCCTCTCCTCCTCCTCCTACCTGCTGTTCCAGATTTTGAATGTCCTGAGTCAGGCGCATCTCGATGCCCTCGTGTTGCAGCTCGACAGTCACGTGGTCGTTGACGGCTCCTCGCAGCCTTCACGTGCCTTCAGATGGTGGAGAGATAGTCAAGTCATCATCACCTCTCGTTCTCCATTGCAAGATCGTCCGCAAGTCCCTGCAGGACTGCAGACTGCACCACCCTGTTAGGCTGGGAGCAAGTTGCGTGCACCAGCCTCACCTGCTCCTGGGTCGGCCGGATGATGCGCAGGGCATCCATCTCCCTCCTCTTGCTGTCTTCCTCCATCACCTTTGCTTCATACGCCTCCTGCCATGGACGTCAGACCCCAACGATCGTCCCCTGTCCTTCTCCTCCTCCAACCTTCTTGGCGTTTTGTAGCTCGCGCTCTAGACTCTCACAGCGAGCTCGCAGGTGCTGGACCTCGAGGTCACGGGAGACCTCGTAGGAGACGTAGGGGTAGCCGAGGCCTTCAGGGAACACCGCGACGCTCCTGCTGGCTCAGTCAAGTCCCCCTCCTCCACTCGACGCCGAGGATGAGGCGTAGACGCACCTGGCGTAGTCTGGAACGAGGGTGGGAGTGACCGAGCGTGGGACTGAAGCAAGAGGATCTGTAATCATTCTAGATCTGCTCGAATCGGTCAACACGTGATATCAACACAAGTCGTGTCCCTTCACCTGTTAAGGCCCAAGGACAACGTTTCAGCTTCAGCTCGAACTTTGGCCAGGTTCTGCACCCAGGCTCCAGTAAGTACCCGAACCATCAACAGCCATTACCTTACCTTGAGGATTCCTTGACGTTCCAAGCTTGTGGACATTCACTGCACACCAGACAGCGTCACGATATCGGGCGTCAACTCGTCGTCAGTCCACGAAGAAGTTTCCTCCAACATCCTGAAATCCGTGAATCGCCTAAAAGCACTCTCGTTTCTCTCCTCTCCTCTACCTTGGCTCGTCCTCTCTCTCCTCCTCTCTCCTCCTCTGCTCTCCTCCTCTCTCCTCCTCTCTCCTCTCATCTCCTCAGCTTGCCATCTTCCCCTCTCTACCGCGGTAAACTGGCCCAGGATCGATGACCCTCCTCTGGTTCCGCCCTATGAGCTTCGACTACCCCCCCCTGCCTTTGATATCTAACGTGCACCTCATCTGCCGCTCCATGTATACACCTTACCTATTTTTACATAGGGTCTGACTTAAAGAATCTCTTATCCTGAACCCTTTCTTTTAAGGTTGCCCCCGTTCGGATTCCGGAGCTTGACGGGATCTTCGCATCCGAGCAGAGTCTTGATAATGGGGTAGGGGGTTCTAAGATTCCATGAACTACCCGTTAGTTCATCAGGAAACGTCTGGGAAAAGACAGGTGGGGTGGACACGATGGAAAAATGTTCTCGGACTTGATTCGAGCCGAAAACGAAAGAGGTATTTCAATATTTGATATGGATATATCAATTTTTATGCAAAAAAATCAAAAATTATTTTCGGTATGTGAGCAAGTAACCGTTCGACCACTTTTGACACTTAAAACTGTGGTTTTACATTAGCGACTGAAACGGAAATTAAGATCCGTTACCGTAGTAAAAGCCGCCGTAACGGCCCGGGTTGCCTTTCATCGTGGCTAGTATCGGGGCCGGGCCGGGGCCCGGGCCGGGCCGCTGAAACAGGCGGCCATTCGGAAAGTGTACGTGAAAAGTTGAAATTTACAGGGAATAATCGAAACATTGCTAAATATTTCATTTGAAGGTTTGGAATTTATCCATGAACTTTGCTGTGGCGGCGTGTTGGCATCCTACACGCGGCAGCCGATGCTGAGAAGAGGAGGGTTGAACGGGAAGAGGAGGAGTAGGAAGCAATCAACGAGACTGTGTGTGCGCTTCTTATCATGTAGACCGACATGCATGATCATAGCTTTCCTGTCCCAAAGCTCTGTGTCCACTCTCGTTGGCAGGATCTGAATTTTCTGCAGATAAACATCACACGATACAACAAGAGCCTCTCCTTCCTCCTCCTCCTCCTCTTGATCAGCTCATTCACCATCCTTACAGCTGCTCTGCGAACCCTACAGCCGTTGGCAACTCAAGCACGTAGTTCTCTGGCAATGGCGAGTAGAACGAAGCAGAAGAAGTCGTCTACCACAACGCAGAAACCTGAGACGAACAAGTGCGACGTGTCTGGGCTCATCGACCCTAATGCTCCATATGTCGATGTTCTCAGTTGGAACTTGGATGGTCTCGGCGAAGGAATGCGGCCTCGGGAGGTGAGCAGCTCTTACCCGTGCTCTCATTACCTTTTGCTCCTTACCAATACTTGTATCCCAGCGTGCTGGTTTGGCAATGGAGGAAATCTTCGACAACACCAAAGATGGGAGAGCTCTTCCTGACGTCCTCTGCTTTCAGGTGGGAAAGGCACCATGATCATTTCCTCCTCCTCCTCACTTTAGGGCAGGAAGTCACTCCGAGCACCATCGAAGTGCTGCATGCCAGGCTTGTCAGGAACGGATATGTTGATGTTGAGGAGGCTCGAATCCCGGCCGGGCGAGAGATTCCTGGGAGTTACTTCACCAAGATGTACCTCCGGCAAGCAGAGGGGAGGACGAGGCGACTGAGCTCGTTCAGGCAAGATTATCCCAGCAGCATGCAGGTTGAGCGACGAACAGGGTGCATGCGAAGTTGACGAGCTGAGAATCAGGGAAGAGACTATCTCCAGGCGGACATCCATGTGCCCTTCCTCGGAATGGTGCGAGTAGCGACTACTCATCTAGAGAGCCAGGTGGACAAGCTGCTCCCTCCTTTCCCCCCCCCCTCTTCTCTCCTGACGGATCACCCCCCCCCTTCCTTCCCTTCCTCTCTTCCTTCGCACTTTTCCATCCCTTCATCCTCTCTTTCTCTTCCCATCCTTTCCCAAGATCTGATTGCCCCCAGTCGCCAAACTGGCAGGTCAGAGAAGTGCAGCTGCAGCATGCTGTAAATCACCTGGAGCAGGTGAAGGGGAGCGAGCCATGTGCGATGTAGCGTTGCACTGTTCCTGAATGACGTTTCGCTCGTTGCTCAGGCCTTAGCCTCCTCGTGGGAGACCTCAACCTGTCAAAGGCGGACGAGAAATACTTGTACTGCTTCCACTGCCGCTAATCCCACTGCTGCTGCTGATTCTATGCTGCTGCTGCTGCTGCTGCTGCTGCTCCTCCTCCTCCTCCTCCTCCTCCTCCCATTGTATACGGGATTCGACGCTGACTTTCCTCAGGCCTCGGATCACTCGGACGCTCATAGATGCCTTCGGACATGATCCCGTCCCCACGTGGGATGCCATCAGAAACGTCAACGTGCGCCGCATGTTGGGCTTGCAAACATCCGGTGAGGGAGGAACGCGAGGCGCAGGAGGAGGAATCATGGTGAGCAGGAGGGCCCCGCTGCCGGTTCGATCGCTGCTTCTTCCGCAAGAGGTGGGGAGATGCTGGGCTGCAGAAGCGATCCTCTGACGAACCTGAATGCAGCATGGAGGGTCTCCAGCTCGTGCGCACGTCGTTGGTGGGGATTGAGAAGGACGCGGAGCTAGACCTCCATCCCAGCGATCACTTCGGTACGAGGAAGCAGCTGCTCGACTTGCTGCAGCTGATCACGGTCTCGGGTAGGGATAAGGATGAGGTGGGAGGGCCCGGCAGGCAGCAGGCAGGAGGTCGTGGGCAGCGACAAGGGTCAGTCGGCTGCACCAGCAGAGCCTGACGTGGAGGAGAGGAGACGTCTGGCTCTGAGGTGCTCCACTCTTCCGATCTCTGCTGGCTGGCCAGCTGACAAGATTCCCATGGTCAGAGCGGCAGAAGCCCGGCTGAAGGGGGAAGCAGCAGCGCGCAGTGGAGAGAGTGAGTTTGACACTTGAAAGTCATTCCTTCGTTGATATCTGATAGAACCAGAAGACTCCATGACGCCAGCGAAGCGAAAGGTGAAGGAAGTTGCAACTGTCTCTCCCTCCTGACCCATCATGGAAGCATACAGCCTCAGCTGAAGAAGTAGTTGACCTCACAGAAGACGACTGAAGGGTTTCCCCTCGTCCAGGGGCCCCAGCACGTCCTCGTTCCCCCAGCCTCGCACGTTCCCTAGTTAAGGGCGCTGACAGACTCGTCCGATCTTACCGCTCGACCTTCCGCTGCGATGCTGCAAAGAGGCCTTCAGAGGGTTTAAGGGAGAGGAGAGCGAGGACGCGCGTGAATGGGAGGAGGAGACGTGGATGTTGCTTGAGATCAACTTGTCTACAAGTTTGCGAGAGGGATGAATCAGACTTTGAGCCTTATCGTCCCTGAGGCAGGTTCGGGAGGAGCAAGACCTCGGACTGCTCCCTGCCACTCGACTTCCTCGATCATGAGCTGTGGTATCAGCGGCATGCTTGCCCCCTGAATAATACAGGAGAAGAGAGAGTCTAGGTACATATCACACTCAACAATCAAACGAGTTGAAAACGAAAGAAATAATACAAGATTGCAACAACATGGAGATTTCAAGTTCACGATGAAGAACTTGTGCGAAAGGTTCTCCCCAGAACCTGAAACCAAGAATGTGAGGCGGCTGGAACCGAAGTATCTGTTGCAAACCGTCTTGAGGACATTGGCATCTGTGAAGCCTTGAGCAAGCCTGATTGATTCCAGCTCTGACCTGGAGGGAGCAGCTATCAGAACACTGACCGTTGAACCACAACCCGAGTGCTGCTCACATGGTGTCTTTATGATCTGTGGGCTCGATGATATCAAGTGACCACAACTCATTCGACGCATTCCTGCAACGCCTTGTCAAACTCTTGCCTCCTAAGATGATGTTGAGATGACCTCGTTGCGTAGAGATCACTGTCGATGCACATCTTCAAGTCGTAGTCTCCTTGCTGTGAGGGAGAGAAGTTCTCTTCATCCCCTGAGGTGCTCTCAGTGGGGTGAAACTCAACAAGACATGCCTTGGTTCACCTGTCTCGTTCCATCGAACTCTGCAGACCTTCTCCTCCTTGCCCCCCGCATCCTCAACGGTGAACACGTCGATCACCAGCCCTGCTCCGCCCCCTACTCCCTTGTCCTTCCGCCTCTGAACGAGCAGCCCCACTTGAGGGTACGCATCTCTCCCGACCACCCAGTCTTGGCTGCATCAGCCACTTAGCCAGCAGCCACGTCATCGCCTCTTCCTCACCCGACAACGTCTGGAGCTGCTCTTTCCTTGCCGCCCGAGCGTGTCCCCCCCATCAGTAGGTACCTGAGGTCAGCAGGCTCAGGCTCCTCCAGCTCGCCTCCCAGCTCGCCTCCCTCCTACCTCGTCATGGTCCGGAACACTTTAGCGTCATAGAAGGTATGACCGTGCGAAATCACAACAGACTCCCATGCTCCTGGTAGCAGCAGTCACTGCAGGCCCGACCTCTCCCTCCTGCATGCCGGGAACGTCTCCGAAGCAAGGAGCCGACACGAACTGGACGGTCTGATTGGGGCAGAGCATCCACTCCTTGCGGGCGTCTTCACGATCGTCGTTGGCGTTCACTTTAGAGTAGATCCTCCAGATCTCCCCCGTCTCAACCGCCGGGTACCTGCCGCATCCTCGAGCCTCACGGTCACTCTCAGACACTGCAGGCTCACCCCTCGCTCGGAGACTTGGTGAAGAAGTCGACGAGGATGAAGCGGACCTTGATCTTGAGGTCGGCCAGGAGCACCTTGCTGGTCTTCCACGGCAGCACGTTCTCCACTGGGATCTTGCTCCATTTCTTGCTCGACAGGCACAGCTCGTAGACCTCTCCGTCCTCGATGCAGGAGCAGTACACCTGGTGGCTGGTGTGCAGGGTCTTGAGGCTGAACCCCTTAAGTGGCGGATCCCCTTTCACCTCCTCATCTCCTATGATCACATCCCCTCAGCAACATCAACCTCCCTCCTCCTCCTTCCTCCTTGGACCTTCCTGCAACGTAGAGACCATGGCCGCCACTTGGCTCTCCCCGTGCGCGATCAGCTCACTCCACTTGAGGTACGTCGATGAGTTCCTCGAAATGTCGAGCTTCCGGACGTCTCCTACCCACTTGTCACATCTTGCTCCTCCCACACTGCTCTCCTCTCACTCCTCTTGCTGCTGTGCGTGTTGCCCCCCGCAAGGTACAAGAACTCGCCGCTCTCAGTTCTGCGGTGCCTGCCATCCATCGGTCAGGACAGCACACGTCCTCGCAGCAGGTTACAGCAGTATGGCTGAGCTGGATCCAGGAGGTCGCTTCCCATGAACGCCCTTCTTCCTCTTGATTTCTCCCTTAGCGTTCGTTATCTGCTCGGCCTTTGTGTACAGAGTCCACTCGTTCTTCAACATCGATCAATCTGTCAGATCAATCCTCATCAACCAACTTACGGTGTCGTAATCGTATGTCCACAGGTCATCGTAGAATGTCTTGTACTGCCCGCCCCTTGTCTTCCCTCCGAACAGCCACAGCCTCCTCCTAACTCGCAGCTCATGGCATGATCCAACAAGGATGATGATGTTGAGCTCACTTGGCGTAGCAGAGTGACGGTGCGTCCCTTGCACTCGGGGCAGACTCAGCGTTGAAAACCTGACGAGGAGGATGAAGGGAGGAGGGAGGAGCCAAGAGGATGTACGTGTATCCTGCTCCATGTGTACAGCAGTATCCCTGGCACAGACGTGTTGATCACTCTCCCTGTGATCGCGTCTTGAACCTTGACAGGCTCGTCACGCTGAGAGGATAGCGAGCAAGGGTGGCACCTGAAGGTGGATGGTGTACCTAACGTCAAAGCTCCTGCTCCAGACCTCGAACGTCAACACGTTCACTTCCTGGTAAGATACCTCAGAGGCAGATGAAACATGGCCTTCTCTCGCTCACCACCCCCTGCACTGAAGTCATCTCGGCATAATACTTGACGACTATCGGATGCTTGTCGGGAGGAGGATAAACACCGGCCGGCTTCAGCTGCTTCCAAACAGCATGCATGTAAGGAAAGTCCTGGGACTCATAGAGAGCTTGTGCGATTGGCTGTGTGGTTGCTTCTTTTCTTGATCGCTCAAGGATGTTGTGAAACCTGTATTCGATGTCTTGCCTCCCTGGTAAACAGTTACAGGTCAAGATGATCGTTGTAAGGAACACTTCAAGTTTACTTTCGAAACGCCTCTGTCTGATTCTGAGCTTATTCATATCATCTTGAATCTTGTACTGCCGTTCCAATTCTCTCTATTCACATGCAAAGCTCACATGAATGATCGGGTACAACCAGGCAGCAAGTCACCTCCACGAAACGCTTCTCTGACTCTTGCCTCGCTCTCTGGAGCTGCTTCTCCACCGAAGGCAGAACCAGCACAGCATTGATGGGAAATGAGATGCCCTTCGGTGCAACAAAGATAAAGCCTGACCCACATATGACAAGACAGAGCTTGTGAATGTTGCTGTACCTGCTGGCCCGAAACTATCGGCACTGCAAAAGGAGCATGTAGTGTACGGTAGCTCAATGCTCTGATGAGTTGCGGTGACCTGTTCATAACATGAGAATTGCCGGAAGGAGAACATCAGAAATGCTCACAAGCGTTATGGAGCTTCTCTCAGCGGGGAACAAGTCGTATTCGTTGATTGTCTTTCTCTGAACGCAAACTCAACAAGGTTCTCCGATGCCTCAGTCTGTTCACCTCACTCTCAGACACCTCCACTCTTATCTTGTACCCTCCGTGCTTCCCATCGCTGCTGTCCCACCACGCGAACCGGACGACAGGACGGAGGTCGTACCTCACCTTCCATACCACCTGCGCAAACTCTCACAACAGCTCAGCTGGCAAGAGGTCTGCCTTCAAGACGAGCTGGTTGTTGTAAGCTTGTATGAGCGCCAGGTGCATGTCCTCGACGTCTGGGCTCTCTGGGGCAGAGCAAGACAGAGGCTCCTTCTCCTCCAAGAACCGCGCATGTCTGCCATCAGGCTTGTCGCTCTCCCGGGGTTGATGGAGCCTCTTCAGCTGCTGCATCCTGTCGACAGCCTCGAGCCTCTCGACTGCCCCGAAGGTTGCGACGTCCTCCCCCGCTCTTCCTCCAGCCTTGCCCGACATGCCCGTCGTCTCACTCTCCCTGCTCCTCCATGACAGCTCTCCCGCGCTACGATCTCAACGACAGCAACTTGCAACTGTGCTTGATCAGAGGTTTTACAGGAAAGTTTTTTTCGTTGCGGCTGCTCACGATAGAAATGCAGGGAGGGCTAAGGTAGTTAGCGAGAGAGGGAGAGAGAGTAGGAGAGCTAAGGTAGTTAGCAAGAGAGGGAGAGAGAGTAGGAGAGCTAAGGTGGTTAGCAAGAAGGACAGAGAAGGAGAAAGATCATGTGTGGGAGGGAGAGAGAGGTAGAGGGTCAGAGTGCGAGGGAGTTGAAATGAGTCAACGAAAGGGGGGGGGGGAGGGAAGGAGGGAGAGATGGTCGGGGCACGTGTAAAGCTCTCAAGCAGAGTACCGTGTGTGATAGCTGAGTTGACTCGTTTGCTAAGAACCTCACATCCTGTCCAGGTCGAGCATCGTCTGTTTCAAGCCTCGTCGCCTCGTCATCACGTTGGGTCTTCCCGGCCACCAGCGGGTGTCCCGCTGTCGGGGTGTGAGCTGGTCCTTGAGCCTCGTTGCCGCTCTTGTGCTCTGCGTCTGTCAGGCTACAGTAGAAGAGGTTTCCCTCCGCCATTGCGGCAGAGCTGCGGTCTTCCTCAACGTTGCTGTACTGCGAGGAGGCGGTACCAAGAAAGGGAAGCATTATCAGCGCAAGCTCGAGGCAGAAGCTGAGAAGCGTAAACGCATCCTGATGAAGAAGAAGCAGGAGGAGAAGAAAGGGCCCAACAAGGCATCGCAGAAAGTGGATGTGAATGTGCTGAGACAGAAGCATCGGTCGGGATTTGAATTCTCCGGTTCCTTCCAGGGCTTTGGAAGGAGTGCAGACAGGGAGGAAGGAGATGTGGGGGAAGGGTTGATCGCCGAGGAAGGGTTGGAATCGGGCAAGGAAGCGAATGGAATGCAGCGACAAGAGGTGGACTACGAGTCATACGTGCATCAGACCGAGACAGAGGCAGAGACAGGAGGCTTCCGTGATGGCTCTCGCAGGATGTACACGGGGGCGCTGAATCGCATCCTGAATGAAGCAGATCTGATCCTGGAGGTGCTTGACGCCAGAGATCCTAACGGATGCCGTACAAAGCAGGTGTTGACTAGCTTCTTCTACAGCTTCTCACTGCCGTTGGTTGATGCAGATTGAAGATTTCATCCACAAGAAACGCCCTGAGCTGAAGATCATACTCGTTCTGAACAAAATCGACCTAGTGCCCAAGGTACAGCTTCTTTCATTATCAGTTTGTGCCTCTAATTGAAGCAAACAGAACGTACTTGACGACTGGATGAATTACCTCAAAGAAGAAAATCACGTCGCAGCTTTCAAGGCCGCCACTCAAGTTCGGAGAGGAGACTCCTACGTCCATTCTAGAATCCAAGTCAGCAACGCAACGCACGGGCAGTTGATGACTGGGAACTGCGTCGGAGCAGAAGAGCTCGTGAATATGATCAAGGCCTTGACCAGACAAGATTCAAGTTTTGGCGGGAAGGTTTGAACGCTTTCCAGACGGACCGTGGGGATTCACTTGGTATCCTTAGGCGAGGGTCAACGTGGGAGTTCTGGGGATGCCGAACGTGGGTAAGAGTTCTATCATCAACAGCCTCCTGCGCACTCGAGCGGCTCAGACGGGAGACAGAGCGGGGGTCACCAAGACCCTCCAGGTTCCTCTTGACTCCTCGACTGGTGGGGCCTCACACGCTCGAAGAGCTTGCACTTAGAGCGAGGAATAACCCTGATCGATTGCCCGGGGGTTGTCATAGAGGCAGGCCTCTCGGAAGCTCAGCTGGTCCTGAGAAACTGCATCCCCATCGACAAGGTCGGCTAGCTCCGGGTTACGAGAGATTAGCACTGACATTGAGCGAAGATAAAGGACCTCCTTGCTCCCATGCAAGATATCATCGACAAGTAGCTCTCAGGTTCTCTCCGCTTTCACCTGAGACCTTGCCAAGGTGCGGACATGAAGTCTTGATGCAGAAGTACGGGATAGACAAGTTCAGGTACGCCCATTGACTGCTCATCCGCTCCCTGACATTTCTCAGCAACTACCAGGAATTCCTTCAGGCGCTCGCAAGAGTATGCACGGCTCTTCACGCGACCACTTGACACGTTGGCAGAAACGAGGGAAGCTGTTCAGGGGAGGAGAGACTGATGTTGAGACGGCCGCGCGTCAAGTGCTCAAGGACTGGACCAGGCAAGGACCACGTGGATGGGTGACCTCGTCTAACAAGTAGAGCAGCGGCAGGTTGCGATATTACTGCCTCCCGCCCGTCAAGAACGACCGCAGTCACATCTTAGAGACTGAGGTGGTGACGGAGTTTGCGAAAGAGTTCAAGATCGAATAAACCTCACCGTCTGCTATCAGTCAGTTTCTCCTTCCAACATCTCGCGCTCTCAGGCCCTTTGACCTGCCGCTGCCGCTCTTTACAGTCAGTGGGCCCATCCGATCGTTTTTTGTTTAAGTTTCTCAGGACATTAACCGGCGATCGGCCCTACTCCCCCTCCCGGTGTCTGCACATGGGCAGGGCTTGCTAGGTAGGGAGCAGCAGCAGCAGCAGCAGCAGCAGCAGGGGAGGAGGTGCAGGAGGAGGAGGAGGATGGACGACTTGACCATCAACAAGCGCATCGAGTACCTGGAGGCTCTCCATTACAAGAAGCCTGAAAGACGCATCGCCCTCGAGTCGTCCAGCGAGGAAGATTCCGTTAGAGACGAGGACGAGGACGGGGGCGGGGACGAGTCTGCCGAGCAGCTCCCCAGCAGATCTCTGAGAGGTGAGAAGGCTAGAGGAGAGTCTAGATCGTCTGAGGGAAGCGTCTAGATCATGGGGACGCCAAAGGGAACCCGCCGGCCTCGAGCCCGAAGGCGATCAAGACGTTGATCAGACACTTCGAGGACCGGGCTCGCATCAAGGGCTCTGACCCCCCCCGCCGCCATGCAGCGACCGTCGGGCAAGACGGCGCGAGGGAGCAGCACAAGGGTAGATGTGAATGATCTTGTTCGCTCGCTGAAGGTGGTTGTGCTCAGAGTTGTCTTCGTGGGAGAACCCCAGGTAAGGCAGGGAGTGCTCATCGGCAGCCTCCATGACGTAGTGAAAACCTTTCAGGCTCAGCGGCTCTAGCGACGATGGACACGAAGAGGACTGGATCAGAATCAAGAAACTGCAAGGTGACTCCCTCCCTGCTCCGCATCACAACTCCCTCACAAGGCGAGCAGGGGACTTGAAACGGTTGGAGGCTGAGGATCGAGAGCGGGAGGAGCAAGGAGGGGAGGAGAGAGAGAGCAGGTCAGAGCAGCAGGACACGCAGGAGAGTTCCAGCACAGAACGCTCCTCTCTCGCTTCTTCGCACTTGCAGGACATCGAACGAACCGCCGGCGTCCCTGTCAGTTGCTCCGAGCGTCTCCTCCCGTTGCTGACGGTGCGGACCATGGCAGATCTACCGAGTGACAGGGAAGTACAACCTCCCGATCCAGAAGAGGAACTGGAACTTTGACAAGGTTGACAAGGGGGAGTGTTTCGACGACACCAGGTGCGCGCCCTGGTCCAGCCTCCCTGCCGACTGCCTGACCCAGCTCTGCCCGACTTTTTGTCCAGCTGGTGGAAGGAGCGTCTGAACCCTGCGAACTCGGACGAGGAAGAGGTTTGTGTGGGGCCCTGTTGTCTCGGAGGATGATAGCTGTGCAGCAGGCAACTCTCATGCCGAGGTCCTGGATCGTGAGGCCCGGAAGGGAAAGGAAGACGATGAAGAGCAAGTTTGAGAGGAGAAAGTACAAGACAACCAGCCCAGACTCCCTGGGCCCGAGGTTCGACGAGTACTCGCCTTACCAGTCCTCGTCCTTCTCCGTCGACCTCCCGATCGAGTACAAGTGCGTTTGTCCCCTCCCTTGCAAACCCACAGGCTAACTCGTTGCTGGCAGGAAGCAGCAGGAGCAGCGGAGGAGGGAAAAGCCGCGGACGAGGCCGATCTTCATCGACGATGTGGTGAAGCGAGGGACAGCAGCAAGGGACAAGGACAAGGCAGACAACTGGCCAACTGTCGCGTGAGAGCGGAGAGGTGCAGCTGAGGTTGCGATGTGACGTGACATGGCAGGGCCTACTTCCAACGGGAAGCGTTCAACCTTGGTCGTTGCTCCGCCAAGATCGAGATGCATCCATACACTTGACGGCGATGTTAATCTGAGTTCGCGATCTTATTTACAGTGTTAGCAAAGTGAAATAATGAAACATTGTTCTAAACAGCTTTGAAGATGCTGCGCTTCAGGAAGGTGAAGACTCCCTCAGACTTGTTGTAGCATGAGACCTGCTTCAGCTTCTGCTCTGTCCATGGCCAGTCTTGATGCAGAGGCTCTCCGGCAACGAGCCCAGCCATCCGCCCAACGACCTCCCTGCATCCTCTCCCCTCCGCATCGCACAGCATGTACTGGCTGTGGCTCCTCCCGTTGACGTTGGACCTCCTGGCGTAGGCGACATACCCGAAGGTGCTCAGGCGAGTGCAGACGAGGAAGCGACAGCTGGACAGCATTTCGAGGTCGAGGAGCGAGGCCTCATGGTCGTCATGATCCCCGCTGAGATCCCCGACGTCGTCAGGCCTGCGCGAGCTGGAGTCAGGCAGGCAAGCAGGGGATGAACAAACAACGAGAGAAGAAGGGAGGTAAAGGAAAGGAGGCTAGGGAGGAGGAAGGGAGAGGAAGAAGAGGGAACCCGAGGGATGGGGAGGGCATACCTTCCATGGATGCGGGTGTCGTCCTTATCTAGGTGGTGGACAGTGATGGAGTTTTGGCTGATGGACCTGGCAGAGTCTCTGAAGACGTCGTACACGAAAGAATAGTCGGAGGCGATCCAGATGGCAATGGATCTCTCGTTAAGAGGCCGGGAGGGCGAGGAGAAGTAGCGCTGGCAGCTGGCTACCGCTGCCTCCAGGAACATCCGAGAGACGAGGAGCAGGTGAGTCTTGTTGCTCCTTCCCCCGTGGTGCTCGGAGAGGTGGTGCCACCGGAACTGGACGCCTACCGAGCATGCAGCCGAGCCCAACGAGGTCTGCCAGAGCCGCTCGGCCTCCCTCAGGATCGATTGTGCCGGCCGATGCAAGAAAGCATGCAGCCGCTGGAATACATCCATCTCCTCCTCCTCCTCCTCCAGGTGAAGCAGCCCCGTCACGCTCGGATTGAGAAACAGCGCGGGGAAGCTGTACAGGTGCTGCAGCGCTGCCCAGGGCCCCTTGAGGGAGACGTTGAAGTTGCCACAGGCTGCGAGCTCGTGGTACCTAGCGTACCCTCGTGCTGTGTCGCCACTCAGCTCCTCTGCCCTTCCACTGAGCCCCGCGACCTCCTGCAGGCTCTGAATCTCCTCCAGGCTCATGGGGAAAGGGCGGTTGAAACAGTCGCTGGGCCTCTGGAGCCCGAAGATGTCAGAGTCGTAGGATACTACAAGAGCTCTGCCGGAGGCGAGGGAGAGGAGGAGGGCAGAGACCTCTTCGAGCATCGTGTTTGCGATGCCATGGCCGGACCTGAGGACGAGAAACTTCCTGTCGACCTGCCGATTCAGCGGATCGAACATGCTCGTCTGCAACTTAGCGAAGGCCTGCAACTTGGTTTCCGAGATGGTGAAAACAGCACCTGCTGGCGAACGTGTTGCTTCGCCTTGCAAGGGTGCAGCTACGTGTTTGAAGACGATCCAATCGTGCTGCTCAGTCTTCAAGTCTCCTTGCAAGTCCAGGCAAACATCCAACTCGACGACATCGCACTTGTCAGATACATCAATCAGAGAGACAACACAGAAATCCATCATGAGCATCTCATGGATGAAATTCCTCCGCTCCCTCCTCCTGTTGTCAAAGATGACGAGGTGGACAAGTCCGGACGACAACAACTTTGCGCTCCCGACAACCACCTGTGCGCTGATATTAGAGAGATCTTGTCGGAGATTCCTGACTGACCTTGTCATTCTCCTGGAAATCCTGAATCAGCATCACGTCCACGGCCTCTTCTACGTTGAGGAAGTTGTCAAGGCAAACAACTTTGACAAGCTCGGTGGCGATGGTTTCAGCAGCCTGCAGACTGAGAGGGGACAGTGAGGAACAGATAGTTGAACTCTCATCTCCACACAACCGAAAGGTTCCATCGGCACCTCTACTCCATCGTCTCATGTCATCCTCGTTTGCAACCTGCACCTCGAACATATCACCTTTCTGGTCAGCCAGACGAATCCCCTTCCTCCTCACCTTGGTACTCCTGTTCAGGAGGAAACCTTGTAGTGAATCTCGTGACGACGTGAAGGCTGCACTCGTGAACGATGAAGGCGGAAGATGTAGGTTGTGCATCTGACAAGCTGAAGTTTGCCCCATGTCTTGCAGTTCAACGGATGACTTGTACAGCTTCTCTCTGCCTGACTGAAAGTGTCAGAAGGACAGGACATGTAGTAACAAGTCAACCTGTACAATCATACGCTGCTGCATGAAGGACACAAATTCTGTCCTCGACATTGTTTGACCTCGCGCCTTCTTGCAAGACAGCAACATTGTCCTTCAGAGCCTCGATGGCAATTACATCCCATCCGTGCATTGCAGCGATCAAACTTTCGGTCCCCATTCCTGCTCCAACATCCACCAACTTCGACTTCTTGGCAACCCCAGACTTGGAGCGCTTGATTATGATCTCTTCAAAGAATGCTCGGAGACATTCTTCGTTAGGGAAGTACGTTGGGTCACTTGGGATAACATGCTGCCATCTCTCGTTGAACCTCAACCTTGAATATTCTTTCCCATCCTTCAATCCCAGCCTCTCAGTCTCTGCAAGACCAGAGCCTAGCAGCGAAGGAGAAGTGAAGTTTCGAGAGAGCATGGACTGTATCATACTCGTCCAGTAAATCGTTCCCCTCGCATACGTGTTCCACTGGAAGTACTCGAACGACGAGTTTGCCAATCGCACCATCTCACGGCTATCCGAGACAGCTTCAGACAGAGCCAAGACGATCTCCTGGTCGCTCATCTCGGGATCAAGATGTATCATCCTGCCCTGCAGCCCTGAACCATGTCCAGAGAGAGGAATGTCGCCTGCTATCACCGCCCCGCAAAGCCCGATCTCATGATACTTGGCAACGAGGTATGAGTGAGAGACGTGGAAGCCATGGTCTGTCGATCCTTGGATTGAGCATGTGATCACAATCTTTGCCCTCCTCAGCTTGTCCCCCAGCTGCTTGCCCCGGATGACAGGTAGACACGTCTTCAGCGCGTTCATGGCCTCCACAGCCGCTGGCAACGGACAGGTCTTCACATCGTCGCAGCTTGATAGCGGGCCTTGCATAACCCTCCAGGAGACTCGTGCACAGTCATCGGGCATGCATCTGCTGCCCTTGCAGCACCTCAGATCACGCGCATCCACTCTCGAGAGGTTCCAGAACTCGGGGCCAATATCGCTGCACAAGAGCTGGTGGACATCGGCCTTGCGGCGATCGAGATGATACCCGGGATGCGCGATCACCTCGAACGACATGCCATGCTTGATCGTGGTCAATGCTCTCAGAGCTCGATGCCTCAGAGGGTATCTGTGCGACCATGTGTTCCCATACACCAGCACATCGATGTCCCTGTTCCTCATCCATTCTCCTCCCGACCCAGCACCGCGATAGAAGTGCGACGGATTCAGGAAGAACGGCATGTGATGGAAGGTCGTCTCTTTGCAGAGAGCCTGTAGATGGACCAACTCGTCGTTGAAGTACCTGAATGTCACAAAATCGATCTTATTTCCGACTATCAAGTCCTCCAGCCTCCTCTGACCCTCCATGTCCTCCACGTCCAGGATCTTGATGCCTGGATAATGCCGGAGCCCAATCACTGGTAGCGGACGATCACCAGGGCTGACAAGAAAGTACAAGACCGGGTGCCTTGAGCGGGACAGGGTGTAAACCATCTCTTCCCACATCATCCCAAAGCGGAAACCCGGGGTGGAGGAAGTAATCAATCTCACCGAAGGGGTGAAAGAGGAGGAGGCCCTTGAGAGATATTGATAAAACCCCCACAGAGGCCAGAACCGCATCTGCTGGCCATCTCCGATCAACAGAACCTCCTGCTTCAACGTCGTGACTTTGTCTGGGAACGCATGACGCCTGGCCCACAAGTGCAAATCGGCTTCATGTTCGGCATCGAAGCTCCAACAGACGGTTCGATGGAGAGCAAGGGCTCTGAGGAAGAACAGGAGGAGGGCTTTCATGCTCCTCATCAAGGCAGGGGCATCAGATAAGCCTCAGTCCTCTCCTTCCTGCTCCGCCCCCCAGCATCGTGTGTGTTGTGGATCGTGTAAACTAGTGGTCATCAAAACATTCTTCAATCTTGCAACCTACTTTTCATTGTAAGGAGTCTTTGAAGCTGAACCAAATTTGAGAAAGAAAATCGCCTCCACGGCCACAGCGGCGGGCCTGACCGGGTTCGGCCCGCCGGGTCACTCACTTTGACTGACAGCACCTTTATAATTATTTTTAAGCTCCGACTGTCAGATAGTCACGTTACCCGGCCAAATTTGGCTTTGTTTGTGTAACCCCACCCCCAACCTTTATAGTATTTGTGAGGGTACTGGAAAGTCCAGAGCCAGCTGTTTGCTTGGGACTACCATGTGCATGACCCCACCCATATACAGCTGGCTTGTACTAGGAACCACGGGTACTTGCACTCATGCTGTTCCCCGAAAGAAGCTTCTTGGTTTCCCCCGTACTCACTCCTTCTATCCTCCCCACCGCCCTATCCCTCGTCAGAACTTCGTCTCCTCGACCCATTTTCTGACACCTCACCCTCCCTCCTTCAGCCAACCCCCCCGCTTCCCTTCTCCGTTTCTCTGAAAGATCACTGCTTCCTCGCTTCTTGTAAGGAGAGCACCAATGAGAATGTACAAGGACCAAGTGGAACAGCTTGTTACAATGCAATCGGAGGAACAACTTGATTTCGGATCTCTCAGCCTTGACGAGTGCGATCTTCCACACGACACCTCCACAGACAGCTCCGTGCTTTTTGTAAATTTGCGAGAGCATCACTTAACGAACCGGAGAAGCCCTGGGCCTTGTGACTTGTATTGCGAAACCGAAACGGAATTCTGGCAAGGGCCATGCAAAGAGAAGCAACTCAGGGCGTTGAAGTACTGCATTGAGTTGTTGAGCAGGTCTGAAAGGCCAGAGATAACATCAGCTACAGGAGACATCCTTCGGCTGTGATTGGGTGGGACATAATTGGCCACGACTGAATTTCTGTTGTTTTGTACTATGTTTCTGTTTGTCTATATGAAATCCCTTTGAACATAAAACTTCATCGCTAGATTCATTTGATCCACTATCATTTGTTTTTCCACCCATTGTCATTGTATACGCTGACAGCGTATTAAAGGAAGCCCGACGCACATAACGGGCTCAACGAGCCTACCCAGCTTGAATCCGATATTGGGCAAAGGCATAAGAAGGGAGAACCTCGCAAAGCTTTCTTGCAATCCGCTGCCAAGTGACACTATTGTCTGAAGAATTTGCTCTCTGCATTGAATCCTTCCATTGAACGAATGGGGCCCATCGATGAAACCCTGTCGAAGTTGTGTTTGCTCTGACTATTCTCAAACACAAAGACCGATGCTGCAATTGCACTGGTCCATCGTTCATAAGAATGAACAGCCCCATCTCCATTTTTCTCTAGTTGAACTCCAGACATACTACAAAATGTTCGTGACTGGTGGCTCTGCTGCTGTGAGGTTTCCTCAGAAAGACCTGAATAACACAGGTGAATCGCTGCTGGACACACGAACACGCAGAGAGTTGCTTAGAAAAGCACCTGTGAGAATCTTGACCTCATCTTGGAGTACATGGGAGAGCAAATGAAATCTGCATGCGATCCCTCACGAAAGATCTATTGACCAAGCTGATCAGCTGATTGCCTTGCCCGTAACCTCCCCACCTTGACCACAAACGATCCTCCACTTCTGAGCAGTTGACAGGCTGCCTCGAAGGCTGACATGGCTAAGCTCTCTCCCAGCTACAGGGTTAAGAAATCAGATCGATGTCAACGAGATAAGATCCAGACGCTCAGGAAGGTTAAGAGATGGCTCACGTGTCTATCAAGTTCGTGCAGCCCCGTCACGTCTGGCGCCCCATCGCATACGACAACGTCGCATGTCTTGCCCTTGACGTGCGCTCGAACTTTGTCGAGGGTGTCTTGACTAGTGATGTCGCCGTGTATCTGTCGACAGCCATGTCAGGTCCAATGATGGTGAGCGCCATGGGGCAAGGACTTGGATCACTCCCTCCAGCGGCTTCATCCGTTGCACATCAACAGCTACAACTGCAACGAGAGTCAACCCATGTGGAGGAAAGATCCCTCTCCTATCGTCGCTCACTCGTTCCGTTTCTCGGCAAAAGTCTAGACTGGACGACCTGACTCCAGCTCCCCGGTGCTACGAAAATCCGTCACGGCTGCGATCTCATGGGCGCCAGATCTTGCGGACCTGCACACAAGTCCACGACACACTCAGCTCTGTCCAGCAAGCCGAATTCCTCCTCGATCTGAAGTAGCTTGAAAGCTGAGCGAGCACGATAGCCCAACATTTTCGCCTTGCGCCCCGTCAACATGGCGCGACCCAGCAGTCGGAACCTCACCTTCCTGTAGTAGCTGTCCCTCTCCAAGTGGCTCCTGCTCACCTTCGGGGAGTCAAGCTGCAGTCCTTCGCTGATCAGCATCCCCCATGACAGGGGAAGCATCCCCACTACCACCACCCACACCCCCGACTTGTTCCTCATCCTGCCATGGCCCTCACCCAACCGTCAGTTTCAAGCCCGCCTCATCCGAAAGAATGCCGGGTCTCTACCATGCTGTCCTTTGCACGGCAACTCGTGAATCTGCTGCTTGAGGAAAGGAGTCAAGGAAGCTGATGAAGACAGTGACAGTGCAGTCTGATGCTATGATTCGAAAGAGTACTGCAAAACCTTGATTCTGATTGTTTCGCTGATCTCATTTTACCAGCAGGCTGACCATGTGATGGTGCTTGTTGGCAGCGCAATCATTCAGTATGAAAGCTTGTATTAAAAACAAGTTATAAACGAACTATTCTATTCTTTGCAACTTGCAAAGTTATTGAACTCCGACCCGTTTAGCTTTGAATGTTTGTCCGAATTGGGCAGTGAGCATTTTGCGTCGATCAAAATCGCCTGTCATGTATTGACATGGAGAGCAGGTCTGTGTCTCTGTGCTTGCAGGCAGTTCTTCCTGTTCGTCATCTTCAAGTAGAAATTTGATCGAATCGAATATCAGACGGATCAGAAGGAAAAGAATCAACACGAAAGCACGATTCCCGCAGTAATCAATTGCATGACTGATTGCTTGTACATACGCGGAATCCGAGAAGGGGCAGGTCGAGGTAAAAGACAGGATATTGGAAGGGCTTAAGTCTTGCCAGTCATGACAAGTAGCGCTAGAAGAACACTGCGAGGACAGGCTCGATGCCATGATTATTGAATCAAGTCCGAGTCGATTTCAAGGGGAAATCACAAGGCAACAACAAGATGAAACGCGGGAAAGAAAAGATAGGATTTAAGAAGGTATGCAATGAGCCAGGGGAAGCAGGATGGACAAGGGCAGGGGAGTAAGATGATAGGAGGAGCGGAATCCGTTGATGAAGAGCTCGTGGTGGTGTGCAAGGGGGCAACCAGGGCATGTGGGCAAGCGTATTTAAACAGATGCTTTGCTCCTGTTTGTGTCCCTTGGTGTTGTAAAGATTGAAAACTATCTTTTTCGTTAAAGATTGAAAACTATCTTTTTCGTTTTGACCCTGCCCAGGTCTGACAGGCAAAATTCACCGATACCACTCTTTTTCGTGAAATGGCACAACGTTGTGCATACGACAAATACTGCTTCCGATAAAATTTATTGAGAGAATAGCCTGCCACGCAGTGTGCACGGCACGAGTTTATAGATCTGCAATAATCTGCAATAAATCTTGCTATAGCCGGTCAGACGGTCTGTGAGGGTTGCTGATGACCCCTGCGACTTCTTTCACCTAAGGAGGCTCATCGCTGAAAGGGAAACTGCCGCTATAAATGACACTCCAGCACATTTCAAAGAGTATTCTTCAAATCCTCCTCTATCATTCTAAATCCTGACTGCCCAATCCGCATTCGATCTTTTGATCGCAAGAACCGTTTGATCACGGGGTGACGGCACTTTCGTGGCAGAGCCAGGAGGCCACCCCAACTTCGGCGGAGTCCGGGCCACAGCGGCCACCAGGGCCTTGGGTGCGTGCGGCCCGCGGCGGACTTAGGGCGACGATGGCCGGGCATGGCTCGGATCAGTGATATCGGAGTTATTATTCCAGGGCCCGGTGACGGTCGTTACTCACGAGTCAAACGACGAGGACAATCCTCGGACAGCCTCCTCGACTCTCCTGATTGTCCTAGCACTGATGTTTAACTTAACTTCGAAGGCTCGGCCCATGGTCGTCGCGCTCGGCTGAGTGAGCTCACCATTTACCAGTCAAGTCAGTCGGATTAAACTTTGTTACTAAGTTACAAGCGGCTGAGAAACTGTGACTTGGAGTCACGGCAGGGTACGGTCCGTGGCACTGAGCTCGAACGTTAAGTTGCAGTTCGTCCCGCCGGAGCAGACCGACGGCCCAGGGCCGTTCGAGTCTACATTATTTGAATCGGAAGCAGCACTGATGATCGCCTTCACTAGCAACACGACTCCCGCTAAGGCTCCTGCGTCACAGGCCCGGCTTCATGAGCGGCCGGAGAGCTTCTTTGCACATCTTCACCGTCAGCATCTTGAGACCTCGACTGCTCAGGCTCGCTGACATTCTTCTTGACGGATTGCTTCCTCCTCCTAGTTCCCTCCCTTAGCTTCCCCGTACCATCGCAAGTTCGCGCGTTATGCCCAGCTTGTCCGCATGAACGACAAATCTTCTTCTTTGATCCCTGGGACGAATCCTGCGCCGACGGGTCCACTTCATCTCCGTCCATCAGCTGCTCCCTTGCCTGCTTAGCAGGCGGTCGAGGTCGCCGTTCTTGTTCCGACGACTTTCCATGTGACTCCCCGAGTACAAAATGATCCACTGGTGGGGGACGGTACCCCTGAGCCAGGGGAAGCACGTCTTTGGTGTCCGGGATATATCCGAAGAACAAGTCTTTCAGCGCCGGGGCTTCTGTGAAGTTGCTTGCTAGCCACACCTTGTCATACAAGCTCGTGATCATCAGGCGATTGTCTCCTGCTGCTATCCCAAGTTTTCGCGAAGCAGCCATAGCATGCGCGCACGGCCGAGAGGTAAGCTGCCAGAAGGAGCAAGAGCAATACTTTTCTCTGAAATTCACAGAGAAAGACTCCAACATCCCATTTTCCCCCATGGCACGAACTAAGACCATCTGCTCACTGGATGCTCTTTGTGGCACATTCATGCGCAGATGTTGGTTGTAGTGCCTGGTGTACTCGTGCGTCAAGCTCTCTGAAATGAAAACATGGTCGCTGCCGTCCGGGAGCTTCTGTGTCAGTTGCAGGTACGAAGCGTGCAGCTTGTTCATAGCTTCCAACCATTGCTCTGCCAGCTCTTGGAAGAACCTCATAGGGGAGACGTCCTTGGGCAAGACTTCGTTCGGCCGAGGGGGTTCACTTTGTTCAGGGTGTTGGAAGTTGATCCCGTACGTCCTGACAGCTCTGATGGAGCACTGTTCGTCCTCCTCCCGGGGAATGTGACTTTTAGCCTGCGCGAAATTTGCCTGCCATCGCGATGTAAGTATCTCGCCATTCCATCATTTTGCGCTTGGTTACCCAATAAATAGGATCTACTTTGTCAAGGTAATCCTTTGCAGTTCTATTCGCTTCTCCAATCGCGTCCATCTTGGAAAAAAAATCTTGCAGGTTGTCCGCTGCCTGCACACGCAATACATGAGGAAACTTGAACCAAAGCGATTCTCCAACCTTACCTGAGCTTTCCAAAATAAGATTTCTGCGGACTGTTTCTCGTCATTGGAGATGGTTTGCAGTTGCGCTCGCGCCTTTTCTGCAAATGTCACAGTCACCAACAATTCAATTTCAATCAACGAATGGCATACTTCTACAGAATGCGTTCACATTCGAAAGCAGCAGCCTGCAACAGTATATGACGTTTGCATGAGGCAGACTCTGCTTGATTGCAGGAAGGCTCGCAGAATCAAGGTCCGTCATGACTGTCAAAGAGCCAGCACTTGGCAAAAGCCACTCTCCCATATCAGACTTCTTTAGCTCCTCCCACACAAAGCTTGCATTCGCTGCAGTCTCAGCGTCTACTGTTTCCTCACGTGCATGCCAACCAGGAAAGATAGCAGCAGCAATCGGAAGGATCGATCCGTCGGGCAGGTATCCGTCAACCACCAAAGCTTTGCCCGAGAACCATCTGTGCTTGAAGCGAGAGAAACGCTGTATGCAAGATCAAAGGTGGAAGCAAAACAACCATGACAAAAATCACCTGCCTCAACACTCTCAATCCGCATTGCTTGACGATTTGCAGCACAGTTCCATTCGCCAACATGCACTGCTCGAGCATCGGTGGCCCCTCTGCGCCGCCCTCGCCAAGTGGAGGATTACAGATATAGAAACTGCCGCGATTGCACTTGCAATAGGCCGAGAGCCATGCGGGCAGAAGATTGAAAGAACTCTCGTACTCCATCCATGTCCCCGACTCCAGACATTTCCTTGCGCCATAGATCACAGGAATTGTCGCCTGAACGCCCAGCTCCAGCTGCAGCTTATCTTGCAGCTCCTTGGCTGTTACCCGAGCACCATTAGCACCATCTGCAGCAGCAGCCTGTATCCAGGAGCGGAACGATCCATTCTTCAAAAGGAAGCTGACCGTGGCCTTTGCTTTGGAGGCGCAAAGAATGGGCTCGTGCGACATTACGCTGTCTTCTTCACAGATCCAGAAGTATGATTTCGAAGGGTCTGAGGACTGTTTCTTCTTGACCCGGAGCTCATATCTGTCCATACAATGTCAGTCACAAGTATGAAATAGTCCTTCGTCACCTGCAGCCGGGAGAAGTGCATTTCATGAAGTACCCACGTTTGCCGTGCATTTTGTTCTCAGAGTTGCACGAAACCTGCCGGGCGCCATGCAGGATGTTGATCTTCTTTATGTAGTCGGTGCATTCGGGTCTTGTTTTCCACCTGCGATCCACAAAGAAGGAGGAATGGTCTAACGTATGCGAGGAACTGTTGGCTACTTCTTCTGCTTCCTTAGCAGTGCTGACCCGAGTCAAATCGATCCTGTTCGGATCGGATCGAGCACGCTTGCTTGCAGATGTGCTTGTGTCCTCATCGATGGATCCAGGGCTTTCCCTGGGGACATGTTGAGCTGAGAGTGGCGATTGATGTGGAGGATGTGCCACAGATGACGCTAGTGATGAAGGTGCTGGTAATGGCGAGGACAACGATGATGCAGCTTGCGCTGCTGGTGATGCCTTCGCCGCTGCCGCTGCCGCTGCCGCTGCCGACGACGACGGTGAAGCCGTGGCTGGACCATGCCCAGCATCGGGTGGTTGAGGGTCCCCCGACGCTTCCCCAGATTCTTCGTACTTCCTACGTTCGCTGGAGGGGACGATCGCTTTGTACAACTTGGTGACGGGGTCGCCTATCCCTTCATCGGGGGAGTAGCTCCAGTTGCAGATGGTGTATCCCTCCTTGATCAGCTCTACCACCGGCGTCTGCTCGCTCACGTGGAGGTGTTTGCGTAGCAGGTTCACCATGACGTACAAGCGCGGCATGGTAGTTCCCGCCTTTCTACTCGATATAACCGACATGTAACGGTTAAAGGGACTCCCAGTACTACTTTTGCGGAACATGCAGTACACACTATATATAAGTTATAAAAGTTTTGTAACAAATGTTTAAACTTATAAGGTTTTACATGAATACTACCAGATGGTTTATATTTTAATTTTATTCACATTCGTACAAGGGTTCGGTGTCAGTACAAAATAATTTCACAAAAACTCAAGATGTTTTCGTCACTTTTCAATGATATAAATAAAGTTTCAATTCCAAGGGGATAATTCTGAAACAAGCCTGCCTCAGCCTCCATTCCGCACAACATTCAAGGGGTGCGCCGCCGGTTCGGAGCAATCGCTTGCTGCCGACCAGAGCGAGAGAGCGCAAACCTGAGAGAGAGGACAAGCAGAGACAGAGAGGACAAGCAGAGACAGAGAGAACAAGCAGAGACAGAGAGGACAAGGTAGGCATTAGAGAGCAAGGCAGAGATTCTTCAACATGAGCACGGTTCTGGTTTCTGGAGCGGGAGGCTACGTCGGCTGCAACCTGGTCGCAATGCTGGCAGCGGAAGGCTACAAGGTGAGGGGCACTGTTCGCAGCACCAAGGACGAGCAAAAGATTGCCCCACTGCGCAAAGTCTGTCCAGACATCCAGCTGTTCGAAGCCGACCTCCTGTCTGACAGTGGGTGGAAGGAAGCCATCGACGGTTGCGAGTTTGTGCACCATGTAGCTTCTCCCTTCCCTCTCGGACCTCCGAAGCACGAGGACGATCTGATCAAGCCGGCGGTAGAGGGAACGACCCGAGTGCTGAAGATTGCACTCGAGTGCGAGTCAGTCAAGAAAGTTATCTTGACCTCGAGCTTCGTCGCGGTTGGCTCGGGCCACCCAGACGCCCCTGCGGACAAGGTCTTTAACGAAGACGATTGGTCCAACGTCGACAAGTGCGATGCCTATCCGAAGAGCAAAACCTTGGCAGAGAAGGCTGCATGGGAATGTATCGACAAGCAGCCAGCCGGCAGAGGATTGGAGCTCACGACGATCAACCCAGTGCTCGTCCTCGGACCGATGAAGAGCAAAGCTCCCTGCACGTCTGCTGAGATCATTTCTCGGCTGATGATGCGACAGCTGCCAGCATGTCCAAAGCTGTCTTTCCCGATCGTGGATGTTCGTGATGTGTGTAAGGCACATATCAAGGCGATGAAGGATCCCTCTACATCCGGAAAGAGGTTCATTGTCTTCAACCAGAACTTGTGGATGGTTGACGTCGCCAAGATTCTTGCAGAAAAGTACAACACGCAGGGATATCGCGTTCCGACTGGACATCTTCCGTACTTCTTGCTCTATCTTGTGTCATTCGTCGACAAAGGCGTGCGATCTATCCTCAAACAAGTCGGCAAGGAAAGCAAGCTGACGAGCGCACGATCGAAAGAGATGCTTCATTTGGAGTACACTGACATTCGCAGCACCATTCTCGACATGGCTGAGTCGATGATCGAGCTCGGTGTGGTTCCAGACAAGCGCAAGAAGTGAACGCAGTGGCCAAGATTTTTGGAGTGCGCCGGAGCGGCGGCGGAATAATGGAAAGCCTGTGAAACGAGACGGTGCAGAAGGAAAGCCGCGTCTTTTGTTCACCTGGACTCCGGGTGGGTAAGTTGAGAAGCAGAGCAGATGGTCCTGTATTAAACCTTTCAGTCCATCACGTACACTGTACCTCTTGCTGGTGTCTAAGCGGCTTCCGACGATGATTTGCTCGGGCACCCACGCCGGGCACTGCGCGGCAACGTGTGGGCCGCTGTGAGTCGGGATCAGTCCGGGTTTATCAGTCCCGTTTCTACAGCACCCTACCCCCTCTTGCATACTCAGAATCTATCTAAACCACCCCTAGTCTTAGGTTCTCTCCATTTCAACCTCTTCTCCCTCCCCCTCCCTCCCTCCCTCCCTCCCTATACCCAGTATGCACATTCAGAAGGAGAGAAGGAGGGTGATAGGTGATCAATCAATAGGAAAGAGTAATAGCGGAGAGCTCGGTAGAGGTGAGGCGAGGTGATCGAAAAAAGCAGGAGACAGGGAGAAGGATAAAAGCAAAGATGTAAGAGTTGCAGAGGCGGTGGCTGGAACAGGAGCAAGAGAGGAAAGGAGCGGGGCGAATGTGTATGTAGGGGGGTTCGCCATTCAAACTTTGATCCGACTGACCTGTGTTTGTTGAAGTTTGTTGCATTCCTTCACAGGGGACAACTTTGTTTCAAGCGCATCGTCCGTAAGAACACTTCAACAGTGTCCTGTACCATTCACAACATCGTTTCGTCATCGGATATTTCAAGGTCTCGGGGGAGGTTTGAGGACATTACTTGTAAGCTTCCTAGCAGGTGATCGAAAATAGGAGGTAATATTTCTCATGCCGAGTCTCACTTGGAAAGTAAAGCGCCACAAGCGTCAGTCAAGAAGAACACGGATGTCGATCAAGGCGGTTCAGAGCCTGAGGTCCTAATCCCAAAGTTTGCTCGCGGGCGAAGAAAGGTCTCTTGTGCTGAACGAGGTCCGCACTGACCACGCACAAAGGCGCTGCAAGGTTCCGATAGTGATATCGCGCTCATGCAAGCGGTGGCAGAGCAGTTCGCAGAACAGCATCTGAAAGAATAGCAAGCAAATGTGTGTTCCAGCGCTATCTTTTACAGGAGAAGCTGATTGTTGAACTCTACACTCTCACTTTCACCCAAGAGAAGGAACGTAGTGACGGCATGTTCAACATTTCAACTGCTCTCCTCATTGGCCAATGGGATGGGAATCTGCCAGGAAGCGTCAATCCTTACTCGGCCCAGCTTCTCAGACTCCTCTCACTTCAGTTCCATTCGCAAGCTTCAATGTCAGCTTTGTGCACTGCACGACAGAGGTCAGCCAATGGCAAGATAGCATCTCAGCTCTCACGTGAATACTTGATCCGAACTCAGTCTTAGCGGCCTGCAGGCATCACCATCACCCTGCCAAACAACCGCACACCTCCCTCCTCGCACCTCAAGAGTCAGAGTTCCATGCCCCTTCTCTCCCTTGACAGCGATCTGCATGCCACGTTAGGCCCGAGCTTGATCACCGTTGGCTCTTCACCTGCCCGTTCAGGCTGACCTTTCCGCCTGACACCACGTTCTGCGGGACGCCCTTCAGTTCTCAGTGCCGACGAGCCTCCTCGCCCTCACCATGCGCCCTTCCTTGAGAGACTCTCCTAGGGACGCTTTCACCTCCGAGTTCGCCTTGAGGATGTAGAGTGCTTCTCGGATCGCGTCCGCCGCCTCCTCAGAACTCTGATGGAATGTCAATAAGGCCGGTGCCCAAGCAGAGATTCGGCTGCGAACCTGCAAGGGCCCGCCGAAGCTCGCCCTCCTCGGATGACTCGGAATGGTGGAAGCAGCGACTACCTTAGCATTCTACCGCCCACGGCTTCAGCTTCGACTCATCCTCCTCCCCCGTCTCCTCACCTTGGCTGCTATGCGGCTTGACTCGCGTTCCAAGAATCTCCTGCTCACCAAGAAGCCGATGACTCCTCCTACGATGCTGGCCATGATGATCCAGTGACCGTACCTGCTCGGCGCACATTTCGTCATCAATACACCCAACAACAGACGGAGAAATTTCGCTCCGATTCAACTCACTTGGAGAGGTACGACTGATCTTGAGCCATCTTGGTTGCGATCTCTATCAGTGATCATGCGGGTCAGTCACTTGCAACCAGCAGCGTCAAGGAGGCAGAAGACCTGGAGGTATGCTGCTTGCTGGCTTCGGAGGCGGCGCTTCTGCCTTCTTCGGCTCCTCCTCCTTGGGGGAATGGAATAAGACGGGGACAAAGGAAAGATTCAATCCATTGTTGATGCCTTTCTGAACCAGACCGTTGATCTGATCGGCGACCTTCATCGATCCATCCACAAGCTCGTCAACATATCTCGTGAGGATCGCTGCCATCGACTTGTGCATGTCAGTCCGCCCGAAGCATCCGATGTTGTCGGCGAAAGCCTTCCTCCCAGCGTCGAAGTAGTGCTGGGCCGTTGCCACTGCGTCTGATGCCATGACCGACTTCCTCAAGTCATCGAGCTGAGAGAGAGTCCTCTCAACCTGGGGAAAGAAGTTCTGCCTCAGCTCGTCCATCTTCATCCTCAGGAAAGCCGAAGCCTCTTGCGTCATGCCCATGGCGAAATTCCACAACCACACCACGAGGCGCTGCACCTCCTCGACGATGAGATCGAGCCGCTCCTTGAGCTCAGAGCTCTTTTGTACAACTGCATGCTGCTGAGAATCGGATGCGTCACACAAGCTCTCTCTTGATGAAGAATGCAAGCTCGAAGCGTAAGTACCAACAGCTGCCAGAGGAAGCAAAGGGAGCAACGCGCGAAGCTTGTCCTTGATCCATTCACTCTCGTCATGCCAGCCTGAGCCATTCCTGGAGGAGGAAGAGGAAGAGGACACGAGCTTGCGCAATGCTGAGGGAGCGATGACGTGGGATCCTCGTCGCAGGAAAAGCAAGGAAGAGCTGCCTTGCACGTAGGCTCTCGCCCCGACCGAGTGACGAGAAGAGAGAGGAGAGCAAGGGGACAGGACAGCAGGGAGGCGAGAGGCAGAGGAGAGGAGAGACGAGGAGGCTGCTGCAGACAGGGCAGGACGCGGGAGGCGCGACATGGTGCGCAGAAGCCGCACACTCATGAAAGCCTTCGCCATCGTTGCCTGTCCGGCGGATCTTTGAGACGCGAACTTTGAAAAAATGGGGGTGGGGTACCAAAGAGTACATGGTTTCAGTAGGGGTGAATTGGCTTCAAAGATGGGGTACTACTAACAAAAGGGATGGGTCATGACACCACAGAGGTCCGGCGGTCAGCAAGAAATGCTACGGTTCATGGTGGTGGCGCTGCTGATGGTGGCGGGAAGCGAAGGGATGAGAATGGCGAAGGCGCCAATGGTGGAGATGAGGCTGGGAGGAGGCATGAGAGGGGCAATGCACTCTACTCCGCTCACGAGGAGACACGAGGATATGCTGCTGTTGAAGTAAGTTCCCTCGCTCCCGTGTCTGACCTCACTCCATTCCACAAACCATAAATCACAACTCACACATCATACACATCACATCATACGCCATTTACCATACATCTTCACCTTCCTCTCATTTCGCTTCCTTCATTTCACTTTTCGTCGCCATGCAAGTGGCTCAGGGGCTCCCTCAGCAGTTTTCACTGACGATCCTTACAGCAAGCCTCCTGCTCTTGCTCCAGGTTGTCCGGGTTCCATCCGCTTGAGAGGAGGAGCAGCCCGAGGGCCCAGCATGTCGCTCTCTCTTCCTGAGTATGCTAAGATGGGGAGCTTGGTCTACGGCATTATTGTCGGCGCGGGAGGGCTGGTGGCAGGTAATGACCCATCATGTGGGACAAGGAGGCTGACCGGGGTGATCAGGCATAAGAAGCGGCAGCAAGCCTTCGATCATATCAGGAGTAATTTCGTCCATCCTCCTCATCTTCGCTTACATGGTAACCCCCCTCTCCTCCTCTTCTTCCGCCACTTGCTCACACGATGTGTTTGTTCCGCTGTTTCCTCATCGATCACGCTGAACCAACCTGTGCATGCTATGAATCGCCTCGTGGGAATGCTTGTCTGCTTGCTTGCTCGTCAGAGGGATCAGTTGTACCTCTCCCTGGCCGTTGCTCTTACCTTGAGCCTTGTCTTTGGCATACGTCAAGCCAAGTCGAACAAGTTCTTCCCCGCTGGCCTCCTGCAGCTCATAAGCATTTCCTTTGCCGTCCTCTTTGCGCTCGCCAAGTTTGACATCTGAAGTGATGAGATGATTGGCAGCAAGACAACATGAAGCTGGCGCTTGCGACCTCCTCGGCCCTCTGCCTTGTCTTCGGGATCCGATTCTACAAGACGAGGAAGGCGATGCCTGCTGGCGTGCTCGGGACTGCCAGCCTGCTCTTCTCGTTGCTGTTCGGGATGGGAATCAAGTGGTGAGGCGAGGCGAGGAGGCGCGAGTAAGGGATGATTAACTTTACATGGATTACGAAATAACATGTGTTCTAACTTTGAGGGTGATAGTATCATGCTAGCAGCTCGCTGATATTGAAAGGCTCTCCGCTGAACTCGGATACCAGCGCATCAACCACCGTCTTGTTCTTCTTTCCTTCCTGCGGGTTGAGAGATTTACCATTCCGATCCACACAGAGAGAGGCGTCGCTACCGTGTATGTGAGATACTTGTCGATAGTTGCCTTTCTCCTCTCTTCGCTCTCGTCCTAAAGGGAGGAAGTGAGTGAAGGCAGGAGGAAAGAAAAGCTCCCGACGTGTCCGATGTCCAGCCACTTGGGCAGCTGCCGGGTGGAGAGGTGAACCAGAGGATAGAACTGACACGCAGGTGAGCGGGATGCAAGCTCGATCGTAATGGCCCCACCTGCTTCACGCAGTCGACAAACTGCTGGTTGGTCTTCTGCTTCTGGTTCTGCGCGAGGGGTTCAGGAGCAGCACCCCTGCCTGCCTGCCTGCCTGCCTGCCTGCCTGCCTGCCTGCCTGCCTGCCTGCCTGCCTGCCTGCCTGCCTGCCTGCCTGCCTCCCTCCGTCCTCACCTTCCACTTCCGCACGAACTGGAACATGAGGTCTGGCGTGTCCATGATGGCGGGGAACTGCAGGCAGGCCATGATGAGACGGGGAGGGGAGAGCGTTGACATCTACCGTAGCCGACGCCACGTCACATTTCAACACCTTGCTTGCGCCTTGAGAGGCCTTGTTGCTCTCCAGGGTCAGCAGGCTGAACTGCTCGAGGGCCTCGAGGCTGGCGGTGGGGGAGACCAACAAGTTAGGAAGAGCCTTGAATGCTCCCTTCAAGCTGGAGACGCTAAGAACGATCTCCGCCTTCGCCTTCCTGAAACGGGAGAAGAACCCTTTCTTCTCCGCTGCCGTCACTTCCTGCCATCCAGCGTGTCATCCAACGAAGCTACCAGGCTCCCTCCTCACCTTGGATCCCCACGGAGTCCCTCCGAAGAGTTTGAGGTGAACTTTTCCTTTGAGCTTAAGGACCTCTTGGTTCAGCTCCAGACACGCAAAGCCAAGGGAAAGCTCCTTGATCTCTCCCTTGTGCAGGGCATCCTGCCCTTCTCTTGTTGACCCGACCTTCTTGCACACCGACGACAACTCCACATAGAGCTGCAAGCTACAACAAGAGCTTGTCAGAGACATGCACGCACATGTTCACCTACCCTGCGTTCAACGGCGCTCGGAGCACGAAGGGGTTTGTTTCCTCCTTCTTGGAGAACTCCCATTTGATCCCGCCCTTGTCTCGCTTGTTAGAGATCGGAACAATGTGGGACCCGCCGACAAACTTTCGCTGAGCCACGTCGACGAGGCAGACGCGAGCACGACGGCCTAGGATGCGAAACTTGTTTGCCGAGACATTGGGGACTCCGTCGGCATTCATGATCTGAACTGACAGAAGCGACACGCTCCCTCTCGTGCCCTCGTTCGAGGCGGACATCGCCATGTTGAGAGCAGCGGACGGCAAGTTGTTTCCAATCCTCACCTCCTCTCTCAGAGGGGACGGGCCCACGCTCGCCGGCATCCCTCTCATGATCTCAATCAGGTCCTGCATGCTGGGAGTCCTCGGCCTCAGGATCTTCTCGTGGAATATCCTCTGCGCTTCACTGAGGTTGAGCATGTAGTTCTCGTCGGATCCACCCGGCTGACCCTGAGGCTTCGCCGAGGGTCTGGACGAGATGCCGACCTCACTGAAGTCAGCGGCATCAACTGCGATCATGTCGTTGCGCAAGGAGGAGAGCAGGGCGTCTGAAGAAAGCGAATCTAAAGGTTGGTCGGCAGATTTGAGGTACGACAACACCAGCAGGGCTACACCCTCGTCCAGAGACTCTCTCTTGACCGCCCCGCTCCTGACAGCCTCGTCCTCGTGCAGGGCGGAGCTGACCCTCTCAGCGAAAGTCGACGCCTCATCCGCGGTAACTTTGATTCCCTTGGGCGAGACTCTCATTAGAGTCCTGCAAGCCAGCTGCAGACGATCGTCCAAGACTGCACGCAGCGACGCTTCCTCTCTATCAGTGAGTACTCCGAACCGCAAGGCCGACTGATTCAAGAAGACCGCTGACCCGTCATCGGTAGTCTCCATCCTAGCAAGGAGGTTTTCCACCATCCTTGGATCCATCCCGAGCTGGTAGAGTTCTTTGGCAACATTTTTGACAGGGACGGAGGAGAAGATCTTATCGGAGGAAGGCTCGTCATCGAGAAGTTTTCGCATTTCAATCCTGTGCTTCACAAAATCCTGCATTGCTGAATCGTTGCAAACAGTCGATAATGAGCAGATTCGCCACTCAGCCAACGTGCCAAGCCTGATGATATCTCCCTTAACATGATTCAGAGTCCAGCCACGAATGATATCTGCTGTTTGCTCTTTAGATAAGCTCAGATGACCAGTCAGGTACTTCTTGACTTCCTCGACCTTCGCGCTCTCCGTCGAACCTGCCTGCATCATACTCAGGTGTAATTGCGCAAGGTGCGCTAGCAAGGTTCTCCTTCCTTTCTGGGAGTCAGCATCAGACGACGACGAGTATATCTCAAGTTCCGATGGCTTTAGCACTTGAAACTTGAGGTAGAGAAATGTTCTCCATGGAAAATACTTGGCGAACCCGGAGGCATTTACAGCTTCAACCAAGTCATCAATGGCCGCTTCGTTGAAGCCAGCCTCTGATAAAATGTCTTCCAGCGAGCCGATTTCCATGTAGTAGTTGGTGCCGTTCGCAGAAATGATCTTGCCTTCGATCTCATCGAAATTATTCAAGACTTCGATCAAGGAGGGTTTGAGATCCTTTGACCATAAGTCTTTAAACGTAAGGCCCTCCATATATTCTAAGACATCGCGTGTTTTGTTGCCATCCTGATCCAACTTGAGTGTATCCCCTATCAACAAGTCTGCCTCATCATCTTCTAGGCGCCATTTTGCATCCTGTTCGGTCAGAATATCGAAAAACTGGTCCTCGTCATCTTTGGAGGTAACCTTCTTTTTGATCTCGTCCCGGTTGACCAGAATTCTACGTCTGGCCTTCTGCAGCTTCAGAGAGCTGCATCTTTGTATCGCATCGATCTCTGAAGCGTGCAGAATGACCAGATCTTGCGCTACTTTCTTGGCGTTGACTTGACCTTCATCTGTTACCGCAGAGAGTGTTTTTGCAATGTACGGGAACAGGACAGAGCAAGGCATCTTTGCACTCTTCGGTTTCTGCTCCAGACCAAAGATGATGGAAAGATAGTCTTGGGGTACATTACCAAACAACTCGCAGAACTTGTCGACAGAGATGACAGCATCCTCATCCAACTTCTTGCTTTCCTCAATGAGTGTGTTCGCAGATTCCGAAAAGTGTAGCATCATGTGATAGTCAACGCTTTCCATGACCAGTCGGTGGCAGTCAGTGATCTTCAGGCCGGTGATGCATTCCCTGAACTTAGAACCTTGTATCTTCTGCAGTGAGCTGAAGGACTCGATCAACGGCCGGACCAATTCAGAGCTCACAATGTCGCCGCCATGCTGCCTCAAAGAGTTTTCGAGTTGTGATAGCGAAGCCTGTTCATCCTCTTTCAGAATTTCTCTCGTACGCTTCATATTCTGCAGGAGCGAAAATCTTGCTCTCTGCATGTTCTTGTCATGTAGCTGTTTGAAGACGTCCTTGTCATGATCTGTAAAGATACGAGCATTCCGAGCCCACATTCTGAAATCAACGTTTTCATGCCGAGGCCCATGTATACACCTTGGAAATTTTTGCAGAATCTCTTGTGCTACTGTTTCGGAACACCCAAGATTCGATTGCAAGATCTGGTTGAGCTTCAGAGCAGGTATAACTCCTGTTTTGACGTCTTCGTGTGTGAGACAGTCTGTCAGGATTTGGTCTCGAGCAGCGGGAAGCTTGGCAGCGGCCTGCCCTACCAGATCATGCAAAGTCCTGTTCGTTTCCTCCGCAGGGATGACTGAGCTTTCAACCTCCACGACCTTGGGTTGCGCATCCTTCTTTGCATCCTTCTCACCGTGCTGCTCTGCACCCGCCTTCGCCCTCAAAATGTCGACCTCTAAACATCCGTACAGCTCGTGGAAATCATCATTCATCATATCTATGACATCCAGCCATTCATCCTTGGTCTTGCAATCTATGTCATATTCTGGGTCTTTCCCTGTCTCGATGTCATAGATGAAACCATCAATCGCAAACTTGAGGGAATCTTTCGCTATCTTGAGAAAGTCCTCCCACTTGCACTTCTCTGGGACGAACACCTCCTTGAGGAGCTTTTCCCCCTCAAACAGGCTGAAGCAAAAGTCCTTCTTCAGCCTGACCGGCAGTTCTCCCTTGAGATACTCCTGATCTTCATCCAGCATCGCCAAAACATCCTCCCAGTCCTCTTGCTTCTGGCAAACAAACGTTTGTTCCTTGTCTCCCCCATACTTGTCATCATATTCGAAATACACCACACGCGTCTGGTCGTTGGCGTCCTTGATAAAGACTTCCATTTCGTTTCTGAAGTAACAGATACTGTGGCCTTGAGATCTTGTCCTTCATACAGCTGGATTTTGTAAGACTTACCATCATCCTTCTTGACCTCTTTCTTCTCCTTCTCCTTCTCCTTCTCCTTCTCCTTCTCCTTCTCCTTCTCCTTATTCATTGCGTTCTTATTCTCCTCCTCTTCCTCCTCAAACTCGTCCTCATAATCTTCGACATCTTCTGCGCTCGGCGCTGCCCCAGTCATGACGAGCGCAATGGCGGGAATGATCAGCCCTTTGATTGAATACCCCTACCCCCCCATACTCGACTCACTGCAACAAGTACCCACCCCGTGGACTCTCTTTTTGAATTTTCACAAGGTCCCCACCCATCCTTTTTGTGCCTGACTACCCATCCTCACATAGTGTCCGACCCAGTACCCTGCTCAGTACCCCACCCCCAATGGTCATCAGGGGGGTGAGTTGTACAGGACCGCGGAGAACCATGTCCGCCATGTCAGCCACAGTAGGATACAGCGATCAGGCGCGCAAGAGAAGAAGGAACATGGGCTCAGAGGAAGATGAGAGAGGGCGAGAGGGAGGAAGGGCAGACGATAGACAAGGAGAGGAGACGAAAAGAGAGACAAAAGGAAAAAAGGGAGTGTGTGAGCACGGGAGAAGCCGATCACAATGCAAAGAATGTGGGGGGGGCAGCATATGCGAGCACGGGAGAAGGCGATCAGGATGCAAGGAATGCGGGGGAGGCAGCATATGCGAGCACGGGAGAAGACGATCACGTTGCAAGGCATGCGGGGGAAGCAGCATATGCGAGCACGGGAGAAGACGATCACAATGCAAAAAATGCGGGGGGGGCAGCATATGCGAGCACGGGAGAAGGCGATCACGATGCAAGGAATGCGGGGGAGGCAGCATATGCGATCACGGGAGAAGGCGATCACAATGCATGGCATGCGGGGGAGGCAGCATATGCGAGCACGGGAGAAGGCGATCAGATTGTATGGCGTGCGGGGGAGGCAGCATATGCGAGCACGGGAGAAGGCGATCACAATGCAAGGAATGCGGGGGAGGCAGCATATGCGAGCACGGGCGGCAGCGATCAGGATGCAAGGAATGCAGGCAAGGCAGCATATGTGAGCACGGGCGGCAGCGATCAGGATGCATGGCGTGCGGGGGAGGCAGCATATGCGAGCACGGGCAGCAGCGATCAGGATGCATGGCGTGTGGGCGGAGCAGCATATGCGAGCACGGGAGAAGCCGATCACAATGCAAGGCATGCGGGGGAGGCAGCATATGCGAGCACGGGCGGCAGCGATCACAATGCAAGGCATGCGGGGGAGGCAGCATATGCGAGCACGGGAGAATACGATCAGGATGCAAGGAATGTGGGGGGGGCAGCATATGCGACCACGGGAGAAGGCGATCAGGATGCAAGGAATGCAGGGGAGGCAGCATGTGCAAGCACAGGCGGCAGCGATCACAATGCATGGCATGCGGGGGAGGCAGCGTATGCGAGCACGGGCAGCAGCGATCAGGATGCATGGCGTGCGGGGGAGGCAGCGTATGCGAGCACGGGCGGCAGCGATCAGGATGCATGGCGTGCGGGGGAGGCAGCATATGCGAGCACGGGCGGCTGCGATCACGATGCAAGGCGTGCGGGGGAGGCAGCATATGCGAGCACGGGCAGCAGCGATCACGTTGCAAGGAATGTGGGGGAGGGAGCCTGTGCGATCACGGGCAGCAGCGATCAGAATGCAAGAGATGCGGGGGAGGAAGCATATGCGAGCACGGGAGAAGACGATCACGTTGCAAGGAATGCGGGGGAGGCAGCGTATGCGAGCACGGGCGGCAGCGATCAGGATGCATGGCGTGCGGGGGGGGCAGCGTATGCGAGCACGGGCAGCAGCGATCACAATGCAAGGCATGCGGGGGAGGCAGCATATGCGAGCACGGGCAGCAGCGATCAGGATGCAAGGAATGCGGGGGGGGCAGCATATGCGAGCACGGGCGGCAGCGATCAGGATGCATGGCGTGCGGGGGAGGGAGCATATGCGAGCACGGGCGGCAGCGATCAGGATGCAAGGAGCGATCAGGATGCAAGGAATGCGGGGGAGGCCAGCCGTATGCGAGCACGGGCAGCAGCGATCAGGATGCATGGCGTGCGGGGAGGGGAGCATATGCGAGCACGGGCGGCAGCGATCAGGATGCATGGCGTGCGGGGGAGGCAGCATATGCGAGCACGGGCAGCAGCGATCAGGATGCATGGCGTGCGGGGGAGGCCTCATATGGGGAGAACATTTGCAAGCACTACAACTACTGATTATCTGGCATGCGTTGACAGGCGGTCTGGCTTTGACGTGATGCAGGCTTGAGGAGTGAACGAAGTTTGATGTCTTGCCCGGCGATAGGCTGTGCGATTATGTCAGGCGTTTGTAGATCGGCTGGGCCTTGCAGCTGGGACCAGAATCGGGCCCTTGATTGAGCACTTCTGGAATCCTGCGATGCCAATTATTTATAGTGAATCAGAGAAAGAAAGGAGCTTGAGGTCAAGCAGACGCTTTTGTTCCTTGTCTTGCACTCTTCGATCCTGGATCCCGGATACTCATGCGCGTCCCTGGAAGGCCCTGACTGAGCTCGGCTTGACGAAGGAGGGTGGAACGCCTTTTCTAGTTGGGTTCCTCCCCCTAGTTCCGATGCCTGTCAGCCATGTTCGGAAGGCGCTGGCAGTCCGGGATGACTTTAGCACCGCCGGCGATCCTTTCAGTCATCAGGACGACTCAGATGATGCGAGGGGGATGAAAGTCAGTCATAGCACCTCCTGGTCAGTGCCCGCGCCGATCCCGGTAGTACTTTCAATTCACTAAGTTTGTATATATCCCTCTCTCTAGCACCCGTAGCGCGAGCAGACGGTCAGTCTTGCCGCCCGCTGAGCCGGGGGCCTACGGGCTGCATTGCCGCGCTGAACTTGGAACTGCCCGCCACCCTGCATCGCTCCGACTCACAGGGAGTCAGCCAACCCCATTCAGTACTCCAGCAGCATTCCGGTGACCTGCCGCTGTGCATTTCAGTTGATACCCCTCACATCGCGGTCGATGGTCATGCAGGGAGTATGAGGCAACGATGCAAGAGTTATGACGCGCCATGGGGAGACATTCAAATCCGAATTTTGGCGGGCAATCTGCTCTGCATCCTTAACATGAGCAAGACGACAGCGAACAGAGAGGAAATGCCCAATTTGTAAGACGAGATACAGTACGAACAGCATTCGGACGATCCCTCAAATCTGCACCAAAGCTTGTTCACGTTGTCGATGGGCTTTCAAAGACATCGACTTGAAAACTGTGGAGGATTATGCAGTGTTCACTGACGCATTGGTGCTGAAATGTTTACGTTTTCTGCAGACACATCAGGCACGCAACTTTGAAGATAAGCGACGCGGATGAATAGCTTGCTACAAGTAGCGTCTATTTATCTCAAGCTGAGCCAGCATACCATCAACACTTCATAAACAAGCAAAGTTTACGCTCCTAGGTGACCTCTTTGGACAGAATGCAGAGGGCTTCGACAATGGTTTCCTTCATTACTTCGCCTCGTTTCAACATGGAGCAGATGCTAAAATGCATCATGATGAATTCCAGCTGCACATACTACCGACGCGCAAAAGCTTCGAAGTCAAGTAACGAATCATCGGCAAAAGCACAAGTCATTGTGTAAGAAAATCAGACATTGGGGCACCTCGCACTATGACACTGTTGGTGAGCTACAAGAGCAAATACACGATTATCGCTCAAGGTAACCAGCGAGCTGGAATGCACCAGAGTGCTGACATGCCACCATGCAGGTTACCATGCATGTAAGGCCTGAACTTATTAGCCAAGACCAGAACCGCAATATCAACACAGCATTCGCTCTCCTCGCACATACAATGTACGAAAACTTCCAGTCAATGCCATTAGAGGATAGACGTGATGTCATCCGAAGCATTCTTGAGTGAAGAGCATGAATCTCTTGAAGATTCCAATGACAGAAGTCCTACTGCCAAGTGCTTTCTCACCATTCGCCATGTTGAAAGGGCGATGGACGAATTCTATACTGCTGAGCTTCCCGACATTGTAGTCACCAAGATCCTGATTTTAACTTAACTTTGAGTAAAGATGTTAAGGTGGGATGAGGGGCTGGCAAGTGTCTGGTGATGGCCGGAGAGCAGGCTGAAGGATCCGCGCAGGTGAGAGGAGAGAGCGAGGGAGAGAGCGAGGGAGAGCGAGGAGAGAGCGAAGAGGGAGGGAGAAGAGAGAGGGAGCGAAGAGGGAGGGAGAAGAGGGAGGGAGCGAAGAGGGAGGGAGGGAGAAGAGAGCGAAGAGGGAGGGAGCGAATAGGGAGGGAGGGAGAAGAGAGCGAAGAGGGAGGGAGCGATGAGGGAGGGAGGGAGAGAGAAGAGTGTAGCTTAGAGGGAGAGAGCGAGGGAGAGGAGCGAGGAGGGAGGGACTGAGGGAGTGGAGAGAAGGATGGAGGGAGGGAGGGACGGAGGGAGTGGAGAGAAGGAGGGAGGGAGGGAGGGACGGAGGGAGAGGAGAGAAGGAGGGAGGAGGGAGGGAGGGAAGAGAGAGGATCGAAGAGGGAGGGAGGGAGGGAAGGAGGGAGACAGCGAGCGAGATAGTGAGCGAGACAGCGAGCAAGCAAGATGGAGGCAGGAAGCAGTGGAGCAAACAGAGCAGACGACCAATGTCTTTATTCGAGTCATCCCGTCACTGCCAGGGACATTTGCCATCATGTAACTTGCCTGCACATTGCTTGACAAATTTGATTGGCATAGTCTTTGTTCTCTCTGTCGCACTGGAGGAAAGAGAACAGAACGAAGGTGAGGAGAGTATTACATGTACCTGCTCTCATGCGCGGACTGGGATAGGTCACCGTAGGCATGCTTGCACTGATAGCGTCGCAAGCATTTTTTTCGCCAAGACGGGGGAGGGCGTTTGTCCGGAATCTGCTGATAGTTGGTAAAGTTCGAACGCAGCTTCATGTGGTATCGATCTGAATGAGCTGTTCAGGTGGGCCCACTGGCATGCTCTTGTATCCTGAATATGCCTTCACGATATCCTGGGATTCGAGGTCCCGCGGAGCTGAAGATGATGGCAGAACCTGTACTGATTTTAATGTCAGGAGGGATTACTGCCTGGACAAGATTTTGCAAACTTTTCCATTCCTAGAAGTCTCTTTCTTCAGGTAGCATGGTGTGCTCGAATTTCTGGGTTTTCTCAGACGCGTGTTGCAGGCGAAAGCAATGAGTGGACATAATTGAAGATGCTTTCAGACCCTATTACATCTTTTTGACCCCTCTCCGACCCCCGCCTTTCCCAGAACCATTTTGCTTTAGTTTTGTCTAAAGAAATTCCAATCTAAGTATTACAAGCAGTACAGAACGATCATAGACCAGCTAAAATAATTAAATATGGTACACAAGATGACGAAATCGGGGATTTTGGGTCTCATTCAGACGGCGACAGAGCCTGGTCTGATGGGGAATTCTTCAAACACTGGAGGGGAATTTCGAAGAGTCCTTGCTCTCGTCCTCCTTGCTCATCTGTTCAGCACTTTCTAACCATGCCAAAACTCTCAAGCACGCAACAGAACTGCGGAAGGTAATTCAACCATGAGAAACCAGATCAAACAAATTGGCAGACCTATGCCATGCTGTCGATGTGGTAGAAGATTCCTGAACCCGAGCTGCCTCATCCGAAGCCGTGTCAACGTGAATTCCGGACTTGATAAGCTTTGCCCTGAGCTCGTTCTGCATCTTTAGTTCTGCCTCGTGCTGTCTCCTGCTTTCTTCTTGCAACATCATCACTTCTCTCTCTGCCAGCTGTCGACGATTCCCAGGCATCAAAGTAGTTGAATGAGAATGCCTGCTCTTGTGCCTCTTGGGACTCTGCACAGGAGCCTGACACTGCTTGGCACAGCGTCAAAACATCGAATAGAAATAACAAAAAAGTACCCCAATGACTTGATCAATAGGTCTCTTGGCAAGTTCTAACTTTCTCTTCTTTTCCAACTGCCTTGACGCAGAGTTGCCTTTCCACGCAGGATCTTTTGATCCTGCCCCCCAAGTTACATACAAAATCGTTATCTGACAGCCTCTAACCTGCTGGAATTTGTGTCCAAGATTGGATAACGGCCACCTCATTCGATCCAGAAGGCACGTGCCAACCTTTGATTGTAACACATCTTTGTCCATCGAGGATCATTTGCGCTGTTGCAGTGATCCTCAACGTCATGCCGCACAAGTGTACAGCTGAGCGCCGATCCCAGGAGCCTGACAGAAGGTGTAAATCAAACATCCTTGCAGGCCAAGGTGCATGTTTCAAACTCACATCCAGGGCTGCAATGACCTAATCCAGTGCACCATCCATCAACAATTTTCCCCTGATATCGACATCAACGACAGTTATTTGAGGGTAAGAGCAATCTCACATTCAAATCCTTCCTACTCCGTTGGCATTTGCTCCCATCCTTCCTGTTGCCTCTGCAAACATACAGCAATTCGTATATGACCCTTTGATCACTGCGGTCTTTGACTGCCGGTTTGCAAAATGACAAATCCACTTCAAGCAAGTCGCTAGGAATATGTCGGTGCCGCCTTTCAGTTTTCTTGATGTCCATACTGAGCAAATACTACAGTCATGGCGCTAGCAGCAAAAGAACTTCGGGCTAAAAACCTGAAATGATGCTTGCATATAACGGAGGAGTCAATCTTGGATTTGTGCAAACGCCAATCAGTTTGTGTGACTTCAGTTGGCCCATCTTGCTCGAGCCATTTTTGCAATTCAACCTAATATTGCATTAGATTCAATTCAATCTTGGATCAGCAGATCTACCCCTTCTCCGATGACGTATTGCCCACCGGACTCACTCAATTCCTTCAATGTCTGTATCTTCAATTTTGAATCCGTTCCTTTCGGATCTTCCCCGTTCCAACCAGAGGGAATTCCCGGTTGCTCTGAAGCATTGAGAACTCCCGTAGGATTCCCGGAATCAAGGATGGGAGAGCACATTCTGCTTGCATAAGTTACAACAACATTAACTGGCAGAAAACACAGCACATTGGTATGGGTATTTTTGTTCACTTTCTTCTAGCTCGTTTTCATTTCAAGTAATCCTGTAAAAAGGGCGTCAGATAACCGTCAGAAGTTTTTTACATGGCAAAATTCATAAAAGATAATGGCATCAAATATTTTGTTTCTCTAGATCATCCGCTCACAAAATCCATCAACTCTTTTGAAAGTCTGGTTCGATTTCAAAATATCATTGTACACTCGAGGCACCATTAGGTACGTGTCTTTCCCAGAGTCCCTCTCAAGCATCTCACACATCATAAATATATGTGCACCATAAACATGTCAGGACGAAAACTATCATGAGCAGTTGGCCAAGCTCCACATGTAGTTCAAGCCACTCTTATGCCAGTGATATTGCAGCCATAAAAAAATCTACATTCACAATCATCCATGGTCTCCAAGTAAAGAGCTTATCTCTCGACATGAGCAAACGTCGTTGGCAGCATGATTTCTTGTGCCAAAGATATGGGTCGCAAATCATCAGCAAATCATTTCACAAAGTGATGGTGCACATAATCCTTGAACTCGTGAAGGCGAGCAAGTGAATGTTGGGTAACAGAAAGAAAACAGAGGAATAGCTGGGCTGAAGAAAAAATCATCCTCTCCCAACTGACTACCAAAAATGACTGGCTTCCCTCCCCCTCCACAACTCGCTTGCCATGCGAGCCTGGAAATATCTCAACCACGTACAACGAGAGGGCCTATCTTCTTGTGACAAACCTCTCCTTTCTCAGTATAATGCATGAAATCTTCACTGCCCCTTTCTCGGAACGTCGCCTCATTGCCACCTGCCCAGTGCATTTTTTGGATTGGCGGAACGGACAGCCTCCCTCCAACTTCTTTCCAACAAGGGCACGCTTTCCCTGCACCTGTTTCATCCTATTCTTCAACCCACTCGCTTCACACATAGTCCATCAAATCTTCTTTCCCTCCTCTGACTCTTCCTCGCTGTTCTTCAGCCCATCACGCAGCCACTTCACGCCATGAGATCGGTATCTTTTGGGGAAGGGCGGTAGAGGTGAAGGGTAGGGGACCAGAATAAAGATGGAGGGCTGGGTGTCAATCATGGAGGGGTCCATTCAAATCTAAACCAGTTGTAACATCCTCCAACATCAAGGGTAAAGGGTATGTCACTATTACTCGATGTTACAATTATAACAAGTGGGAGATATGGGTATACATTGATATGTGCGCAAGAAGGAGCCGATATTGGGGGTAGGGGTGCAATGCAGGGGGTATTTTAAAGATTGCCTCAAACCGAAGCAAAAGAGCTGCGTGAGGGTACTGGAGGTGCTAGAGGGTACTATTAGAGCTGACTGAATGGGGTACCGGTAGTACATCGCCAGCCGGGCCCGCCGGTACCAGCGCCGCCGCCGGGCCGCCTGATCGGACACGCCGCAACCCGGGCCGGCCTGTATCACTGACATGGCAGGCGCGCGGCGCGGCGGGTGACGCCGGCCGGCGGGCCGCCTCAGTCCGATCCACCGAACTAGGGGCCTCTGCTATCGTGACTGGCTTCCAACCTCCGACTTCCGACTCTGAACTTCCGAGGTCTGATCACTGTCATGCCATGATGGGGCACCGTGGCACCGTGCACAGCCTCAGGCTGGCAGTGGCAGGGCCCGGGAGCCTGAGGAGCGGCCGCCGCCGCCTGATTTGCACAGTGAGTCGGCCCGGAGTACAGCATCTCGGAGGCTGCGGCAGTGCTGCGGCCGTTGCTTGATTGCGGCTGCCTCTTGTCGCATAGCATTCAAGGCTTCGACGGTATTCTGCGCCCGGCGCGAAGTGTGTGAGGGCCGGGCCGGGCAGTTACGGTTCCGAAGGGCTCTTGTCACGGTTGGAATAAGGGCCGGGCCTGCCTTCACTGTCAGGCTGAGGCTTGGAACTTGATTAACCGGGAACCTGCCTTGGAATAAGGAACCCGCCTCCCTTCAAGGCTTGGAATAAGGAACCTCCCTTGGAATAAGGAACCTCCCTTGGAATAAGGAACCTCCCTTGGAATAAGGAACCTCCCTTGGAATAACTTAGTAAGGAACCTGCCTTGGAATAAGGAACCTCCCTTGGAATAAGGAACCTCCCTTGGAGATACATGATAAGGAACCTGCCTTGGAATAAGGAACCTGCCTTGGCCCGGAATAGGGACCTCCCTTGGAATAAGGAACCTGCCTTGGAATAAGGAACCTCCCTTGGAATAAGGAACCTGCCCTGGAATAATAAGGAACCTCAGTGCCTTATTAGAACCTGCCCCGCCGCTGAGTTCCTTATTCCAGGGCAGGTTCCTTATTCCATTTTTAACCTGTTAATGAACATGGGGGTGGCTGGGGTACTGCGTCTACCGGGAAAATTGGAATGGAAGGGTGGGTGGTGGATTCCGTACACTCTCTTCTCACGAAATCGCGCACCTCCAACCATGGTAGGAACCGGTGTTCCCTCTCTGCCTCTCATCGCCCTTATGCTCCTTCCTGCCATCCATGCCTTCTGCCCCTGCGCACTCGATGTATCCATCCCGCCGAGGAGGACTGCTGTCTCGAGCTACATGCGCAAAGGCAATGAAGCCGGTACATGCAGAGGTCGCACTTCGAGTCTCAACATGCGTGAGTATGCAGAGCATAGGAGAAAGGGAGTGCCCGGGAGGATGCCGATGTCCATGATACGGCGAGGAGGAGATCGTGAGGAAATGATCTCTCTAGAGGCGCAGATTGCTAGAGTGGAGGAGGAGATAGATCAGGTCAACCGACAGATCAGAGAGGTAGAGAAACAAGTGCTCAATCGCGACATGGAGGAGCAGCTTCAAAAGGAAGAGGAGCAGCTTCGAAAGGAAGAGGAGCAGCTTCGAAAGGAAGAGGAGCAGCTTCGCGATCTACTCATCGAGGTGAAGAGGGCTCAAGGTTCAAAGAATCCTCAAGGCTTTCTGTCAAAACCTGAAGGTGATGCTCGCATTGCACTACCTTGACGACTGAAGGCACTGACGGACTGATAGGCGACATGTTGCTGTCCTTCTTGAACGAGCTTTGCAAGGTTGCGAGGGCGGGCAAGACTTACTCAGCTCAAGAGATTGTCAGCTTCTCGACCTTCTTGGGAGGGAATGAGATTTTTGGAAATCAGCTGTTCCTACGAGATTGCTACTTCGAGATGAAGCAGCTGATTGCAGAGTACTTCCGCTTAGACACGGAGAAGCCGAAGAACGGCCAGGTCATCCTCACAGGGAGTCCAGGGATAGGGAAGTCATGCTTTGCCTACTTCTTTCTTCTTCAGCTTCTCGGCTCTGATGAGGAAGTAGTCTATCAGGTAGGAGCCGAGTACTGGTACTTTGATGGGGCAGAATGGAGTCGGTTTAGGGATGTGACAGTTTTTGCACCCTTTCTCATCACTTTCCGCGGGTGGTACATCTGCGACTTGTACGAAGGTCAGGGGAACTACGTGTTAGAGGATTCGCTGAGAACAATCATACTGGCTCCACCCAAGCTCAGAGGGTTCAAGGACATTCTGAACAATGGAGCTGGGCGATATTTTCTACCAACATGGACTGATGAGGAGATGTCAATCTTCATCAAGATGCAAGGGGGTCGCGTGAACGAAGAAGAAGCAAAGAATGTCGTCGAGGATTGGGGGAACGTACCGAGGAATGTCATAATGAGGCCTTTAGAGACACTTGAGCAGGCGATACAGACGATAACCTCAATGTCGTCGCTAAACAAAAAGATGATAGCAGCAGGGAACGAAGACCTGGGATCGCCATCGAGACTGATTCACCTGGTCCCAAGCTCAGACTACACGACTATCAGCGCTCGAGCATGCTCGCAGAAGGCCGCGGAGAAGATCTTTGCCCGACTTGTCAGAAAAGACTGGGATGCCCTTATACGCATGGTTTTCATATGCTCTGATTCTGGGTGGGATTGGGGGGCGGGTCTAGTTTTTGAATGCTTGGCGCATGAGGTGCTGAAGAAAGGAGGGAGATACAGATTGCGCAGTCTAGGGTCGGGGGAGGATGATGAAGGGGCAAGGGAAGTGATAAGTTTGGATGTCAAGAAGTCACAGGCATACTTTGAGGTTTCAAGAACAGGACTCAAGGAGTGGAAGATCATGGAGAACACATATTGCAAGCCCAAGGCATTGAACTTCCCTTGCATGAGTGCGCTTTTATTGTCAGATCAGGAGGTCCTCTACATGTTCCAGATGACACGGACAGAACAATATCCGATCAAGCTTGGACCACTACGTGAGATGTTGACAGCTCTACGAGCCAAGAACAAGTTTGAGAGGGTATGCCTTGTGTTTGTTCTACCCGCAGAGCTTGAGAGGAAAGCAAGTTGGAGACGAGCTCAGGTTTTCACCAACGACAAGACAGCAAGTGAGATGGAGAAGCAGCCAGTGGAAAACGTTACCCAGCACGCGATGTTCTTGTCCATGGAAGACGTGGCATGGCTAAAGGGAGCGGAGAAAGGATTCAGCTCGTAGATGAGGCACGGTCTCAGAGTGAAGAGCAACTGGAGGCAGGCGATGAGGCGACAACATAGAGGATGATAGATGGAATCTGTGACGTTGATGTGGGCTGAAAGAGTGGATGGCTTGTAGTGAGCATTGTAGCTCAGGCAACAAATATATATGAAGCTTCCTGTTGAGTCAGAGATTGCATCGTTCGATGGAGAATATAATGATTTAGATCATTCGATACACCTCGACACAAATGCTGACTACGAGAATGGATGATGCCCAGTACATGAACACTCTCACAAAACCGTCCGTCCATACTGAACAGCGACGCAGAGCGAAAGTTGGCGCGCTGCCGCGAAAACACGACCAGGATATGTCGATCATCACTTGCATCATCATCATCTCCATCTTAATCATCATCTTCTTTTTCTTCTTCATTACCTCCATGATCTCCTTCATCATCATCAACATCATCATCTCGTTCTTCACCATCATCATCCTTTCCATGATCTCCTTCATCAATATCAACATATCCTTAATCGTTAACTCCATTCATGTATATAATGATCACAATCATCATCATCTTGCTCATTATTGCCAACATCGTCATTTCCATCTTCTTCTTGTTTTCCTTTATCATCATCATCATCATCGTCATCATCTCCTCATTATCTCCATACATCATCTCCATCTCAATCACTATCTCCATCTCCATCGTCGTCAGCATCCTTTATATTATCATCACTATCTTTATCGTCATAATCTGGTTCTTCTTCACCATCATCATCATCCCCTCTTTCATTTTGATCATTTTTATCGTCCTCTTTATCATCGTCATCGTCATCGTCATCTCCATCATCCTCCATATTATCATCACTATCATCATCGTCATCTCCTACATAATCTTCATCTCCTCCTTCATCTTCTTCATGATCCCTCCATCACATCATCGTCATCGTCATCGTCATCGTCATCGTCATCAGCATCGTCATCAGCATCCTCTATGTTTCATCACTATCTTTATCGTCATCATCTTCCCATTTTGTTCCAGCATCATCCCCTCCATCATCTCCTTTCTTCATCATGATCACCTTCAATATCTCCATCATCATCTATATCACCATCACCTCCATCACCATAATCCTAATCATCTCAATCATCATTCTCCATCATCGTCATCTCGTTTATCGTCGTCGTCGTCTTCGTCGTCATCTCCATCATAATGTTCTCCATCATCATTCCCTTCATCATCATCATCATCATCCTCCTCCTCCTCCTCCTCCATCATCTTCATCTCCTCCATCTTCATCTCTTTCATCATCCCCTCCATCACATCATCATCATCATCATCGTCTTCCTCATTCTCATCGTCGGACATCATCATCTTCATCATCATCAGCATCCTCCATATTATCGTAATCATCACTATCCTCACAATTCTCTGATAGGTCATGGTGGTTTCACGATCATTGCACAGGCTGAAAAATCATCCTCAAACCTGGTCGCCGCCTTGCAGCAAGTTGGATCACCTTAGACGTCTTGCGAGGCCGAGAGACATCCCGCCGATACCGTACATATTCCACAGATCTCTTGACGACTGCTTGATTGCTGTAGACGTGAATACCTTTCTCCTTCAAGAGATCAATAACTTGATCATATGCAGCTCTCACAGTCCTCTGAAAAACCTCAGGACTGTCTCCATATGGAATGTAGGACATCGTCATAAGGCATGATGAACTTCGGACAAGCTTTTGCCAGGCTTCCATTCTTTGCTCAAACAGTCAGTTGCGAGGTTGATCGTGACGCGGCGCAGGTGGGATCGGATACTCAATCGCCGATGCTGATACGTCAGTATTGGCCATGATGCCGCCCGGCCGGGCCAGGGGTGGTGGGTGGAGCCTCCTCAGCCTGAGTCACGCACTGCGGCACGCCGACTCTGTGACTCCGTAGTACAGATAACTCAGTGACTAGTGCAGGTCGTGGAGGATACTTGATATGGACTACAGTAGAATACGGTAAGTGACCATACGTATCTCCTGTACTGGTACGATCGGATGAACCTTGAGGAGGAGCAGGCAGCAGACTTAAGCGGTGGTTCCCCTCGACTATACTCTAAAAGGATCGTCAACAACTTCTAAGGTGATCTGTCCTTTCCCTTGCTGTGCCTGATCTTTATGGGGGTTCAGCGAATCGTACCAGTACGGTACAGGGACTCATGATACCACTGGCGCGCCCAAGTTGCACACGGTGGCACTCTTTTGCCCAACATCACTCAGTGGTCAGTGGCATGCTTGCTGCTTCAGCTCCGATTCTTTGGCATCTTTTCAAGGGAATGTCGAGGAGTCGGCAAGGGAATGTCAAGCCTGAGTCGGCAGCAGATCTCAGCGGACGCACTAGGGATACTTGCCCGTCTCAAAAAGCTTCTTATCAGCGTGATCCAGAGGAGCAGCTTTAAGCATTCGTTTTGACGTCCGAAACCCGCAAAGCTTCAGGATGTGACAAATCTGTTTGCTGCATTGGACTACTAGTTCAAGAACAAAGGTGCATTCGTGCCTTGGATACTCTTCAGGATCGAATAGTACACTCACGGTGAGTTTTGTCTCGTGATGGATCTCTTTCACGTCTTTGTCATTCAGCCTCCTCTCGTAAACAGTTCCCTTCTCACTTCTACTCTTCAATCGGGTCTCTTCGCCACAATACCTGGAGCCTATTGCAGTTTTAGTTTACTCAAAGTTAAGTTAAAATGCAGTCTGTTCCCATTTTTTCCCGACAAGTTTTACTCACATTGGAGACGAGGGTGGGTCGTTCTGAGTTTGCTGAGGGGGTGGGTGGTCTTAAAGTCAAAAAACCAAAGATAAAAACGACCCAGCAAATATTCTCATCGAAAAAGATCATCAGCCAATAATTTCAAAAATAATCATTCAAACTTCAAATTGAATTGGGGGTCGCAAACATCCCTTCCGCAACTTGAACCTGACGATTCTCCCAGTCTTATCATCCCCTCCCCCCCACACCCTACCACCTGCTCTTTGACCCCTTGGACCCCACCCTCACCTGGAACCTCCCGGGAACCCACCCTCCCCCCGAGCGAAACTTTCATGTACCCCACCACACGAATGACTCTATTTTGACCGTGGTCAAATATGTGTAGGGAGGAGCCGTGGCGATCATGGCTGCAGTAGTAATCGCCACGTTCTGGCCCATGGGTTATTGCAGTCAAAACTACTGGTCAAAATGGACCGGGGTGGGGGTGTATCTCACAGCAGATTTTCTATTCGTTTGACCCCAAGGAGAGGGGAGGGACGGGGGGGGGGGGGGGGGGGGGCCCATGAGGCCTTGAAGAAATACATTTTTGACCTGTCAGCAGTGCATGTGACTCGCATCTATCGAAAAGAGCTGGTTTCGTGTTTGAGTGACCGTGAAAGGCAATGAGAGCTATGGATGACGCCGTAGGGAGAACAGGCAAGGACAAGATACAAGAGGGAGGAGACCACGGAAGGAGAGACCCAACTGCTGCTCGTGAAGCAAATATGGACGGAAGAGACGAGCTGGGCATCATCTTTGACGAGCAACACTTTCACTGTAGAGAAGCCGTCACACATTTGGACCCAGGAATAGCGCCTTTGTTCGATTATGAACCTCTTTTCTCCAAGCAAATCGATCCTCAGCCATTTTGTTCCATTTCGGACGATCTGTTCAAATGCCATGATCATATGGCATTGTCAGATCACAGCATGAATTTTGTACAAGAAGTTATGGCGGAGGGTGAGAGCAAACAAGAAGACTTAACGCGGGAGCTGCCATCGCTGAGTCGGCCCCCGACTATGGAAGATCAGTCGCCTCCCCAGCCCGCATTTCAGCCATCGATAGATGAGAAGCAAGAAGGCCTTCAGAAGACTGAAGCCGTCGAAGAGCTGCCAACCTTCAGTCCCTGCAACGAGCAGCTTGAGGACTTGAAGTCGTACCTTGAGTGTCTGGACTCAGTGGGCAGAACCTACGGAGCTGTCAAGGTCAAACTTCCACAAGGCTGGAGGCACAAGCACATGAAGAGCGACCTGTCCAGGCTGAACACTTTGAAGTTCCACTGCGAGTCCAAAACCCTTCGATACAAACAACTGCCTGGCTGCGACCTGGTGGTGGCCGGCGACGTCGAGTTGAGAAGCTTTCTGGAGCTTCAAGACTCCCTCCGTTCGATCAGAACTCACAAGGAGGATGGCGAGAAGACGATCAAGGCAACAGCAGATACTTTCTCCCTGCTCCATGCACCTTCTCACGAGAACCTCTTTGCTCCTGTGGCTGAACACGCTGAGTCCTATCCCTGCGTGCTTTCATTGGGCAGCGAAATCACGGTGCCTGCTCGTCATGCTAAGTCTCTCGTTCATCATCTGACGTCTTGACAGGCGAGCGGGTGGAGCCAGACGGAGCATGAGACGATGGTGTGTTGCGTTCACGTCGGGGGCTCGAGAACGGCCTACGTGGTGCCTCCGGCGCACCGCGAAGATCTCTCGCAGCTTTCAGACCGGATGAGAGCAGAAGTGAGGAGCAAGCATGGAAAACTAAACGAGAAGGATGAGCTGCTGATCGACCCCGAGGTAAGCTGTGCCCAGGATGGAATGAGGCCGTCGGGAGGGGGTGACTGTTCCAGCAGGAGCTTGCCAAGAACGGCATCCCTGTCCGGAGGGCAACATTGGGACCGGATGAAGTGATCATTCACTGGAAGGACGCATCTCATCTCTTTGTTGATGAAGGTTTCATCTGCAACGAGGTAAGTGCCTTGTCTTGCCTTTGATCCCGGACACAGACTGACTGGATTCCGGTGCTGTACCAGTTCTTGGACTGCAAAAGTTTGATCACGATCTGCGACTTGACTTCCAAGAGCGCCGAAGTGCGCTCTCGGCTTTCTCCACTAGGTGAATGATGCCCTTGAATGCTCTCGCCACAAGCTTGAGGGCTGACTCTGCGATGACGTCAGAGTCTGACAACTCGAGCTGCAAGCTGTTGGACGATGCCGAGGATGCAAACCAGCCTGAGTGGGCGGTCCGAAGGAGGCGCAAGAGAGTCTTGACCCATCAAGGAACCAAGTCGATCCTGAGTGCACCGGTCGAACTGAAGAACAAGAACTGCCACTACTGCGAGCACGCGCCGAAGCGATGTTCCAACTTCACATGCCTTAGCCCCAACTGTGATCAGGTGCATGTTGAGAGTGGCAGGGGATCAAGGGGCTGACGACTCTCGCAGAAATTCTGCGACAAGTGCTGCAAGCTACACCTTCACAACCCGACGCACTTCAAGTCTCAAGATGACGCTGACCGGCTCGATTGGCGATGTCCTGTATGCACAAGGTAGGAAGGCTCGAGGGCTCGAGGGTCTGGTGACGTCATTGGCAGGAAATGTTGCTGTACGATGGAGACGTGCCATCAAGATCACATTCACTGCAAGAGGTACAGAAGGAGAATGAAGAACATGCTCCAGGCCTTCGACTATTATTTTCAATGAAACTGCAGTTCAATCGGCTAGATGCCATTATTATAAGAATTTTTTCCCTAGCGCAATACATCCAAGTAACCGCTCCCGACGGAGATGGCTGCATCCGAGGAGCAGCAGCAGCATATTTACATCCTTTCGTCTCCTCATGCTCTCTCCAAGAAGTCGCTGGTGAGGTTCAAGTCGACACTGAGCGAGAGAGAGGAGATGGAGGGGGAGTACTTTACAGCTCCTGCACACCCTCAACGGGTCAGCACCCCACGACAGCATCCCAGGTGGTTACCCAGCAGGAAGCTCTCCCCTTCATCGCCAAGATTGTTTCTGCCCACCCTGAAATGCGACAGGTGGGAGCACCTGCATCTCCATCCTTCAGATGCAGCGGATCACTCCCACCTGCCGTACCTGGGCAAGACTGACGCGAACGTTGCAGCACCAGCGACGCCGATCTTGTTCTCTTGCAGGTCGAGGAACGAAACTTTACAGCTGGACCACGGGGGTGAGCGTAGTGTGCGGACTTGCTCAGCAAGCTACCGGGGGAGGGTGTGGGCGAGTCCAGTAGCTCCCTTGGAGCCGATCTGAGACGGTCAGGTCAAGATGGGGAGAAAGAGATGCACAGAACGCACTTTACAGTTGGAGAGGCTCAAGTGGGTAAGGCTCTCACACTTGCTGAGAACGTCGGCGAGAACCTGAGGAGACAGTGAACGAGCAGGGACATGGAAGGGATACTTCTCACGATGACGCCGTTGCTTTCAAGATCGTTCGAAGAGAGATTCAAAGTCTGTCAGTCATGAGTAAGATCGAGTCGGCGGGTTCAAGGTCCTCAAGTGAAGTAGATGAAACATGCTCCGGATCCGACGGATCCTGACAGCCGGGTCAACTTACATTGAGGTTGGAGCAGGACGGCAATGAAACAGCCAGTAGGCTGCATCCCTCCTCCTCTATGTGATTGCACTCCAGTGACAAGCTCTTCAGCCTGTGGAAACTTGCGTGGGAAGGCGGAGAGAGTGAGACTCTACTTGATTACCTGAGACAACTGGCAAGGACTGCAGACAGGAACCCAATGCCTTCATCGCTGATGTCGTTCCAACCCAGCGCAATCTGAACAGCAGGAAGGACTCACGGAGGGTTCTTTACTCCTTCTCCTCCACCTCTTGGCCCCCCCCCCCCCCGCCCCCCTCCATCTCCCCCCTTCATTGTTCAGCCATTCAAGACACTCACCGTTTCTAGTGAGATGCACCATGGCAGGGAGGAAGAAAGCCTCGCCATCCCTTCATCTCCGATCTTCCCATGGCAAGTCAACAGAGCCAAGGCCAGCAGGTACCAAGGTCAAAAGGGGCTCAGACCTGATTCTTCGAAAGGTCCAACGATACCAGCCGACCGCACTGACAGTCCAGATGAGTTACGTGTGCAAGCATGTCAGGATTTGAACCTGTGGCAACGTGGAAGCGAGGAGGTAGATTCCTTCACATCCAATCTGGAGCCAGCAATGTATTCAGCAAACTCTCCAATCACTTGCTCCGCGGAGTGTTGGACCTGGTTGTCGTTCAATCGCAATTCCCTCAAGACAGAATAGTGCGGCAAAGACGAAGCAAGGAATCCCGTCCCCTGTTCAACATGATCATGCTCGCTGCATGCTGATATGCTCTCGTCCCGCTCACCTCCGAGCCAATCAACGTATTGGAGAGCGAGACCTTAGATAGGCAGGCGCAGTGCGGAATGACCGATGCGAGCAAACTTGCCTACAAGAATGTAAGCACCCTTCCAGCAGACAAGGAGAAGTACAGTATGATCCCCAAAGCTGTTACAACTTAGATCAAGTTCCTGCAGCTGAGGCAAGAAAGTTGTCAGGATTCTCCTTTCTTCCACCGGCTGCCCGCTGCACCTGGCTGCACTGGGGCAGCACGCTGACGATGAGGCTCAGACCTTCTTCTCCGAGCAAGTTGGCAGACAACTGCAACAGCGTATCGCAGTCAGTGACGAGCCGCGAGGAGTGTTGACATGAGCTCTCGTACGTCGAGGGAGGAGATCGCAGGCCACATGCGAATGGAGGAGGCGATCAGCCCTGCCCCCTCTGCCCCTATCGAGTTCTTGCCCAAGTCCAGCTGGCCCAGAGGTGGCAGGGCAGCGGCAAGCCTAGCGGCTCCTTCGCTCGTGATACCGTTACCGCGCAAAGAAAGAGCCTTGATGCTCAACTTGGTGGACACGAAGAGATTTGCCGCTAGCCTCGTAGCTCCCTCGTCACCTATCGCATTGTTCGACAGGTCCAGATGGGTCAGGGAAGAATTCTCCGCCAGCTTGCTCGAAAGAAACTCCATGCCGACAGGTCCGAGGTCGTTGTCGGCGAGATCCAAGAGCGTCAGGTTGTTACATCTGTCAAGAGCGCTGGTCAAGACAATCAGTCCCTCGTCATGGATGTAGTTTGACTGCATGCGCAACTCAACCAGCCGTGACAAGTTGGGCAGGATCTCAGCAAGGATCTTTGCGCCACCTGACCCGATGGCGTTCTCGTTGAGGTTCAGAGTCTCCAGAAAGACGCAGGAAGAGAGCAGGCAAGAAAGGTCCTTCACACCTGTCGTCCCGATGTAGTTTCCTTCCAGGTCCAGCGACTTCACCAGGTTCCATCCGTCCCTGCCAGCATCTGAGAGCGCCGAGACCGGCGAGCAGAAGGCACATCGAGGTGCTACGATGTCGCAAGTGCCTTTGAACTGCGTGAACGACCCAGGGAACGGGGGAATGTCGACCCCCCGTCTCATCCGCAGCACCACATGTCTAGAGGAGATGAGAGCTCTGTGGATCTTCTTGGACACAAGCAGACCCGCAACGATCCTGTTGGGGGGCCAAAAGGAGAGGATCAGCTCAGAGTCTAGATCCAAAAGCCTCATGGCCCAATGAGGTGGTATTCGGTACGATCAGCCTTCAGCGGATCTTCATGTTGAAGCACGCGGTTCTTTTGCTCCCCTTGATCCTTGTCCGTAGGTAAGAAATTCCCTTGACCGGCTGGTCCAGCGTGGGTGGATCCACCTGACGCCGCTTGCTTCCTACACCTCCTTGAACGAGCGACTATGAGCCACAGGATTCAGAAGCTTTTGCTGTAGAGAGCTCCTCCTCCGCGAAGCTCCGTCATGTCCTCACTCTCTCACCTCTCCTTGATTCTCTTCATCGTGACACTTCTTCTCCATGCTCTATCCCGCCATCGACACCCCGCATCGTTCGCCTCGCCGCATGCAACAGCTCAGAATTGCTTCCATGGCTGAAGTTTGTTCGGAAACTGGGTGGGGAATGAGGGGGATGATTGAAGAAAATGAGGGGGATGAAATTAACTGTCTCAAGGGCTTCATACAAGTAAAGCCGCAATGCCGATCGCCGAATCGAGGAGCGAAGAATAGGGAGCGGAGCAAGAGCAAGAGCAAGAGCAAGAGCAAGAGCAAGAGCAAGAGCAAGAGCAAGAGCAAGAGCAAGAGCAAGAGCAAGAGCAAGAGCAAGAGCAAGCGCAAGCGTCGAGACCATGACCGTGGGTCGCCGAAGCTAGATCGCCAAGAAGGTCGTGGGGAAGAGATGGGATCAAGTGATGAGATGGAGGAGATGGAGGAGGTTGAAGACATGGAGAGCATGGAGCTTGAGGTAACCTACTCAAGATTCTTGCCATGATTGATTGATAGTTGTCCAGGCAGTGAAAACCGAGGGCAGGGTGACCGAAGAAGGAGAGGAAGACGACGACGACGAATGGCAGACCCTTGCTGATCTGGTTTCCGTCACGTTTTCCCATCCCCTCCCAACCTTGATGTTGACTGATCAGGAGAGGCGCATCGACGGCAAGGTCGAGGGTCAAGGAGCCCGCTTCCTACCGAAGAGTGCAGAGGACGAGCAGGATGACGAGGAGTGGGACCAAGTGCTGGACAGGAACGTGGGCGAGGAGGAGGGGCAGGAGGAAACCATTTCCCTCCTGTCTGAGAGCGACAAGTCGTCGACCATCGTTCGCAAACCGAACAAGTCTGAAAGACTCCTTGCCCTGCACGTCCATCGAGTCAACCTGCTCTGCCTGCTGTCGCGGGGGATCCGATTCAGCAGGCAGGAAATCTTTGTTTGTGATAGAGGCAGCTGATCCTTGTGGGCAGCCTCTGCGATGCCGAACGGCTGAAGAGGAAAGGAGCAGTAGGAGTTCCGCTGGATGATGTAAGGGGAGGGAGAGCTTCCCCGTTCGCTCCTGTGAGATTTCACTTGCAGCTGAAGCTTCCCGCCGAGAACACGCTGTGGACGGTGGGAGCAGCTTGGTGGGTACGTGTCTAAACTGATGCCTGGACTGCAGGTCTCTCACCTGAAGACGTTGGTGGGGTGGCACAACTCAACCTTCAAGGTTCTGCACCCGGAGACTTTGTGGCAGCAGGGCAGGATGAGGTGATCCATTCGCAGATGAACCCGCCAGGAGAGGAGGTGGTGTTAGAGGAGGAGGAGGAGCGTGCGGAGAGTATCAAGAGCCTGTCGCGGTTTGCTCCTCGCGCTGTTCTGTATCTCATGTGATGATGAGCACAGGGCGATGGGGAAGAAGAAAGGAAGCATGCTGCAGAAGACCCTGGCGCTACTTGCTATTGTTCGCGGTGATTCCCCACTCCTTTCCCCCACAAATCCCTCCAGGCCCCATCATCGTCGTCCTCCGCCTCCTCCTCCTCCACCACCACCACCACCTTCTCCCTCCTGCTCCTGCTCCTCCATCACCACCACCACCACCACCTCCTCCTCCTCCTCCTCAACCACCGCCACCGCCACCAACCTCCTCCTCCTCCTCCTCCTGCACCTCATCCTCTTCCTCCTCTTCCTCCCCCCTGCTCCTCCTGAACTTTACTACCCTGCAGGGCTGGAGCTGCAGGCGAGGTTGGTCGCTCCTCTTGTTTGCGAGACTTTCCGCCTCAAGTCTGTCGTGAGTCAGCTGGCAATGATGCGATGGCAGTGCCAGTAACCAGCTGCCTGCTCCTCTCAGATGGAGTTTGCCGACGGGAGGGTGAAGCTCCAAAGATTCCCAATGCGGCAGAAGAAGATAAACGTCAAGGTGTGAGGCTGACCTTGTGTGTCTGTGCAGCATGCCATGAACTGGTGGCCTGCGCAGGCGAACCAGAGAGGAGAGGAGCGAGCTGGAGCCGTTGAGAAGAGGAAAGCGAACAAGGAGATGGAGGAGACGCGGGCAGGAGCGACCAGGGGAGGGAGTCAGAAGACGCCAGCCAGGTCGACAGAGGGAGCAGCCAACAAGATGCCGAAGGGAGCACGAGGGAAACAAGAGAGGAGGGAGAGTCCGGGAGCAGCTCAGCCTGGAAAGAAGATTGCAAAGAAGGTCGCAAGGCGAGAGTCGGGTATGACGTGACGGCAGCGGGCGGGAGGGTTGAGAGTGAGGCAGGTGAAGTGAAGTACCCTGAAGCTGAGGATGGGACGCTGCTAGCAGAGGCACAGAGAATGGTTGAAACTCCTAGATCTCCCTCCTATCTTCTCTTCTCTCCTCTTTTCCTTCCCCTCTCCCCCCCTCCTTCTTTTCCTTCCTCCTCTCCCCTCCCTCACTCCCTCACTCACTCACTCACTCACTCCCTCACTCACTCACTCACTCACTCACTCACTCACTCACTCACTCACTCACTCACTCACTCACTCACTCACTCACTCACTCACTCACTCCCTCACTCACTCACTCACTCACTCCCTCACTCCCTCACTCACTCACTCCCTCACTCCCTCCCTCCCTCCCTCACTCCCTCACTCACGCACTCACTCCCTCACTCACTTCTTCCTTCCGTCTTCTCTGAGATGTGGGGTAGGTTGCAGAGGCAGCAAGAAATCCAGAGGAGCAGCCGACAGGACAGAAAGAGTCAAAGACGCCATGGAAGATGATGAGGTGGAGGAAGAAGGAGGAGACGGCAGGCGAGGAGGAGGAGGATATAGTAAGTCTGTGGCAACGAGATGTTTGATAATATGATTGGCGAACTTGTGCAGGTTATGTCCGAGTACTGGATTGAGGTCTTGCTGTTGAAGAATGAGGAAGGTGAGATAAAGGAGGTCCGAGTTGGAAGGGAGAGGGGGAGAGAGGCAGAGGAGGAACGAGCAGCGGACAGAGGAGGAGGGCAGAGGGGAGGAGGAGGAGAGCAGAGGGGAGGAGGAGGAGGAGAGGGGAGGAGAGAAAGAGAAAGTGTCGGGAGATTGAGGGTTTGATGGTTTTGATGCTGCAGGGACAATGAAATGGCAGTGGACGCACGTTGACGTGATTAATGCGAGGGTCGATGACCCTCTCATGTACAGTAAGGTAAATGTGCAGAGCAGGGAGCAGGGAGCAGGGAGCAGGGCGAGCAGGGAGCAGGGAGCAGGGAGCAGGGAGCAGGGCGGAGGGTGGAGGGTGAGAAAAGAGAGCGGCGGAGGGGGGGAAGAGGAGAGAGCAGGGGAGGGGACGGGAGAAGAGGAGGGGAAAGGCTGGGAGTAGAGCATGAGTTATAACACTGACAGTTATTGCAGGCTGGGCAATCCTATTCCTACGTCGTTGGGATGTATGATAGAGCCGTGGACGACGTGACGAGAAGATATGTTGAGGGTGAGGACGAGGACGATGAGCTGAGGTAGAGGATGACGAGGATGTGAACAGATTGGCACGCTGTCACTCAAACCCGAAGTCTCTCAGACTGGTATGAAGAACCTCCTACAATCTCCCTCGTTCCTCCTCCCTCGTTCCTCCTCCCTCCTCCCTCCTCCCTCCTCCCTCCTCCCTCCTCCCTCCTCCCTCCTCCCTCCTCCCTCCCACCTGCTCTCTCTCCTACATCCCTTCACAATGGCTCCCGGTCTCCTCCTCACGCTCATCCCCTCTTTGCCTGTTGGGATCGTCTCTGACACCTCCCCCTCCCCCTATGGCAGGTGGGACACGACGTTGAAGAAGTTGACAGTTATGGTGAGAGCTACAAGGGAAGTGCCTCACAAGCGACTTGACAGCGAGAGCAGGTGAAGGGTCATGAGTACCTTGCGGAGAGGGAAAACCAGCAGGTTACCTCCTGCCCTCCCTCCCTCGCATGCTCCCTCCCTCATACAAGAGTGAAATCTCAAACTGCCGTGCTCGATGCTCCCACCTGCCTCCCTTTGCTTCCTACCCTTAACGACGGATGTCGGCTGCTGTGGAAACTCTCTCCACCATGACCCTGTTCTCCCCTTCCTCTCTCTCCCTGTCTTCTCCTCTCTCCTCCTCTTCCTCTCTCCTCCTCTTCCTCTCTCCTCCTCTTCCTCCCTTCTGTGCGTTCTCTTCCATTGTCTTCCTCAACCATGGCAGGTGAAGGACGAGGCAAAGGAGATGCACGAGGCTCATCTGCAGGAGCCGCTGCCGCGCAGGTCCGTCTAGGGGAAGGAGTGAAGTTAGGGGGAGGAGAGAAGTTAGTGGGAGGAGGAGGAGGAGGAGAGGAGGTGGTCGCCTGGGGGGAGGGGGGAGAAAGAGGGAGATGAAGGGGAAGGAGGAGGAGGAGGAGGAGCGTGCTGAGGAATGTTCAGCCTCGTCGCCTACAAGAATCATCCTGCCTACTGCATTGAGAAGCACCTCGGTGAGTTTTGATGGGAGGGGAAGAGAGAGGAAGAGGGAGGAGGAGGAGGAGGAGGAGGAGGAAAGGCATGTTGGGTCAGAGGTGGCGGCGGGGGCGAAGAAGCAATCAGGTTGAACCTTCTCTTACCAATCCTGGATAGGAAAGTACGAATGCATCTATCCTCGAAAGCCCGTAGTTGGTCTTGTACAGGTACGAGGAGGAGGAGGAGGGGAGGGGAAGGTATGACGATGTGGACAGGGTCATGCAGTGTACAGACGAGATTGTATACAAAAGGTGAGAAGGAGGGGTTGAGGTGATGGGGTCGAGGAGGAGGAGAAAGAGGCGGCAGCAGATAAGGAGGAGGAGGAGGTCGTGACGAGTGTGCAGCTCATGAGGAAAGAAAACTGGTTCCGGAGCATACCTCCAAGAGTTGTAAGGTGACTTGACTTGTGGCTGACTGGAGAAGAACAAAGATGGAAGGAGGGAAAGGAAGGAGGAGAGAAAGGAAGAAACGCGGAGAGGAAGCAGAAAGGAGAGCAGGAACGGGGAGCGGAAGGAGGGTGAAGCGGAGAAGCCGGAGGGTTGATGGGTGCGACGGATGGTCAAAGACGGGATGGAGGAGAGTCGGGGGAGGGGGAGGGGGGGGGCAAGGAGGGGTCGGACCAGGAGGAGCAGGCTGACGACAAGTAGAAGTGAGATTCTGAGTGGTTGCTCCTGCCAGGGCGATGGAGATGGACTTTCCTGCCAAGACCATCCAGCGAGCTGAGAGGTAAGTCCGACAGAGAACCCTGCTCTGCTCTGAACGAGGAGCCGAAGGAAGAAGAGGGCCTCCAAGGGCAGCAAGAAGGCAGCGGAGGAGAGCGGATCGGAGGAGAAGCTGGAAGGGGAGGAGGGGGAGGAGGGAGGAGCCGAGGAGAAGAAAACTATCGCTCTGTACGGGCAGTGGCAGGTGAGAGGGATGCTGAGGAGAGGATGCGGGGGCTCCTGTGACCCCCCCTTCCCCCTGCAGACGGATATCTACCACCCCCCTCCTGTTACAGAAGGGAGGATTCCAAAGAACGAGCACGGGAACTGGGAGCTGTGGACTGAACATCACCTGCCTGCTGTACGATTTCTGCCCTCCTCCTCCTACTCCTCCTCCTCCTCCTCCTCCTCCTCCTCCTCCTCCTCCTCCTCCTCCTCCCTCCTTATCTTGACGCTCTCCATTTGTTCTCGTTCTGTCAGGGCTCCGTCCACATCAACTCGCCAGGTGATAGCCAAGTTCGTGGAAGGGGCTCGAGACGGATAGAGAGGAAGAGACGGAGAGGACGAGGATGATGGAGAAGGATGCACGAGAGGAGACGAGGGGAGCAGGGGAAAAGATGGGGAGGTGGAAGTGGAGGACGGAGAGACTGAAAGGTACACAGGAATCGTCCAGCTCGTCCGTCAGCTGGGAATCGATCACGCAAAAGCTCTCGTGGGCTTCGAGGTGAGGCAGCGTGTGGGTTTCAGCGGCTGAGGAGGAGGCAGACGCGAGCTGGGACTTCATATCCTGTCTTCGATGGAGTGATCGTCTGCAAAGAGCATGAGGAACTTCTGATCAGCGCGGCGGAGCAGCAGCAGGTAAGGGAGGGAGGAGAGAGAGAACGTGGGGGACTTGTTAGAGCTCAGGGTAGCAAAGGTGTGGAGGGGAAGGGAGGGGGAGGGAGAGGAGTACAGAGGGCGAGGAGGAGGAAGGGGAGGAGGGGGAGGAAAAGGAGATGAGGAGCACCGAGGGGAACTAGGGAGAGTGGAAGCAGGAGCAGGAGTGAGGGGGGAACGAGGGAGAGGGGAAGCAGGAGCAGGAGTGAGGGGAGAACGAGGGAGAGGGGAAGCAGGAGCAGGAGTGAGGGGAGAACGAGGGAGAGGGAAAGCAGGAGCAGGAGTGAGGGGGGAACGAGCACTGAGGAGGAGGGCGGCGCTCGCAGGCGAACGAGAACAAGGTCAAGGAGGAGAGGAGGAGAGTGGCAGCGCTGCAGCACTGGAAGGTTATGAGCCTCCTCGACCTGCCTTGCCACTCACTGTTACCTGCAGTCCCTGTCGAAGTTCCTCTTCACGAGAGAAGAAGTAATCAAAGAAAACACCCATCTTCTTCCTTATCCTCCTCATCCTCCACCTTCTCCTCCTCCTCCCTCTTCCTCATCATCATCATCATCATCATCATCATCATCATCATCATCATCATCATCATCATCATCATCATATCAACTTCCTCATCATCATCCATCGTCATCATCATCATCCTGATCCTCCTCCTCCACCACCACCTTTTCCTCCTGCTCCTGCTCCTGCTCCTGCTCCACCTCATCATCATCATCATCCTCATACTGCGACAATTCAGGTACAACAAAGATTCGACAAACAGTACGCCAGGAAGCGAGACGAGGTTTTCTCCTTCTCATGCCTCCTCCTCCTCCTCTATCTCCTCCTCTATCTCCTCCTCTATCTCCTCCTCCTCTATCTCTTCTTCCTCTTTCTCCTCCTCCTTTATCTCCTCCTCTATCTCCTGCCTATCTTTCTCGTCTTTGCCTTCCCCTTCCCGCTCTCACTAGCGTTCACTCCCAGGACAACGACGACAAGTCTCGACCCCTCAAGCGTCCGAAGCAGAAAGCCAAAGGGAAGAGGAATACAGAAACTATCGACTGAACCCCCACACGCCACACGCCTGCCCTCCTCCTGCGATGTCTTCAATTTCCCTCCCTTTCCAATCGTTGAGCCCATCTCTCCATCAACTCCTTCTTCCCTCCCCCCCCCCCCCCCCCGGCCTCCTCCTCCTCCTCCTCCTCCTCCTTGCGAGTTCGTCCACTCTTGACGCGGACTTGCACCTTTGCAAGGAACTACTCTCCTTCCTCGAAATATTTCCAAGGTTGCAGGTTCAGAATGATTCGATCAAGTTCATTGGCATCTTTGAGAAGAGAAGAGAGGTCTAGAGAGAGTTCATCGCCATCGTCACCTGCCATCAAAACTTCAACTTATCTCCGTCTTCACTCAAACACCACTATCACTATCATCATCATCGCCATCACCATCACCAAATCCACTGTCCTCGCATCATACCTGATGGCATGCTTGCTTCAGCGTGTCATGAAGGTCACTATGTCAACCCGTCATTCCAGCAGCTACGTCATCCCGTCCTCACCTCAGCTCCTCCTCGGTACAAGTGAAGTCGATATCTTCCTCCGAACCGTCCGGCTGCCATCGCTCTTCACTCGCAAGCACACAGCCTCCTTACTCCACAGACCTTGACGGTGTGGAAACGAACATGGAAGAGAGGGCGAATAGCATGGTCCACATGCTGCACGGGGATGAGAGGCAAAAAACTAGAGCAGGAGAGCCAACGGAGCAAGAAAAATAGCGATGAACAAAGGGAGACAGGAGCAGGAGCAGGAGCAGGAGCAGGAGCAGGAGCAGGAGCAGGAGCAGGAGCAGGAGCAGGAGCAGGAGCAGGAGCAGGAGCAGGAGCAGGAGCAGGGGTAGGAGCAGCAGGAGCAGGAGCAGGAGCATATGCAAGGGGATGTCAGCGCGGGAGAACCAATCACCTTTGTCTTGACCACAAAGTCAAGGCGCCACGTCACTCCGGTCTGCATCCCACCGGTCACCCAACAACAAGGTTTGAACTCAAGCACCGCTGACGTACCAGCTGAGGGAAGGTGAACTGAGTTCGAGCAAGTATCTTCCTGAGAGACGTCTTCTCCTCCTCATAAATTCTGCAGGTAGCACCAGTCAACACAAGCCAAACTCGGTCCAGTCCATGCACCTTGCGACCAAATCTGCTCTGTCATCGGTCAGCCCTTGGTCCAGCAGCGTCGCTCTGCATGGGTAGTGTGAGCGCTTGGGGCACAATCCAGACCGGAAGCAGCACTTGAAGTCTGCTGGGAGAGTATCCGCCTTGGCTGCCTCCAGGAGAGCACTCGTCAGCCCCGTCGAGAACTGAGTTTCGTCCTGCCCTCCGCCTGCCGCCTCTCGTCAGGCCTCGTCCCGGTCTCATGAGCATGAGCTCTGTGCAGGAATCTTGAAGACAAGGTGCTTACCTTGTTCCCTCAGCCCCTTCGCTCTCCTCACTATCCTCCTTACCTCCTCCTCCCCGACCGAAACTCCCGTTCCCCATCCCACCATGTCGCCACCTCAACCGAGCCCCGCAGGCCCGCTCAGGCCCCGAAATGCTTCCCCCGTTGCGGTGCCCCCAAGTTGCGTTCCATGCTGTGCTGCTTGCGATGTTTCTCGCGTCCTCGGCGGCGATTCCGCTGCCAGCAAGGAGCTCCAACACGAGCAGGGCCGTAGTGATGTGGCATGGCATGGGGGACACGTGCTGCCTGCCAGTCTCCATGGGGAGGGTGAAATCCTTGATAGAAAAGCATGTCCCAGGTGCCTACGTCCGTTCCCTGATGATCGGAGAGAACGAGGCCAAGGACCAGTACAACGGATTCTTCATGCCCATCCACGAGCAGCTGACCTTTGCTTGCAACCTCGTCTCCAAGGACCCGAACCTTGCCGGTGGGTTTCATGCTGTTGGTTTCTCCCAGGGAGGGCTCTTCCTGCGAGCGCTGGTGCAGACATGCCCGGAAGCGAAAGTTCAGTCGTTGATCTCCATTGGAGGCCCACAACAAGGAGTTTATGGGCTACCAAGATGCATCACGCACAGTGTATTCTGTGAGACTATGAAGAAGCTTCTAGAAATGGGTGCATATGAAAGTTTTGTACAGCAGCGATCAGTACAAGCGCAGTACTGGCAGGATCCCGTCAAAAGTGAAGAATATCTGAAATACAACATATTTCTTCCTGACATCAACAACAACCTTGAAGAAAAGAAAGCGGTCTATCGAGATCGTATTCTTTCTTTGAACAAGCTGGTGCTTGTAAAGTTCCAGAACGACACGGTAGTTGTTCCAAGGGAAAGCACGGTACGAGAGTCAACTGGTTGAGCAAGACTGATTTGCATCTTAGTGGTTCGAATTTTATCAAGAGGGCCAAGATGTTGAGATTCAGGACTTGAAACAGTCAAAGCTTTACGAGGAAGATTGGATAGGGCTGAAATCGCTGGATGCGGCTGGAAAGGTTTGTATGAGCCTTGCTTGGTTGACACTGATGTGAATCTGGACAGTTGGATATGCTGGAGTGCCCTGGAGATCACTTGGAGATGCCTGATGGATACTTCATCCAAAAAATAATTCCATACTTGAAATGACAATGTATTTTTACTACTTTCTGTTTCACATACCAAAAACGGATAAATAGCTCTTTCCGCTCTGAAGCTTGTTAGCCTGCAAGTGACTTCACTTCGTGTGCATTCAATGAGAATCTCTCACCTGTTGCTGGCTGAGTGCACGAGCCAAGCCGGACATGAGGAGAACGTCTGAGCTGAGATAGACTTTGAAATTGCTGAAACAGCTCAAGTCACAACAAACAAAGACGGACACCACGATATCACCTGTTGGCAATGGTTTCCGCCACGTCCTTTGCGTACTGGATCTCACGCAACTCCACGAACCCTGAAAAACCTTCAATCTACAAAAAGGGAATTCCCTGAATGTGTACCAGGATTGTTGGCAACAGCCGTTGCGATAAGTTTAGCAGCTTCAGCTTCTCCTTGAGCTGCAATGACAATACTTTTCTTTCTTCAATAGCCTTCTCAACAATCCTACGACAGTTTGTCAAAGCCATGAGTGCAACAACAAAGTGACGATATTACTCACCATTTCGAGCGTTCCGCATCCTGCTGCGCAACCTGCTTCGCCTCAACCGCGGTTGTGAATTGCGGACTGAAGGCAAGATGCGTCTGAGAAAGCAAGTCATACGCTGCACTGTGCAATTTCGGTCAACAAGCACAAGTACAGAAGTGCGTTCAGACTATTGTTAACATCAACGACATCAGATGTCCATATCTACTTTTTTTGTTTTGAAAATATCCTCACCACGCTGTACGCGATTCACAAAGCACGACTGAAGGCAATACTTACAATCGAAACATCATCCAAAACCATGAAGAAGTCCTTTGCGCGTTCCTGCAATCTGTTCCTGACTTGTGCTGAGACCTGCATGACACCCGTCGTAAGTATAAGAGAAATGCACCATTGTTCTGCGAATACAAAATGCAAAAACACAAAATATACAGGAAGAAAAATGTTCGGGAGCATGTATTCATTGCCTAAGAGAAGCGATCGATAGAAACGATCACCCTTTGGATTGCAGTGAACACTTGGGTATATATGTAGCATTTTCTCTTTGTAAAGAGAGAAATAGAATTTTCATTTCCTGCAGCCATAGAAGACTACACTCCATGAAAGTTCTCTCCTTTACTAAGACAGAGATGCAACACAAATAAAATACAGAACATACCTGTTCTCGTTTCACGATTAGCTCTATAGCATTGTATTGCGCTACAACACTTTTAAGGACCTCATTCGCGATAGATGGAAGGACTCTGGACCCAAACATCACTATTTCACAAACAACGACACTCTCAAACTGTTCAACACTCACCTTTCGTCATAGTCCATTCCAAGTGTCCTGTACATTTCCGGAAGCTTGTCGACAACCGGACGATAAATCAATCGCAAATTAATATCAACCATTTGAAGATCTGCATTTTGACAATAAGAAAACAATTCAAAATCCCAAGTCAAACAACTAATCTCTCACCTTTGCTGCCAGTCAGCGATTTGATATTCCTTGGTGTAGACCGCACATTGTAGATATAAGGTCTCTGGAACCATGGAACTTTGAAGTGGGTGCCTTCACCCTTCACTACACTACTCATTCCGCTTATTCTGCTATAAATTACCGCCCGGTGTCCACCCTCGACGTTGTACATACAGTGATTGACCACAACATATCCACCCACTGTAAGTGCTATACCCCCCGCAGCTGTCAGAAGGAATGACCTGGAAAGGAGGTCATTAATGCACACCAATACGGCAAACAGTATCCAACACATCCTCACATGGGTCATATCTCTGCTAGAGGCCATAGGAACATGAGGTGTAACGACAGGGACAGACAATGTTTTGAGCGTGTAGTTCACAGAGAGCAACAATCACATGCAAGGAGAGCTTAGCATCAAGCTCTACAGCTACATGGCAACCGCATTGCCTCAGAGGCACGCAAACAATAGCGCCATGAGCCATAAGAACACTTTCCACGAAGTATCCTTGCAACAAACTGGAAGGTACATTCGCTCGAAACCATCTCAGTGAAAGAGGACACTGGCATAGGCAACACAGAGGGGCTGTACGAGAATCAGGATGAGGAGGAGTTGAGATGGGAAGGATAAAAGCATCTTTTCATCTCACCCGGGGATGTTGGGAGGACGCAGCTTGTTCAGCGAGTTCATGGCGTCGTCTCCTCGGCGGTCGCAGAATGGGGGTCAGGGGGTGGTTTGCATTGATAGGGGTACTTTTGTATGGAATTTGCGATGAATTCCTGGGTGTAAAAATTAAACGGGGGTACTGTCAAGGAGTTTCCGTATGGGGTAGGGTAGTGATATTGTAAGGACAGGTGTACTACGGGGTTGTGGAATTGTTTTGAAAATGTTTCGAAAATATTTGACTTGTTTTCAAAATATGGATGTGTATTTTTCAAGTCTATACTGCGCGGCTGACAGGCTGGCCGCCCGCCGCTGACCAGTGCGGCGGCGGGCCGAGGCGCTCGGCCCGGCCGGCGGCCCGGGCCTGGCGGCCCCGGTGGCCTGCCCGGTGCCCGGTCACTGCCGGGGCCGGCGGCAGTGGCATCCGGTTTATCACTCGGATGTGAGAACCGTGACCCTCCGACAGGCTCATCCCATAGTCACTCAAAGTTGAACCCCGCCCTCAGCTGCCGGCGATGTAAGAGCCCGGGCCGCCGCGTCTGTGACGGAATACAAGTTTGTTAGACTTGTACTAGTCCAAAGTCACGCAGATATCACATCGACCTTAGTTGTAACAAGACAGTTTTTGCTCAAGACTGAGTTTAATGCACACAAATCAAGAATTGAGGAGCACATGAGAGATAGACTGTATGCTAGGATGTGAAACCCAAGCATCCAGACATGAGAGGACCTTAGCAAGACGGCTAGGAAAGCCCCCTCTTCGTCCACACACGCTACATTGGCCGCCTCGCAAACACGTAAGTCGTCTTGGTTTACAGGAGAGTTTTTGTTAACTCGGCGCTATCTGACTGGCACGGCTGGCATACGTTCCATCCTCCCCCCGAGTTTCTGAAATAGTACGTTACATCGGACGTCAGAAAGTCACACAAACAAGAATGTCAGCAGATCCAAGTCAAGATACGATGATACAACGTCAAGTTCACAGTCAAGCTGAGCGGGCAATAACCATTCAAGGATTGTCCATTCTGAAGAAGATTTTCATGCAGGGCTATTAGATGTGCAGTGCAGAGATAAGGGAGATGCCTGGCGAGCTGATGCAATGACGAGAGAAGGAGGATAAGATAAGAGAGTCTGAGGAGAGAACTTCGGAGTTCAGATAACAGAGAGAGAGAGAGAGAGAGCGTGCCCGCCGGCATTTGAAGACCAAGAGATAAATTTTTGAACCGTAAAGAACTTGTGACCAGAGATTGCTGCCGCAAGATTGGAACATCCGTTTCAAGGCATTTGAAGATTGTTGTGCAGTAGTACCTTGTTCGCCGATCCAGAAGTAGCTCCAGTTATGCATGCCACAGCCTAGCTCCATGACATGAAACTTCCGCCAGATCTCCTGGGAGTTCCATTTGATCCTACTCAAAGATCAAGAAAATAAGAATCGAATCAGCTTCAAGTGCGTTTCCACACGGTTAAGCAGATATTCGACCGACCAATCTGGCTGGGAAAAGGCTTGTTTTTCCTATTCGAAGATCAATCAAACAAATTGAGGCTGAGATGAGAGGCCTAAACAACTTGCGGCTAGAAAGAGAGCCTGATTGAAGAGAGGAGTCATCCGAATGTGTAAAGCTTGATAGAATTTGCATGAATTTTCAACAGCAACGGGAAAACAATACCAAGAAAGAAAAAAACTCCAGTAAACAATTCAACTAACCAAATATAAGATCAACATGATTGAGCATGTAATCGGGGCCCATAACCGACGGAATACAAGTTTGTTAGACTTGTACTAGTCCAAAGTCACGCAGATATCACATCGACCTTAGTTGTAACAAGACAGTTTTTGCTCAAGACTGAGTTTAATGCACACAAATCAAGAATTGAGGAGCACATGAGAGATAGACTGTATGCTAGGATGTGAAACCCAAGCATCCAGACATGAGAGGACCTTAGCAAGACGGCTAGGAAAGCCCCCTCTTCGTCCACACACGCTACATTGGCCGCGGCTCGCAAACACGTAAGTCGTCTTGGTTTACAGGAGAGTTTTTGTTAACTCGGCGCTATCTGACTGGCACGGCTGGCATACGTTCCATCAGTCTGAGTCCGAGCGCGGCCGGAGGCTGACTCATCAGGCTCGGGGGCCGAGAGCGGCGCCCGGAGGCACGGGTCACGGGTCCGGCGACTCAGAATTAAGTTAAAAATCAGTACTAGGAGTGAATTTATGGCGCGATCATATGACCTGTACCCAAAGTTGAGTGAAACTGATGAGTACGAGGACAATCGGAGTCACATGTACAGGACTGCCGCAACTCGCACTGTATCAGAACTATATCTCAAATGATGACTAAAATTATTTTTATAGGAGGGGGCCCTCGTGACTGAGGTCCGGCAGCACCCGCGGAGGGGAGCCAAGAGCAAGCAGCGCATAGGAGAAGAGCCACTGCCGACCTGAAGCCCTCCCAGCAACTTGAGGCAGAGGGTTGTAAGATCACACCATCCTTTGTGCCTAGGAATCTGTTGGTCAGTGTCTCTAAAACAAATTGCGGTGAAGTTAAACAGCATTCCACCATTCTCCTTTCCTGTCTCCTGTTGACCAAGCATCTCTGCCCAACTGTACCAACATGTCCACGTCTGGAATCTACCAGCCCCGCGTAGCTAAGTTATTTTCGCGGAAAAAGAGCTCAGGCGCGGGTAAACAATCCAAGATCATTGTTGTCAGCATCGAAGCCGTGCTGGAGCTGCTGCACCTCAGGCAACATGTGGCAGCGCAACGGCTGGTAAGAAGGAAGGATGTTGTTATATCGAGCTCTGACATGTTGTGCAGGGTATATCTCTTACTGCATTCAAGTCGGCGTGTAAAAAAATTGGCGTGTACCACTGGCCAAACTCGGAGCAAGACAGGCTCGTGATGCTGGAGCAAGAAGGGAGGCTCGATCTTGCTGACTGCAATAAAGATCCGAAAGAGGCTACGACCAGACAGCACGAGCAGCAGATCTTGTCGAGCGAGGGCAAACGGGATGACGCTTCCAAGAGCGGGTCAATGTGGCCGGAGGAGTCAGAACGCGAGGTGTACCACACGCCGTCGTTGTTTGAGGAGGCCTTGATGCACGTCCAGAGCAGTGAAGAAAACATGGGATGCCGGACCGTCAAGCCAGGGACATGGGTCAATCACAACGATTGATAGAGAACAAGAGGGGTCTGGAGCTTTGAACATAGGCAAGGGTTTCCGATGCTTTGTACCGTACTATGCAGATGTTGACTAGATGTTGACAAATTCAAAGCAAATCAAGAATGCTCATAGGGAGAGAGATCAGGATTGCTTACAAATAAAGGAAGTACGTGAGATTCAGAATGCACACAAGACACAAGACACACTCTGAGCCTTGGAAGCTATCAGGATCTGAACCCTACATTCGACCATCCTGATTGTCCCGGTACTGATTCTAAACTTAACTTTGAGTAAAACGACTGTAGGGCTGTCAAACAAGGATGACATGCTAGAGGGCGACGGAGAAACGACTGCGGGGATGAGGAGGGGAGACGACGAGGAGGAGCGGAAGAGACTCTCGCGTCTCTTCCAGCAGCAAGACGAGGACGGGAGCGGCGAGATCGATGCGCAGGAGCTGCACAGGATCTTTCAGTCGATGGGGCAGGAGGCGCCCCTGGACGAATGCAAGGAGATCATGAGGAGGTACGGGAGCAGCGGGCATGGGATGGACCTCGATCACTTCCTGGCTCTCTTCGAAGGGCTCAAGACGGGGAGGGTGGAGGCATTCAGCCCTTTCCTGACCAAGTACATGTTGTCGCTGGCGTCAGACGAGGACCTGCTGGAGATGATACGAAGCTCCAGCCCGCATGCTACTCACCTGGTTCTGAACCACTGCGCGCTAGGACAAGACCTCCGCATGCTCGAAGCACTGTCGAGCAACACCCACCTCGTCGAACTCTCCCTGCGCGGCAACCGGCTTGACCCCAAGGCGGCGGCCGTGCTCTCCGAGAGCCTCCTCAGGAACACAACGCTGACCATGCTCGACATCTCGGCGAACGAGATAGGAGACGAAGGGGTCGACAGAGTCTTCAGTGCCCTGTGCGTCCCCGAGGACGCCAGAGAGGCCTGGCTGCATCTCTGCGACTGTAAGGATGAATACCGCGATTGCATGAGGGATGTCGAAACCATCAAGGAAGAGTCGGAGCGAGTGCTGCGGCAGGCGAAGGAAGCAGGAGTGATCTTCCCCCGCAACCAGCGCTCAGACTCGGACAGCGAGAAGCTGCGGGCGACCCTCGAGAGGATGCGGGTGAAACGAGAGAGGGCGATCCAGGCGGCCATAGAGAGCGAGAAGAGCATGAGGCTGGCGCAGGACTGGTACGACGGGATCCACTGCAACATGTTCCTACAAGTTCTCAAGGTCGACTACAACTGGCTGTCCCCGAGAGCAGGAGAGTCCATCGCCAAGGCTCTCGATCCTCACAGGGGGCAGAACACAGCTCTCACCACACTCAGCCTTGCTCGGAACGCGCTTGGGTCCGAGGGGGTGCAGGCCATTGCGAGGGGACTGGAACTGGGTGGGTTCCTGTGCTCCCTCAACCTGGCAGGAAATTCTTGCGGTCCTGTTGGCGCCACTGCGATCGCCAGCTGCATCCGGACGAAGGGCAACCAGCTCACAGATCTCGATCTCTCCTCGAACGGGATCGGCGACCAGGGAGCGGAGGTGATCGCCAAAGCGCTTCATGACGACGTTAAGTTAGTCCAGATGGATCTGGCGAACAATCTGATACAGAACAAGGCAAGCAGGTTGATGGAGGTCTGTGAGCGATGCTCGTCGCTGCGCACTCTGAACTTGCAAAACAACATCATCACCATGAAGGACATTCGTGAATGTCGCAAGAAGTACGAAAAGGCAGGGTCCAAGGGAGAGGGCTGGATCTTTCAAGCTGGGAAGGACGGTTTCATGGCGACGAGGAAGGAGAAATTAAAGGAAGCAAACATCCTGTCGCAGGAGCAGGTCAACAAGATCCATGCTTCCTTCGAGGCATTCGATGCGGATGGGAGCGGCGAGATCGACGAGGAGGAGTTCATACAGGCATCACGGAGGCTCGGCCTGGAGCTCGAGGGCGACGAGCTGAACAAGATGTTCGTGTCCATGGACGTGGATGGCTCAGGAGCCATCGACAAGGATGAGTATGTGACGGCCATGACCAACTTGTTCCTCTCTCTCCAATCCAACCCCGAGGGGAAGTCGGTGGGTGAGGTGGTCTACTGGAAGAGCATGGACGGAAGGGACCTGGGCGACTTGACAGCAGAAGAGCTGAAGCGCAACGAGCATCAGCTTTTGAATGCGCTCATGCTCGGCAGCGGAGTTTACGACCCCCTCCACCTCTTTCCTTCGGTCATGGGGCAGGCTGCCGCCTTCGACGTAGCCTATCGTTGCGTGAAGGCGGTGGAGGAGAACGTATCCCTCTCCGCCGCTCACCAGCGCGTAGTTGCGGGAGTCATGGAGGAGAAATTCCGTTACAGCAAGAGGAAGATCATCGATCATATGCCCTTCAGGTTCACAATCTGCTGAGAGACGGCTGGCTCCCTGACGGCAGGACAGGGCGAGGGATCTAGAGGAGCTGTTGCAGAAGTGCCCTCAGGTCCTGGAATGGGAGCGAGTCATCAGCAAGCTGAGAGAGAAGCGCGATAGGGTAAGGCCCCATCCCTTGTTCTCCTTCCTATCAACCTGGCCCCCTTTCAGAACCCCATCATCAATTCGACTTCTCCCACCAAGACTGGCAGGGGAGCGAGATCACTCACTGGGACTCTTGCCTTCACCACAATGTCTCCCACATTCGCAGGTATGCTCCCCTCTCCTCTGCTCTCCTCCCCTCCCCTCCCCTCTCCTCTCCTCTCCTCTCCTCCCCTCCCCTCCCCTCTCCTCTCCTCTCCTCTCTTCTCCTCTCCTCTCCTCTCCTCCCACGTTTGACAACATCACAGGGATACCTCAGACTCCCAATCACAACAAATCAGAGCAGGTACCCATCAGCTTCTTTCCATCCCCCTATCCCATCATACCCGACCTTGAATCCCCCAGCAGAAAGAGAACGAAGAAGACAAGCTCTCTCAAGTCGACATCGAGCTCTTGGAGACAGCTACGGTGATCTGCGTTGTTCTTCCCTCCTCCCGCAATGAACATCCATTCTCCTGCAGAAGCTCGAGCATCTCGATCTACCCGACGACGATCTCTCGAGATTGGATCAGGTTCTACTCCCTTCTTCTGCCACTCGTGCTGATCGACAGGATGCGGGGAGCGCAGGCGGTGGTGTGGATATACAGGGGCATGAGGGAAGTAAACTTCGAAGGAGACACGTCATGATCCATTGCAACAAGGACTCTCAGACATTACAACACGGGAACGAAGGATACAGCTCCTTTACACGATCACGCTTGGCCATGGCTGCCCATCGGAATATCTGCAGAGCCAATGAGTGAGCATACAACAAAGCAGCAAGAGTGCAGAGCTCACGGGTGGGGATCGGGCAACCACATGTTCCCTGTACAAGACATCAGGTTTCAGTCGTGAGCACACACACGAGCGGCATATGGGATGACCTGGATCTTGATTGTTGATCTTCTCACCAGGGACGTAGCACCCAGGGTACTGGAACGGAGCTCCTTCAACTTGGTGCCAGCTGAAGGGGAGGAGATGAGGACAAGAAACACTCAAAGGAAGAGAACTCACGGTTTGAACTGCTCTACATCAGCCAGAAGACGAGCAGGTACAAGGAAAAGCATCGCAGGGACCTGCGATCTAGGTCAATGAGGGCAAACTGAACCTGCTATGCTGCAATCATGGCCTGCTATCGTCTCCTTCCTTTTCGGACTGTGACTATTCGAGGCATGGAAGTGGAGAGCGGGAGGACGGAGGGTTGAGCTGTTGGATAAGATGGAGGAGGGGAGCGAAGAGATGGTCGTGTTTGTGGGTGAAGGAGGGAAGGAGGAGCAGGAGGAGGGAAGGAACAGAAGGCAAGAGGAGCGGGAGGAGGCGGAGGCGTGAGATGATGACGAAGCACGAAGAAGAGAAGGCAGGGGAGGGAGGGAGAAGGCGGGAGGGGCGGGAGCGTCGGCACAACAACAAAGCCATGCGCACTCCCAACAGGCGCGTCTGTTGAGTAAATAATTTACTTAAAATAAACAGAGTCCCTTGGCCTGCCGTGATGGAGGGAGAGGGCGGGGAGGCAGGAAGCGCGTCGTCCTCGTCCTCCGACGGGGAGGAGGAGACGGCAGGGCTGCAGAGCTACTTCTCCTACGTCGATCAGCTCAGGGGAAAGGACCTGGCGGGCTCGGAGGTGCGGCAGATCATGGAGAACATCGCAGAGTCGGAGAGGGAGAGGAAGGAGTTCATATGGAAGAAGGTCCTGCTGCAGGCTACTCGGGCGACAGCTGACCCAGCGGTGCCGGCCGACGTGAAGGCAATTTTTGAGAGGCAGGTGGAGCGCTACAGCAAGCTGCTCCATGATGTCGCCGAAGCAAGGATGAGGGACGCGCAGTTGCCATCGCAGGTTCGTCCAGTGCAGGAGGGAGAAGGATCGTGAGGGTTGAGGGCTTTCATCGATATGCCAGGGAGGAGAGAGGCAGGGTGCGACCCCCAACTGCCGTATCCGTGAGAGAGGAGAGAGAAGTTGAGGAACGCAACGTCTACACGTCCAAGACATCGTGTCAGTGATGGATTCGCCAAAGTGAAAATTGGTGCTGAATCGTTTAAGAATGGTGGTTTGGGAGTCTTCCCTGATACGAACTTCTAGCTCCTACCACATGATTCAAGAAGCATTCTCGGGTGGACCTGTCAATCATCAGAATCAGTCACTTACGTGTCCCCGCTCACTGGGGCCAGACGATGCTGTCAGCCTGAGGATGCCATGGAGTTTAAGAGTGAGAGAGCTGCTGCAGGAAGATGTAGCTGGACGCAGCACTATGTTGTTGCTTTGCCACAATCCCCAGTGTCAGGAATCGGCACTCCTCCGACTTCATTGCGAGTCATGAGGTCCGCAGGATATCAGACTGGAGCAGGACTTTCCCGATTTGCCGCACGGCGTGAAGATGAACTTTGGAAACTTGAACGGCCCCCCCCTCACGAGTCAGCCGGGCCCTGCCAGCCTGGCAGGGCAGCGGGGGCTCCCCCCGGGTGGCAAGATCCACGGTACGGTACGCCGGGTACGGTCAGACCGTTACTAGGTCATCGCCGGGACGGTCACATGACAGTGATACCGCCGTTAAGTAAACTTACGTAACTTGTGTCGGATCACTGGGCCACAGGCTGCGGCACTTAACTCCTCGAGTCACAGCCTCCTGTCCCGGTACGGTCAATCAACCGTTGACTCGAACCGTGGCGGAGGCTGCCGCCGCAAGTTGGGCGAGTCCGGCGCCGGACAGGCCCTGAGTACAGTACGGTGCCCGGTGGGCCGGGTGAACTTGGAAGCCCGGGCGGCATCATCCGCCGATCGGATGATCCGGGATCTGAGTGCCGTGGGCGCCCACTTCCGCCGCCGGCCGGCCGGCGGGGGCCTTCCGAACATTTGCAAGGATCGGATTCAATCAGCGGTTTCGTCCGAATTAAATCAGCGCCCCTTCGCCATGCAGCGGGCTCGGAGGGTTGGAGGAGCGGCAGCCCTGGCATGCTGCATGCTCGTGGCCGTGAGCTGGTGGTCGATGAGGAGAGGAGGCGATGTATCGCTGCTCGCGCATGACATGAAGTCGGCCTCCAAGATCTCGAGCCGGAGGTCCCGGGGAGAGCTCAACAGCTTCTTCCAGTCTCTCCACTCGTCCGTCAGCAGCGCCCCCATCGACGATGGCCTGAGCCATGCGGCGAGGGCAACAGAGAGCGAGCTTTCCAAGAGCATAGACCAGCTTGCCTCTCTTGCTCACAGCTCGACGACCTCCAAGGATCTGGCTGCCGAGATGAAGAATGCCCTGAATGCCGTGCGGGACCTGCGCAGTCAGCTGGACAGGAAGGGGAGCAGGGAGAAGAGAAGCTGGGCGAATCACAGGCACACGATCAAGCATGCTGCCCAGTTCCCGAGCTCTGCGGCGAACGCGATCCAGAAGAAGTTAGCACAGGTCAGGATCAAGTCTGATGACAAGGACCTGGACGTCTTTGACTTGAAGGGAGACGATGACAAGCAAGCTCGTGAGGAGCTGAGCAAGATGATTGTCACCGCAAGGAGATTGACGAAAGAAGTCTCTGCCATCGCTGAGGGATCTCGGGTTCCTGGGATCAAATCAAGCGTCCTCGGAGTTCTGCGATCGGCCAAGGCTGTTGAAGAGGCCAAGGGCAAGGAGAGTGATGCCCGTGACAAGATCGTTGCACACGAGTTGGCAGTGAGGAGGAAGAAGCTGATGGAAGCAGAGGCAGAGGAGAAGGCGGCGGCGCGGGCAGCCAAGGAGGCGTTTGAGGCGGAGAAGATCGCCCAGGAGAAGCACTCTGAAGCCTCCAAGGACCTGGAGCTTGCGGAGGAGAGGAGGAAGGCTGCACGGAGAGCACGGGCAATCATAGCAGAGGGAAACATCAAGAGGGAGAAGAGCGATAGGAAAGTAGAGGAGCCAGCGAGCAGAACGCAGGCGAAGCAAGTGAGGCACGCGAAGACTCGAGAGCATCCCGCCTCTGATGACGTCATCCTCAACGACAACGACACGGGTTACGAGGATTCCAAGACGGCAGTTGCTCGCCAGTGCACGGACACCATCGCCAAGTATGGCTGCAGCTCTCTGCTCAAAGACAGCCCTTGCCTGTCCTTCTGCCGGGGCGCCGAGCATGGCGCGTCTTTGAGGAACTCATACGTCGATGATGTAATTCTCGTTGTGCCAGTCAGCTACGATCATTCTGAATTATCATCGCAGGTATACGGCACTCCGTATGACCCGTCGACGTACGAGCATGATCGCCACGGATTCTTTGCCAGGAAGGATGGGGAGCAGTCAGGAGACATCCTGTCCAACGGGCATGACTATAGGAGGGTCGTCAGGAGCGAGGGGATGAACTCCCTTTCTCGAGTTCTTGCCGGCGAGAAGAGGATGCAGCAGAAGCTGCAGAGCTCTCTTGAGCAGGTGCGCTGCTGGTCTTCACGGCCTTACATGATGTGACGAGAGCGCAGGAGCAAGCTGAAAACATCGCGCTCAGGAAGCAGGTCAAGGATCAGGAGTCGTCCCTTAGGTAACAGCGTTTGCTCATGAGCTCATTAGTTTTGCCCCCCCCCCCCCCTCTACCATCCCCTACCCTTCCCTGCCCTCCTCTCCTACCATCCCCTCCGCTCACCACTCCTCCTCTCCTGCTTTGCCTCCCATGATTGTTGCACTCGTCTTTTCCTTCTCTAAAGGATGTCCTGCCTTCCGATCCAGCTTCTGATCCCTGATCCTTCCAGGAGCCTCTCCAAGAGCCTCTCATACAGGTCGGGCTACGTGCCGCAGGACGGCAGAACCCCTCCGGGGCAGTCCATTCGTGACCTCCCGGACACTCCTCCCCTTCCCGAGTACAAGCAAGTCGGGAGGCAACAGGAGCTTGCTGAGGTGTTTTCTCGGGCCAAGGGGGGGGGATTGATCTTGCACAACGCTGAATTCATCAACAAGAACAAGGATTTGCATGACCCTATGAGGCCCATGTAGACATGTCTGAATAAAACTTTTTCCATCAGCCGTGCGCTCGGATGCTCCTGATCAGGCCTGAGGAGGAGAAGATGACCTCCTGCGCAAGAGAGTGAGCGAGGGAGGCAGGGGAAGATTCCCTCTGACCTCGTCTGATCTGAAGGCTTCCTGAGCTCCGCCGTCCGCTCGCAGTGTGTACTTGACGCTGACTGTTGGAGAGGAGCGGATCACGACATGAGCGATGGGCCGAGCAAGCTTCTTCGTCTTCCTCACCTGAAGTTCCTCCCTGCAACTCCACGCCCTTCAGTTCCATGGCGACCGAGGGCTTCTGGGACCATTTTTCCTTCACGGGTAAAGTGAGCAGGGCAGAGAAAATCTAGGCTCCATCCTAACCCCTGACCTGTAAGACGCTCTTGATTTTCGCTGCTCCCTTCCTCTCGTACACTTCAGCTCCTGCATCTAGCAACGCCAGGACGCCTTCCACGTCATTCTCCTTGCGGAAATCGAGAATACGCTGAAGGGAATGTGGTTGTCATCGGATGGAGAGGCGAAGGAAAACACGATACCTGGAGCAGAAGCTCAAAGAACAACTTTCGGCTCTGGCTCAGCTCGTTCTGCTCTTTTGGTGACTCCTCCTCTCGAACTTGTGTGGGAAGCGAGGGCGATGAAGAGGAAGACGAGGAAGAGGACGATGCGAGGAAAACTGGGTCTTCCTGTATGATATCCCAGAGAGGCTATTTTTTTATCATGGCATTAGGTCTGAGCAGGACATGCACACGTTGCTACCTTAGTGGAGTCGAAGCGAGGGCCCTCGACCATCTTGATCCTCTCACTCTGCGAGGAGACCTAACGGGGAAAAGGGACCAGTCAATTGACAGGGGAGGGAGGGAGGGAGGGAGGGAGGGAGGGAGGGACCTGCCGCATGCAGAGCTGGGGAGGGATGAAGCCGACCCTCCAAGTCTTCTGCTCGATCTCTCGCTCGAGCTGCCCCGGCAGCCACTCGCAATGGTTAAAACTGCAGTAAATCCAAATAAGGAAGATGGAAAACAGATACCGGGTTGTGGGATGGTGTGTGGGGCAGGGAGCAGGAGCAGGATCAGTATCAGTATCAGGATCAGTATCAGGATCAGTATCAGGATCAGTATCAGGATCAGTATCAGGAGCAGGATCAGGATCAGGATCAGGATCAGGATCAGGATCAGGAGGATGGGGCGATAAAATGGGGTCAGAGGACGAAGGCGGAGAGGAGGATTACAAGAATTTGACTTGATCACTCGATGCTCTTCCTTCCGAGACAAGCTCCTTCACTTCTTGCATGCCCCCCGCAAACACCCCATGTCTCCCGATCGGCTTCGAGGTCTGCACGTCTTCGAGGGCGTGCAGCATGATCACCTTGTCGTTCCCGCTGCTTCCTCCTCTGAACAGGGAGTTCTCTCCCAGAGGATGCTCCAGGAACGCTGCTGGAGCCATTTCCTGCAGCATGAACGCCGTCGCCATCTCGAGAACGACTCCCTTGGATCCGCCATCGGAATGTTCGAGCAGCAGGACGACAGCATGGCGGAAGAAGTGATCCACTTCCTCGGGAGACGCCACGAGCACGCATCCTGGCTCCACCGACCCCTCCCTCCACACACCTTGCGAGCTGCCATCGGAACTTGCCTGCACCGACAGCAGCGCACTCCTACGAGCCACAGATGGACGGAGGCAGGTGGCGGAGGGTCGCAGACGTGGGAGAGATGATAGGGATCGACACATCCAAGCGCTGGAGCAGCAGGCACAGCATGCCAGCATCACCGCCATCAGGTTACGCCCTGTCCCTGGCCCCATTGCGTGTCGGGGCGCTGGAGAATCGTCCTGGTGAGGCGGGCTTCCCCACTGGCTCTCCGGACAGGCTCTTGGACGAGCAAGCAAGATGGCAAGCAGCCAACTGCGTCCGATCCGATCCGAGCATCGGAAGAGCATCGGAAGCTCAAGCAGTCTGCGTACTACGGTACTACAGTTATCTACCGTGACGAGACATAGCCTGAGTTTCACATGCCAAATCCGACCACGAACGCTAGTAACTGTCAGCATGTCCCATTCACGGAGGGTTTCACGATGTTGCAACCATGATATTGATATGCAACTTCAGTTCAAAGAAAATTAAGATTCATTCACAAAACTTCTCCATCAACCCCGTGGAAACTGACCACCGTTTACTCCTCCAAGACCTGCACCTTCTCAGACTTGATGTAAGACCTGCAAGACCATCAGTCTGAGCATCGACCAGGAAATTCTTCCGAAGCCTCACATGTGGGGAAAGTGAGAGTTGAGGTACAACTGGTTGCCCTCGTGGATGATCTTGTTCTGGTTCGCCTTCTCGCCGTACCTGCACGCGCTCATGAGAAACGTATCGTCAGGGCTGCCCGCCAGCAGAACTCACTCGGCGTTGATCTTCCTCATGAAGATGTTGAGGTCGTCCTCGGAGGCCAGCTCACCGAAGGGAGTGAAGCCCTGGCTGTCCAGGAAGGTGTTGTCCGCAAGGTTGACGAAGACCTGGGTGGATCGGGTGTTGGGTCCGCTGGTGGCGAAGGTGATCCTTCCCTTGGTGTTGCTCTTGAACTGAGGATCATCCATGATGTTCGCGCCATTCTCGTACAGCGAGTCGATCTGAGGGGTTCCCTTCAACCCCCACTGCACGACGAAGTTGTCAGCATATCGGAAGAAGCGGGCCCCATCGTAGAAGTCGTTCATGACCAAGCTGTAGAACCTGTCGGCACCCTGGCGTGACAAAATCAGGACATAGTCATCAGGGTTACGATGCATCGCGACAACACTAGGGAAAGGCCACATCACTCGACGGACGCGTACAAAACGAGCAGAAAACATTAGGGATCTTCAAATCGACCACAGCAGGAGGAAGCATGGCATCGCATGGAACCATACCTTAGGCGACCAGTCACGGTGAACAATGACGTTGAAGGATCCAACGTTGGTGGCGAAGGTTGCCTGCCACTTCTTGGGAGACTTGAGGTTCATGCGAGGATCCGAGGGCTGGGGGAAGTCTCCCACGGGCTCTCCAGTCCTGTAGAGCTTGGAGGTAGCGATCTTGCTTCCTGTATTGGTGAGGACAGCATCCTCGAGCTCCTCCTGAAGCAGCTTCTGCTTGCTACCCTCCGCCATCACCGCCATGCCCACAAGGAGCAGCGCTACCGCACGCATGGCTGCCATCTGTCTCTTCAGGAGGGTTCACCCCATGTCATCAGCCACCCTGGTGGTGAGTACCCTTCAAAAAATGATAAAGTACCCCCTAGTTGTCAGTGAAGCTGAGTACCCCACCCCCTCTGGGTCTCCCGCTATTCTGGCAACATTCCGTTTCATGTCTTAACCGTCAATTTATTTTCCGTTATCAGGACCGTTATAATCCTCAACTGCCCCTACCCTACCCTGACAACACAAAGAGAAAAGTACCCTGTCCCTCCTCACAAAAGTACCCCTACCTTTAACATGCAAACACCCCACCCCATCGATGACTGGACTGTCTGAAATTTGTTCTGTTGTCCGGCGATGGCTTGGGCCCGCCGCGTGCTGTTGGTGGTGGTAGCGGCATGGCTGGCCTCGGGAGGAGAGAGCTCCTGCAGGAGGAGGGAGGAGGACCTGCAGGAGTGCGACATGCTCGACTACATGGTGTACGACAGTGTCAACCTGCAGCAGGCAGAAGCGCAGGCTCGACAAATCGTAGGCGCGGAGATCCCGCGTTGGAAGGAGTCGGGCAAGGGGGGGATGAGCCTCTCCGGTGACTTCTGCGAGCAGCTGTTTCGTGCAGTCACTTGCAATCTCCTGATCCCGCCCTGTGAGGGAGACGGCAGTGAGAGATACAGGAAACCATGCCGCGCTTACCAGTATGCGCTGGAGTTGGGCTGCCACTGGAAGATGCAGTTCGGCGATTTAGCCTTTGCAGAGCCGCCGGATTGCTATGAGCTCCCTGTCAAGAACTACTATGAGGAAGGAGAGTTCCTGGATGCAGAGGAGCTGGGGAGCAGCAAGGAGCTCAACGTGGAGGGGAGGGTGGAGGACCTTGTGAAGCTTGCGAGGATCCTTGAGACACATAGCAAGGTCGACCATGCTGTGCACCTTTACCTGCAGGTGCTGCGATATCGCCCTGACAATGCCATGGCGCACAAGCGCATCTTCTCGCTGGTGCACGCGTCTGAGGAGCGGTCTCTGTCGCTGGAAGCGCAGCTCAACTTCACCAATCAACGGTGGAACGAAGCTTGCGATGACAAGGGGCTGCCGAAGGGGAACAAGTACCAGAAGCACAAGGGACTCGCGCCGGACAAGAAGGTCAAGTACATCCTCGACTACAAGGCTCAGACAGGCGCAGAGGAGTTCTACGAGACAGGTTCGCTGGAGGCTGCTGGGGGGTGGAGTGTTGATTAGGGTGCGGCAGGTGTTTGGTACGGGGAGACATTGAACGGGATCAAGGATCACTTTCCTAGGATCAAGTCCATCGAGATCAGCTCTCAGATCGCTGACATGGCGAGGAAGAGGTTCCAAGGGCACGACAACATCCAGATCATCACGGGAGACAGCGTACCTGACAGTGTTTGCCCTCCGTTGCCGCACCTCTGACCCTCCCTCCCTCCAGGTGGACGTGCTTCCTGTTCTCCTTGAGAAGCGGGATCGGTCGAAAGCAGCCATCTTCTGGTTGGATGGACATTTCTCAGGGTCTCGGTTCGAGACGTCCAAGTCGACCATGGACACGCCGGTGCGGTAAGACGAGGAGGCTGCCGGGGTTGTGAGGAATAGCTTCCTAGGTCCTGCAGGAGCTCTTTCACACCCTCCAGCACGTCCACGAGCAAGACACCATCCTGATCGACGACGCTCGGCTGTTCCGAGGTCGAGGAGCGGAGCGATGCTGTGCTCTGCTGCTGTGCTGAACTTGAGTCTCCAAGGTTACCGAGACTGCGCAGGAGACTTCGAGTCGGAGGTGAAGAGAGATCATGCGGGAGGCAGGAAGAGGAAGAGAAGGATAGTACTGCTGAGTAAAAAGGAGAGGAGAGGAGGGAGAGGAGAGAGGAGAGAGGAGCGGGCCGGCAACAGAGGCCATGCTGACCAGAGGATACAGTGTTTTCCGAGCTTGAGGGATCTCAAATCTGTGTTGTGCAAGTACAAGCCCGACTGGACGTTCACTGTGAGGAGCAGGCGGTCGGATGTGCCTAGAGATTGACAGCAGGGCAGGTGGAAGACGACCTGATCCGGATGTCTTCGGCAGAAGTGAAGGAGGCCGTGATGAAGAAGTCGAAGAAGAGCAAGAAGGATGTCAAGGAGCAGAAGAAGAAGAAGACGAAGACGAAGAAGCAACAAGAGGTGAGAAGGAAGCTTGAGATGTTCAACTCTGACCGGGCAAGATACGCAGGATGAGGAGGAGGAGGAGGGCGAGAAGGAGTTGGTGGAGGAGAAGAAGACGAAGGCAGAGGCGGGCAAGAAAGGTGGAGGGCAGGGCTGGTCTATCCCGAGCAAGAAATCAACGGTGAAGAAGAACCCTCCTGCATTCTCACGGCCAGCAGGTTTGAGCTTTTGTTGCATTACAATCTTTAGTTTGACAGGGATGGTGTACACAGAGAAGAAGAAGGCGGGAGGAAAGGAGGGGAAGGGGAAGGAGGGGGAGGAAAGGGAGAAGGACGCTGCTCCTGCAGCAGAAGCTTATCGAATCAAGTTTGGACGCTCGTAAAACCAGCGATGTGCGAAAGAAGAGTGCAAGGATGAATGGTGAAGAGAGGGAGAGAGAGAGAGAGAGAGAGGAGGGAGGGAGAGAGGGAGAGAGAGAGAGAGGAGGAGAGAGAGAGGAGGGAGGGAGGGAGGGAGGAAGCAATTCAAGGATGAACGAGGCACAAAGGGGGGGGGGGCGGGAAGGGAGAGAGGAAAGGAGTGATGGAGGGAATGTCGGGTATTGTTTTCACTTCCTTGGCGTCTTCATCTCTGCGAGCTCCTTGATGATAAGATAGACTATGTGGAGGGAA